GGTGCGTTTTAAAGGGTATTTAAGGGGCTACAAAAGACCGGTCCAAACCGGTCAAGACCGGTTCACGTTAACCGGTTTTTTTGCAGTCTTTACATTTCAAAAATAAAAGACCATAACCGCAGGTCCGGTCTTTTGCGGTCTTGGTCCGGTCTGGTTATGGTCTTTTTCCGGTCACGAGACCGGACTTCCAAACACTATGGTACACAGTCTCCATCAGACTTGCCACGAAAATCTGGAGCAAAGCCCAGAGGCACTCCTGCATGTAACTTTCACCACCCAGAACCCATGAAAATCAATATCTTTGCCTTATTATCTCAAAACCATAATTCCTTGTACTTATCCCTCCTTCCATATTTCGTTCTGCTAGTTTCACTCTCCTTACGATGAACTGATAAGTTATATTCAACATAGTTAGCCTATCAATTACCAGAATGACTCGAGCTGCATGACAATGATGTCAGAAGGGCTCAAAAATGGCCAAAAGCCTTGGTGTTAGACTTTTAAAGGTGTCAAAAAAAAATCATTTAAGGCTTGCTTGCCATCCCCCTCCCCCCCTATGTCATGTCCCTCAGCAAATTCTGACATACCCCTTGGTCTACTAGGTTAGGTAGAGGAAATACATACTCATCCAACATCACATGACCAAATATAATAAAGTGTGACAAATGAAAGAAATCTGTACTTAGTGTTTGAAAGTCTGGTCCAGTCTGGTTATTGGGCCCTCAGGGGCTCTAACTGAGACCAAGACTGGTTAGTGTTTTCCCTGAAACCCAAATTAACTGGACTGGACCATGACAAACCAGTTATAGTCAGTTAGTGGCAGTTAGGTACCAGTTATACAACCGGTCCTAACCAGTTATTTTCATGGCCATCACTAAAATAATATTATAATTCTATGTAAAAAAGAAGTTTGGCTTGCATGATGAAGGCAAGGCAGCGCATGGGTGAAACACCACCTTGCAGATGAACAAGCTGGTTCAGCCAAGAGTGGATGAACGAGGGGAAATTCTCCTTGTTTGTTGTGCAAATACAGCCCTGCATCATATGAGTATGGCCCAAACGAGGATGGGAGACTCTCTCCCCTCCCATCACCCATTGTTCCCAAACTCCTTGTTACTGTGCATGTTGCAAGAGGCCCAAAGGCATTCGTTCTAGACAGGGTCGACGTGGCTGGGTCAATGTCAACCTGTGATGTGGTTAGCTGGACAGGGAAGAGAGGGTAGGGCAGTGGTGAGGTTGGCAAACCAAACAAGGAGGCTCATGTTGAGTGAAGATGCCACCCATTCCCTACAGAACTTTCAGAAATGTGAAAAGTGAGAGCCTACATCCCTTGTTGGAGAGGAGAGGCCAGAGGCCAGGTGACAGCTGTAGGCGATGGACACTGCTTAGTTGAAATAGCGTGAATTGATGTGGGTCAAACCACCAAGCTGTGATGTGGTGGGCTGGACAGGCTGGCTTGGCTGTGGTGAGGTTGACATTGAATATAAAGGAGGGTGGCATTGGTTGTGGTGGTCATGGCATGCTGGTTCTATGAGGTGGACAAGGGTTTGGGGTTGGTCATCGATAGGTTGTGTAGTGTTCAAGGTCAACTTGTTGACTTGGGACATGATACAGAGCAGTGGTCTCTGGGTGGGTGACATATCAGCAACTGGTAGTGGTTATGGAGATTGTACCTGGCTGGGTTCCCTTGCTATTTCCTATGCACCCCTACACTGAGCTTGTGGAAATGTGAAAATGTGGCCTACATCCCTCATTGGAGGGGAGAGCCAGGCCTCTGGTGCGATGTGGGTCACTCAAGGTCAAGGAGGTAGTGGTGGATGCATGTGTTGAGCCCTGGCTTGGCCCATGGGCATTCGCCAGGGGTTTGACCACTTGGACGAGGGTAATGAGGAGAAAGAGAATGGTTGCCATGGTTGTATTAATGTCACACCTGTGATGACTGAATAAGTCATGTAAATTTCAGTTAACCATAAATATGTCAATTCTCAACCAAAAAAAAAGATTTTGGGGTTGTTAGAAATTGTTTATGCAGGGGAATATTTGTGTATAACTTTGGGACACAAAGACTGGTTATAACCAGTCCTAACTGGTTGTTGTGTGGTCTTGAATATTTTGAGATGACAACTAACTGCTAACTGGACTGTGGTTATGGTTAGGATCGGTTAGGTAATTTTTGCGGTCTTGATTGGTTATGGTCCAGTCCAGTCTCGGTTATTTTCTGGTTAACTAACCTAACTTCCAAACACTATCTGTACTACATTTCCAAAAACACTCTTTTTAAATATGTGGCTCCAAGAAAATCATCCAGACTGCAGCTGTTGAATTATCTTAGAAGCAGAATTTTAATACATGTGCAGTGCTAGTTACAGTATAGTTAAAAGACATCAGTGAAGAGAAATCAATTATGGACACATGATCTATGGCAGGAACTACTTGACACATGTGCCAAAACTTAGATCTTACACCAAAGTCATGTCAGCTGACATTGGATGAGTATGCATTTCCTCTACCTTACTAAGTACTGTTTCTCTAGATGACTCCTTGAAGAATCAACCATCAAAACTCAATGCTCGTTGGGGCCATTTCAACATGTCCCAAGCTCTTTCCTTTGAGTGTTCTGGAAGGGAGCCTACATCTAGCCATTCCTCCATTTTTTCAGAAGGGTATGTTGTCAGATCTGGCAACTCTGGTTTTTGGACCAAAAGCTTCAGGTTCCTCATCTGGAGATACTTTTCTCATTGAATCCTCAGGGGCTTGGTCGTGTTCTGAGGGTTCTGAATTCTGCGAAGTTTCTCCTTGTGTCACAAACCATCCTTGTGACCCTCTACCTCATATGACCAACCCATGCCAACCTTACTTCTTGGACTACAATGCCAAACCAAATCCGACCTTGTATTCTGGCAAACCCACACCGAACACGTGTATGCAACTCTGAGCATGACAACTCTAAATAGAACAAGCGCCTATTGTTCTTTGCCTCACCAAGCCTCCTGTTCTCCGCCTTGGCAACCCTCTTCACAATAAGTCCCAACTCCAACTCCACACTTCCTTACTTATTGTCTCCCTCTCCATGATACTTCCTCATGGCCCTTGTTCCCTCTATTGTTCTACCTTGTACTGACATTACCAACCCCTTCTCCCTTTTTCACAGACTTTACTCTCTATGACTCATATAAATACTCCTCACATGTACCAAGTAACCTCATCCTTGATATTAAAGTTAACTTCTGTCTTGTTCCTTTGTCCTCTCATCTCAGCCTCTCATCTGCATTATCTCTACTAACTTGCCTCAGACTTCAACTCCAATGCCAAATCCACCATACACTGAGTTATCATGTATCTGACACACTAACACTTCACTTAGTGTCTCACTCATCTTGCATATCCTCAAGTCTCCAACTCTGAAGCCTATGCTATCTTCATCTCCAACAGACTTAACTCCATGCCTCCAAGCTTCTCAGACTTAGCTCCATATGCTTACTCTTCCAGACCTAACTCTGTACAATGACTCTATATAGATCTCATCCCCTTCCAGTCTAGTAACTACCAGTGGTATATATGTTGACCATTCTCCTGCCTCTCACCCTATCTAAGGAATAGGACAGATCCTAACTGAATATCAAGGATCACCCACTGATACAATGGCTGGAACTTATACTATCCAAGAAACTCCCTGCACTCAACAGTGCAAATCTCTAGAATCTTGCCTAAACCTATCTTCTGTACCCATCTCCTACCCCACCCTCTCTGAACTATTACATCCTCCAACTTCCCCCCAATCTGAACACTCCTTCTATGCAAATCCCTCTTCCCAAACAACAATAACCTCTATGATACTAGTACCAGGGGGAGTTAGAGGATCATTCCATTTTGCTCCCCCCTCTGGAACCATTTTCTCTGCAAACCAACCTGAGAGATTGTACTTGCCACCTCTGCCATAGAATAATCCTTGCGCTGAGAACTCGCAGAGTCAAATTACCTCTGAAACCCCTCCCCAACAATACAGAGATAACAGCCAAACCCACCATAGTCTCCTATACTCTACAAGAACACATCTAGAAGAATTAGGTTATGGAAACCTCAATTTGAGAACCTCCTTTGAAATCTTCAGAATCCTATGAAGCATAGTACAGTCACATGAAGAAGGAAATCTCCCCACTTGGTATTAGCACAGATTGAACTACATCAACAGAGCAAATCTCACATATGGACTCTGGAGGGCGTGTCCCTGAGATTTTGCTCAAAATTGATGGCTACACATGTGCTCAAAGGCATGCATTCAAGATAGCAGCAATAAGTACTTGAAGTATCACTTACCTGACTCATTCCTTTGCCAGCGCTTTTCATGTATAAGCTCACAACTATTTGGGTATTTACCGATATCAACTAATTTTTGTCCGGACTGGATCAGCTATCAAATTTTGGGCCATTTTTGTCCGCACATCTGGCTCATACATTTGTGTGAAATTTCCAAAATTTTGTCCGCACAGGGATCAGTCATTCGACATGACTTTCACAGGTCCTGGAATACCACAAACTAAACTTGCAATTGCAAAGAATCCACCCTTGAATCTGATTACTGTACTATTTCGACCAAGTGTTCACGTCACACATCACATCGACAAAAAAACTATTTTTTTTTATTCGTCTTAAATCAAAAGAAAATTTTTCGGCCATCTCGGCGTGAAAAATTTCCAAAAATCGTGAACACTTGGTCGAAATAGTGGCACTAGTACAGTATATCTGTTGCAGCATGACTTGCTTCAATGACCCTCCCCCCCTCTCTCCCCTTTTTCCCCTTTTCCCCTTTCACCCTCTCCTTTCCGTTTCCTCTTTCTTTCTCTTATTTTTATATTCCCTCTCCCATACATTACTCAACATAAATTCGCACTACACTAAATGCCCTATCATATCTTACATACGTCCAAACTATTACACTACAGGCCACCGCTGCGATATTACCCTTTTGCGCGTCGCATTTGCAGACCCATGCTTTCAGATTAGTAGATCCCCACATATTGGTTGGACCCACGCGTAGACACTCTTTTTACGCAAATTCCGGCATAGGGCTTCGCCCCAATGGCATAGAATGGAACGAAAAAAAACTAGTAGACAACGGAGCGGTATACGTAACAGGCAAAGATGAATCAAGTCCCAAACCAAACACACATCAGCCTCATGGACATCCAATGCTACATCATCGTTCCAATCTGACCTTCATATAGAGCGAGAGGTGGTTCCGGGGTTGTTGTGATGGAGACGCGTAATTCACCAGTGTTGGCGCGAACAATCTGGGTACCTGGAATCTCCTCTGGAATCAGGGTGTTACCAAAGGCAACTATATCATAAGGGAGGAAGGCGCCGGGGGAAAGGTGAGGTGTTGCGAGAGCATAATGCTCAAATGTTTCTCGGAAACCAACATCGAGCCGACTAAAAACAAGGTGGCCTTTTGGTGAGAAGCCGGTAGTCGGGATGAACATGATCCAGGAATTGGTAGGAATCGGGTTTTGGATCACAGCCGGACCAGTGCCAATGGAAGGGAGGGATGACTCGACGTCAAAGAATTCCCGACGCATGGCAGCCTGACTAATATCCTGCCGGTAGGGCGGAATCGTAGTCCCATACGGACCCACGGGAAAAATGCCTCGCTGGTGTTGGTATATCCGCTCTGCTCCTCCACTGACGTGTAACCCATGGTTAGTGATCTGCTCTCGAACCCTGGATGTAGATGAGTACGCGAATAGTGGTGCTGCGTGGAGGAGGATGACGTCGCGTATCTCGTGGAGGGCATCCTGAGGTCGGCCCGGTTCGTATCGCTTTTCTCCAAAAGGCTCGTAGCGTGGCGTCCACTCCTTATGCTTGATGATCCGCTGAGCCTTCGCAAGCAGGGGGGCGTCAATAGCATCCTTTAGAAACGGCAGTCTTGAATTAGCCCAGTTGAGTTGTTCGGTGCGGATATTCTCGACGTGATTCTTGTAATCATCTAGCGCGAAAACGAGCCTCTGTTCCAAGTACGTGGGGTCGGTGATTGCGGTGCAGTCAACGGAGTTGAAGACCGGGGCTACCGGGGATGGTCGAACGCGAAAGGGATTCATGTTTCCTGTATGTTGCTTGAAACTTAGTAAGGTATGGAAGGTGCATGGTCGCAGTTCAACTTACAGAAGTGGGTATCTCTGTTCCTTCAAAGAAAACCTATGTCCACCGTCACGAAACCGTCGCCCTCCACTGCGCAACCCGTAGGTGTCAGAATAGGCGTTGAGGTAGTTATTGGTGAGACAGGTTTGGTCGACTTTGTCGTAGTCGGAGACGCAGCGTTTCAAGAGAATCGCTTGGGGCCCGTCGTCGATGATCAAGGGAGGGTCTAACAAAGAACAGTCAGCGACGAAGACAGATAAAACTGGCGGCTGACTTGTAAATTCCATAGCTGATGGATAGGCGCCAGAATGTTCAATAAACCTTGATCGGTATATTTTTGGAAGTTCCGTCTGCAACAATATGCAACACCTAAAAAGGGAAATTTCTTGGTTCCCATCCAAAAACGAGTCAAGAGTAATTTAGTAAAGGCGACAATGGTGAATGCGAGCCTGTGGAACGCTGGTGAGGCTCAGTCGTACCTCAATAAGGAAAAGCGAATTGCGTACATGACCACGACGACACCCCAGTTGGTTTGAGTTTGACCCCATCCCCAACCCGCTCAAACCAAAATCCCCTCCCCCATCATATGCCAAGCTGTCATCTCTCCTCCACCAACCAACGGCTGCTTGCCTAGCCGCCATGTCCTCACTCCACCTCCCCCGCATCCGAAAACCCAGCCCCCGCATGCGGATACCCAGCTCCCGTGTCCAAGGTACTCAACCCCCGTCTCCAGATCGTATACGCAAGATCTGTCACCTTCGCGACGACCTTGAATCCCCGTATCCCATTAGAAACCTGCATGGGGAACTATCGTTGAGCAATCACCACAGCTTGCCTCCTTTGTATTCTTTGGGCGTTAAGATGGTGTCAGAGGGGGTGATGTCAAGGTCGTGGAGGCGAAATAACGGGCGGGATAGTGTGTTCTTGGGCTTGGGCACTGTTTCAGTCTTCGTGTTGGAGATATCGAGGCACCCAAACCCAGAGCCTCAACCGTGATACAATCCTGCGAGAAGGGCGGAGGTGCGTGAGCTGTAATTGCTCACGTTGCTTGACTAGGGAACGACGATGCTGAGGTGCATCTCCTCAAGCCGAACATTCGACATCAATCGTATGTAGCATCCCATGCCATGGACACATAAGGTCAGGTTTGATTGATTTTGGGGTAAGTACTTGGCGTGGTCCGCGTGGAAGAAGGAAGGGACAAAAGAGGAAGAGGGTGAAAAGAGAAGGAAGTGGCTGGGGGGAGAAAGAGGTCGATGACAAAAGGGGAGTGGGAGCGTCAAAAGGAGATGGGAGAGATGGAAGATGAGGAAGGGAGTCTAGGGCAGAGAAAGGAACGGAAGTTGGGGCGGGGTATGCACTCAGAACTGCAGAAGAGGAGGAAATCGCAGCGAGAGAGGGCGAGGGAAGGGGAAGGGGAAGTGTCCATCCAGGCTGAACCTCGGTGGGAATTGGAGTCTAAAGCCCAGTGCGTGTGGGAGTCTGAATTATTCCGGCACGCGAGGGTTCAAAAGGAGGGGGCCTGAAAGAGATGGGGTCAACATGGAAGGGAGAAGTGGCCATGCATCTCCGGACGCTTCTCGTAGTGTGCGAAGAGGGCGAATTCTCAAGCGGACTTGGGGTGGAGAGTACCATGTCCCTGTCCACCTGAAACTTCAGCGCACCGCGTCCACATCCATACCCTGCCCGAACGGTTCTGCATATCATACCCGAGCGACTCATTCGCGCTGATATACGGGGAGGCAGGACGAAACGTGGCACTAGGGTACTCGAGTACAAGCATTGGCTTCTTGAATACCAACTTCAGCTTCGGGTGGATTTGGTAGGGGTCACCCGTCTATTACAGAATCGCTTCTGTACGTTGTAGAGGTCCTGCCGAGGGCGTGTTTACACCGAGATGGAAGAGCCCATTCAGCGGAGTGGGGTGTCGACAGGCGGGCGCGTGGGTGTGTAGTGTTAGTTAGTCCTAAGCAGACACCAGAAAACCCATTCCCTGCTGTAGGTGCTCGGTCCTAGTGTGTTGGTGGATACAGGCGAAACTCAAAAGATAAGGTAGTTTCATCATTCATGGTGGTACGTCTGTATCGACGTCGAGGTCAATCGATTTCTGTGGGTGTAGAATCGTTAGCGTTTTACTGGGGGAATGTGGAAAGAAGGGGAAGAATGAGGAGCCACGGCACGTTGAGGCAAAAGGGCAAACGAATGGTCGAACTATAAACACAAGAGAAAAGTGGAAAAAGTTACGCACCAATGGCTCTAGTCAAGCTCTAGTCTCTCCTCCACAATCCAACTTCAAGTACCCCTTGAGTACCCCAGTCTCGCACCCTTCACAAACCCCGCCAGCACCGCCAGCACAACGGATCCACTGTATATACCGTGGAGGTTGTTGGGTTGTTGTTGCCCCGTTCTTGATTCTTAATTTCTTATAGTCACGACGCAAGCACTACGCCCAATTGGTTTGACGGAGGTTACTGTGGATTTGCTGTTGATGCTCATAGTCAGTCTTCACTGGAAATAACCTAGCGCAAATGATGAGACTCACTCTGACTCAGAGAGGAATGATGGCCAGGAGAGCGCACGGGCCACACTGACACTCTTCAAGAAACATCATGGCAAACCACAAAAGTAAACCGTCTCGAAGTTACATGCGGAACTAAGGGTGATACTATGTAGACGAAACAATTATACGGGCCGCCCTCTTTGCCAGAACTTTGCTACAGGCAATTTAAACCGTTGGTGGCGCTGCTCCTCCAAGATCTTCCACCGTAGGCAACACAATACTGAAATTCACTGCGTCATTGACCTGCTCTGTACAGGAAACGAAGTCCGTACGCGAAGGAATGAATTAAGGCCGCATGCTATCAATCGACACTGGTACCAGCCACGGTCTCTGTCGAAAATCTCCTCTTTCATGACGTCAGGTGAAGTTCAAATCCGGACCCGCCACGTCCCCTCCGGCGGCGTAAGGTACAAGTGTCGCCCTCCGGACCCCCCTTGGAGGCCACCAAGGCATTCGAAAAACTGGATTTAGGCACAGTTCAGACGCGAGGGCGGCCGTTACTTGTACTCGAGTCGCTGCCACTCGTGGCAATACTACGGCAAGGCAAGGTCAAGGCAAGGTCAAAGCATGTGGTCAGAAAACATTCCAAGTCTCCACGCCGCTTCGCTTGGTCCTTGTCGTTGCCTTCTATTTCGGTGGACACAGATTTTCAGAGGCCAGAGTCCACCACATTGTTGTTCTCGAGCTTAAAACGGAAACACTATCAGGCCTTTTCTGCACATCAAGCTTTCCCCCCATCTTAGCTCCTCAATCCGACTGCGCTGGTACTCCCCATAGGCTTTTATGGGTATGGACGATACTAGATCCGTAAAGAAGTGAGTTGTCTATGATGAACCAAGTGGTTAGGCACGCGCTGACAGCACATAGGTCCAAAAACTCGGAAACGCCTCTGGAAGAAGAAAGGGTAAAACTAGAAGCGAAAGTCGTGGAGCTCGACGATCTTATCAAGGCACACCTTGACTGCATGGCTAACCTGACGAACCACAGCGTGGCGGTCAAACGCCAGTTGAATGCCCGAGTCCCTTTCGCGCGTCTTCCAATCAAGCTTGTAACAATGATTTTCCACTCCGCTTGCAGCGGGGACTGAGGAGGTCTTCCTGCTTTTTCGTAGCCTCCCTTGAGACTTCCAAGCCCACCGTAACAGAGCTCCAGAGTTCGGATGCAGACCAAGCTATAGTGCGCCAGTGGTGACAGATGCTCCCAATGCGCAGGGGTGAAAAAGGCTCATAGTGATTGGCTATTGCGGGCAAGGAAACAACCGTTATCCATAACGATTGCAACTCGCGAAGAACACGACCCGCGGTGGGAGGATCCCCCAGATGACAACTCGGTCCTCTCTTTTCTGCTTGCGCACTCCGGACAATGGCGCTCCGCTGATATCGACACTCCAAACACATCGTTGCACCTTCTGCCTGACTGGCTGAACGCCTATTCTTGAACGGCTCACGCTTAGATGCGATCTTGAAGGTTGCTCAGATTTTCCAGTGATTGTGCATGCACCTCGGCTTCATTCGGTCACTCTCATTGGTTTATATCAAATGCAGCTAGCGACGCTTCCCTGGGACCAGGTGAGAACCCTTCATATCAAAGGATATCGCATGCAGGACTTCCTGGACACTCTCAAGCGATGCTCAAGCCTTGTGAATCTCGTGCTGAACGAGCAAGACTGTATAGAACACGAGCCTACTACTACACCGCTTACGGTCGTCAAGCCCGACAGCCTTAAATCGCTTTATGTCAATGCTCTCGACGAAAACTGTTTCGAGGACTTGGACGTGTTTTTCCCTGAGATCAGCCAAGGTTCTTTCAAGTCCTTCCGTACCCTCGTCTTCCGCTCGAGCTGTGCGGAAACTATAACGCGCTTCTCCTTCATCGGCTACATATTCTCGGAGGAAGAAATGGTGTCGTTTCTTTTGGGATTACCACATCTTTCCGAGCTGGTTCTGTACAACTCCAAGCAGGCCCCTCCGTTCTCCAATATATTCATTGATGCGCTACATTCACGTGCCGGATGCACAGACTCGGAGAGTTTCCTTCTGCCAAATCTCTAGCTCGTTCACTACACCGGCCCAATCACGCTCGATAGTGATAGATTCTTGGCTATGCTCGATGCTAGATATACCAATGCCAGTAAAGTTGCTAAACTCGAAGCGGTCTCAATTCGCGGCTACGATCAAGTTGTTAAGAAAATTTCGGATTTACCCCAAGTGCGGGTGTTGCGGGCGCAAGGGTTGGTGGTGGATGTACTAGGGTAGCTTGACACGATCTCGAATTGAGTTGTCAGTGCGTACCTGAGAGCTCGAAATCGACTCACTTGATAAATGTTTATGATGCGTGTGGTTCTTTTTGGTGATTCTTTGCCACGAAGTTTGAAAGCGTGTATGTCAGCGAGAAATCGTATTTCAAGATGGCAGTTACTCTTACCAGATTGAGGTTCCAAAATCTACCAAAGATAATTCTGAGTCACCTCGCTTTAGCTAGGTCTCCCAGCTTCATATTTCTAAGCAAACCAAACATGTCACTCTTCCGCAAACATGGCGCAAATAATAGGACTTGCTGGAGGTCATATTGTTCAAGATTGGAACAAACATCTCACTCTTCCACAAACATGGTGCAAATAATATGACTTCACTATATGCTTACAGTTGATAACACTGCTCGTTGCCGCTGCGAGGAGTCGGCCGAAGGCCGGACGACGAGCAGCGGCCTCCATCGACAACCTAGATATTCAACTTCAATGCTCCAACGGAGTTCTCATGAAGAAACAAAAAATAAAAGGATAAGATTAAAAATGAGGTTTATGTTGAGGAAAATGGTCGAGTTCAATTCAAACATTTTGGAAGTTTTTTCGCTGGGTGAAGCTGAGGGTGTACTAAGAACTCTTACTAATGTATTTACAATACAGAAGCGAGGTTTTGTTGACGAAGTCAACCTCTAGTTGTAATGAATTCAAAATGATCACATTCCTTCATCAAGCACGTGACGGGGCCTTGGTTTTCACGAGCACATCCATTCTCATTCCACGACGACCATCAGCGCTGAAATATGCTAGATTTTGCAAAAAATTATGTTTACAACCACAGAAAAGGGCTCTCAACTACGGCTGGCTTCGTCGGGGGTCTATATCTCACCAAAACATACATCACGGAACGGCTGGAGGAGGTGAGGCATAAAATAGAGGAGGAAAGAAGTTCTAGAGACTGGTACGTATCTTTTGTGGTATACTTTATGAACAAAACTGACGAGAAGGCAATAGTTTGAAACGTAGATTCCGGCAAACGCAGGAAGATGTGTCGTACACGGTCCTCGCGATGCTGCCGACCCTCGCAGAACAAGTGCTAGAAGAGATGGACGTAGAATATCTGACGAAGGAGCTGCAGAATAGATCAAAGGCGCGCAATTCACGACAATTGCAACAACGGCCGCCGTCGAGTTTGGCATCGAGCATTGAGATGGTCCATGAGCACGAAACACGGTCGGAAGGAGGTCCCGCCGCCCAACGGGGAGAGAACTCGTCGTCGAGCTGGGTAGAGTCATCGTCAGCGGTGTCCTCTCCACCCCGAGACGGTTCGCCGGCAGGGATGAGGTCACCACTTTCTGCGTCAGTGACGACCAATGGCTCGAGTGTGAATGGGGAGGCGGCCTCTGTGGATGGTTCAGCCTTAGTATGTGCTTTCCGCGTCTCTCCTCTTGCGACTTTGCTCAATCAACCAAGTCTGAAAGCTTCATCAGTCCTTCTGTTGTATCTGACTCTGGGGATTCACGCACGAAAGCCGAGCTATGGAACGAAACGAAGATCCTAAGTGCGTAGCCTTTCTTTAACCGTCCACATTCCCAATCTAACACACCAACAGCGATCACCCGCACACTAACGACGTTATACTCAACAACCCTCCTCTGCCTCTTCACCACCATCCAACTCACCCTCCTCGCCCGGTCCAAGTATATACACTCCGTTTATCAACAAGAGCACGACGAGCGCCTTCGGGAGCAGCTCGCATCGGAGTTTACTATGAGTAATATTCTGCTAGGTGGCAGTAAGGGGTTGGAGGACTTGATATCGGGCGTCAATGTGAGAGAGGAGGAAGTAGACGAATACCAGATCAACGAGGAGCTCGAGAACAAGTACCTCACACTCAGCTGGTGGCTTCTGCACGTTGGGTGGAAGGACGTCGGCGAACGGGTGAGGAGGGGTGTGGAGGAGGTGTTTGATGGGTATGTCCATTGCAGTTTCTTACCGCGGTGTCTGGTTGACGATCTTCGCGATAGGGTATCTCTGAAAACGAAACTATCGCTGCTGGATCTACATCACCTCATCCGCGACGTTCGTAGAAGGATCGAACACGAAATTACTTTTGAAGGCAATGAGCGCCGAACAACGTATGTTGGCTTCCCCCCTACTCTCCTCACCCATCATCTAACCTCCCTTCTCAGATTCCTATCAACCCTCCTCCCACCAACCCCCGAAACAACACACCACGTCCTAATCCAAGGCGGCTTCCCCCTGCACGCCTCATACACGTCCTCAACCTCCTCCCAAATAACGCACCACTTCACCGCTTCACCCGCTGTCATCCCATCCCTCACCACCACGCACCCATCCGACTTCCTCCTCCCTCCCACACACATCCAAGACCAAGACCCGGGGTTCACCGCGCTCATAGAAGAAACGCGGGGTATTATCTCTTCACCTGACTTTGCCTCTGTCTTGGAGACGTGTTTGGACAGAGCGACGCAGGTGTTGTTTGTAGGGTTGGAGAAGAACGTGTTTGTTGATACGGCTACGGCTACGGTGGAGGATGGGACGATTCCTGGGGAGGAGGAGGAGGGGGAAGTCCGGATACGGCTGGCGGGTCTTCTCCCCGGCCTGGCGAGGTGGAGTTCGTTGGCGCTGAATGGGCTTCCTAATGAATTGGCGGATGTATGTCGTTTCTTTTCTTTGTCTTGATTGAGCTGATTTGGGCTGCGATTTGTAGACGCTGTTGGATGTTAGCCAGGTGGTGGCCCTTTCGGCCATTCTATTCGGCAGATTTGAGGAGAGGTTTCGGTAGCGTTGTCCTTGACTCATGACTGCCTTACTTACTACTTGAACCGAATGACATACCACCCTCGTTGGAGGGACTGTTTACGTGGTGTTGACCGTCGTGACGCTGGGAATGTTTGGAACCAAGTTCAAGTAAGGTGCATGCCCTCGTTTCACCACAACCTCACCTGGCCAATACGGCTGCAAGTGCTCAAGATCATTACACCAATTGCAATGTCTACAGGCCGAGGAATGGGGACTACTTAGATGTTTGCGTGTTCCAAGAGAGACCACTTCATCGTGATAGTAATAACGATAGACATTAAGAAGCGATTAAAGTAAGAAGGCCGGCGTACTCTGATCTGATGATACCAATGTCTAGACAATAATGCAACCATGGCACCCCAAATGTCGAAGCCCATCCAGAAGCATCTGACCCTTCGTCCTCAACTGCGGCTCTTTCTCCCGTCCTCCAACGTCATCATTAACCCCACTCTCCTTCTCTTGGTTGCGACCCGGAATCAGTCTTTGCATCAGCGTCTTCAGCTCCCCAGAACGTCTCTTCGTCAGCTTCGGCGTATCACGTTCCATATGTAAAGTCGCCGTGCTAGCAGCAGCAGACGCTAAAGGCGAGGCATCCCTCGTTTTCACAGCCACCGACTGCCATGCCGCGCGTGATGAGGACAAAAGGTCAGGGAATCGGCCATGTGCCGAGTTGATCTATGTCGTGTACGTCAGTCAGCAAGGACAGGCTGCGGGGGAAGAGCGGGAAATGACAAACAATGTTGTAATATTCCTGCCAATCATTTTTGATGGGTTTCCATTGCGTTGAAGGGGAAGAGAGAAGGACGGAGTTGCTTGAAAGGAGGTCGTCTCGGACCCACGACCACCATGCCGCGGTCTCCGACGCTCGCTGGGAGAGCTCCGACAAAAGGTTGAGATTCGCAACGAGGTCAGTCCCGACATCTTTTAGAGCCTTCCGGAGGGTTGGGGCTGTTGTGGACAGAAGCATGTCAGCACCTCAGTGTAGGGGAGGAAGAGAGGAAGGGAGGGACAAGACTCACGATGTACGGGGTCGGGTGGCAAGAGGACAATAGTAGTTTTATCTTTAGTAAGAGCAGCAATCTGAGCAGACCCACATTAGTCGTTGGTCAAAACGAACGTCAAATGAAATGCCAGACGAACCTTGTAGAATTCTTGTGGCACATCTCTCGTCACTCTCTCTACTTTCCGCGCTTCCTCTAGCCCTCGCTCAGCTTTGGCACGCATACGCTCAATTGTCCCCTCAGAGTCGACTTCCCACTCTTGGTCCTGGGGAGACGTGGAAAGTACCAGGCCCTCACTGGCGAGGTGGAACGCAATTTGTGCGGCGAGCATGCTTGAGTCTAAGATTTCGATATAGGCTAGAATCTTGGAAGAAATTTTGGACGTGATTGCTGCTGCTGCTGCAGGTGCCTCGGAGTCGGACGATGACCTAGTTAATCGTAAGGATTCTAAGCCGGAGTCGAATAAGCAGGTACATACGAGGGCAGTCGCATCTGAGAAAACGGTGCTAGACGCTCTATAGTCTTGCGCGTTGTCCGGGCCAAGCCTGCGACGTTTAGTTCAGGAGGCATGGAGTACGTTGCAGAAGGCTGATGCTAAATCGGTGGGTATCGACGACCTCAGGGTTTTTGAGCTTAATGTTTATTAAGGACTAGTGGGCTATGCTGATAGATGCATATCGGCAATGTCGAGACAGATCGTGGTCCGTCTAAAACCGCGAGCGCTACGAAATGAAAGCCTCGTTATGGCTGGCAGTCAAGGATACTAGCCTGAACAGGGAGCGAGGAAAAGGTCAGTGACCATGCCCCTGTTTGTTCGAGAGTCGCCTAACCTTAAACAGCTGGGTTCGACCGTCGTTTGTGTGGACAGGCTGAATGGAAGATTGGTGACAATAGTGCAAGAGCATCGCCACACGTTCATTGATCATGAAACACACGACGTTGGCACCCTGGAGGAAGCATTCATACACGTTAGGATTCCCTGGGCCTCAAACACGTGCTGCGGTGCCACCGGGATGGAATGTTCAATCAAGACAGGATGGAGGTGCGAGGACGTGTAACCAGAAACCAAGCCGCGTGGTGTTCACATTGTTTGGACAACGCAGCATCATTTATATTCAGACCACCTAAAGGAAAGAAACGAAATAAGTTGCCGGTCGAAAAAGGTTAAAACAATAACAAAGAGGTCAGATTTTCAAGGTCTCGACATAGCATTAATATTAAGACAGGGATAACTGAAAAGATTGGAAATCTCATCTTGTGGTGGGGGGAGTCAAACGGAAATAGAGCAACTCACAGAGAAGACCGCGGACTTTTTGGTGGTCGAATGAAAGTAGTTTCTGACATTCGCATCATGGTGTGTACTGTTGACGGACAATGTCACCTGGTAGGATATGATTTGTCAACTGCTCTTTTCGAATAGATTTGGGAAAGAGGAAAGGTCAGATTTTCAAGGTCTCGACAAAAGCATTAAGACAGGGATAACTGAAAATTGGGAAATCTCATCCTGCATGGTGAAGTGGAAGCATAGGGCGAAACGGAGCATCACCCACCCTATGAATGTCAGGCCTACCAGGCTAGGTCGCGATAGTTGCGACTGTTCAGCACCCCCTGTATGGCAGCCCGCCTCCGCTCTTCCCATGAGGAATACCGAATGAGAAAACTGGCGAAAGTACGACGTTCCAGTTGCACGTGGCGAGGGGGTTTACAGGCTGACTCAGGAAGGATAGACCCTGTTTGAATGGCATTATCAGGAGAACAATCTGCAAGCTGCCACAGGCAGGACACTCACCATGCTTGTCAAAGTGGCTGTCAACAGTCAATATTGTTCGACTTTTTTTTTTCAACTTTGTTTGGTCCTGTGATTCCCCATCACGTGCTTCGTCAAAAACGCTCGAAGAACGAAAAGTAACTCTTCATTCAACCGCTATCACTGTCAGGAGCGTTTCGTGGCACTCAAATTGTTTCTTGACGCGCTACATCAGCTACTTCTCTGCAAATTTAAAAAAAATGCATTTTGCGACCACAGCCAGGGATGTTATCTCACGAATCTGCTTACAGGAGCGTTGAAGTCCCTGGACCTATGTAACTTATGTGTTTAAACGTCCCTCGGAACCTTCAAACCTGATTCGTCTACGACACTGTTGCTCCCACCCACCTCTACTGTCACCTGTCATCATCAGATTGGTGTCTGAACGGCGACATCCGCTGTCCTTTGTTGGCGCACGTTCATACTATGCGATTGGTGACATATCTTACCGCCGGCATTTCTGCGGAAACCTTCTGTGGCCCTAATCATTTTTTGACATATTCCGCTGATGACCGTTCGCCTTATCGGTCAAGTCCGTAGGACGATTATAGCATTTTGTGGAATCTACGGGCCGTTGCTCTCACCAGGAGAAGGTTGAGGATGCACAGGATTCTGACCGAGTTAAGTTTGCAAAACAGGTGAGCGCACGTTCGCGCATTTCCGGTTGGAGCTTAGACCTGATCACCGAACTGGGAATACCTCTCAGGATATATCTCTAGCGTCGCAGCAGATATCGTATGTGGGTCGTCTAGTAATGGAGCCGCAGGAGTCCAGGACGACTCGGAACTCTTCAAATCGACACAAGTTGACCCTGATATCGATATCAAGCGCCCTAATTGCTCTTATCGCGCAATCATTCACTCAAGATGCTTCAGACACGTTTCTGTTCGAGGATCATTCAGGCTCGTGAGATGTGAGAAGTTGACGCCTCCTTGATTCAATGTTACAGCTTACAGCTCGAACAATGAATAACACAGAAGCTATCATGTGGTGACAACTCATGGAGCTACCCCCAAGTGCACATGAATTATTGTTACTTGTTCACAAGGTGCGGGGACTGGTAAGATGCCGAATATCATCAGTAATTTTTACAAAGTACCCGGAAGCACATCTTTTATTCTCACTATGTCCACCACTCGATCGAACGCCAAGAAAAACTGGAGAATCCCGACGCGCACTGCAGTGTCGGCATTGCGTGTTTAGAGAAAAGTCAGAACAGAAAGTCGATCTAATTCACTCCAAGTCCCTATCCTTACGCTCAAGCCATATGTAACTTGCGTCAACTCTTTCCAATCAGATTTCAAACCTTAGGAATAAGCCACTTGGGCTCTTCCATTTCATAACACTTTCCAGGTCGATTATTGCACCCCGTCGTTAGGAGACTTCTCACCACGTCAAATTTAAACATTCAAGAGGGGACAAAGCGATCTAGGCGCGCCGATCTTTGCAATCAAATCCATCACGCCACTCGATCACCTTCCATAAAATTCCAAAGTACCTTCAATTCCGGGGCGCGCGTCCCGATTTGGATGTCGGGCAATTGATAATTTCGAAGGCACTTGTCCCCCGGTTCTCAGAAATCTCGCACGCCGTTCTATCTTTGCGTTCTGATACTCCCAAGGATTGGCCATTGTCTACCATACCATTGTGCACAACATTTGCGAGTGCTGATTGCTCGGCATGTTTGACTTGGGCTCTGCGGCATACGGGAGGTACCTCCCGAACAACTCACGCCATTGATTGATATCTCCTACGCATCGCTCGATACGTTGATCAAGAAGGGCGGCAGAGCGTGGATTTCTCTTGGGTTTCTCATAGGAAGCGTTCAAAAACAGAAGTTCTGCGCACCGAAGGTCCGAAATACTAGCCTCCTCGTACATTTTTCTCACCCTATGTTTTTCTCGGAACGAAGCACCAAATATATCCTCGATCCATACAGTGCAATCTCGGACGATGTTAGCGTTTTTGTACTCTGGCCTTGAAACAAACCCCTCTAATTTTATTGCGACCTTGAATGCTTGGGTGCGCTTGGTGTCGAGTCTTCCTCGGCGTGATCGTGTTGATCATCAACTTCCAAGTTCTTGCATTTTTGCTTTCTCACTTCCAAGAATAGCCCCCGGTCCGATCCTCACATAAGATATCTTCCTTACACCTTTCTGGGGCTACAGAAAGTATCTTTTGAATACGAGTCCATGGTCCATGCTAGCGGCAAACTTGTAAATCTTTGTGGCGTTTCTGTAACTTAGTCAGGAGGTTGGGTGACGACGTCATTTACGAGTCGTAGGCAGGAAACATTCTGGGGTCGACCGTAAAAAATAAAATCCGTAATGGTTCTTGTTCAAGATGCTTCAAGGAATGTAAAACTGACGGAGGTTCTTTTTTGTGTAAAGAGTAGACGAATGGAATAGTAGTTGATGTCGCCACCTCAACGTCGATGACATCGCTTCAAATTATTTCCCGATAGGCTCGACGCGCGAAGATCCCTATGTTGCTGCCGTCAAGCTATCACATAGCAAGTCGATGAAATTCACGCCGAAGTGCTCTAGCCTTCAAGATAAGGACTATCAAACTCGAGAACTATTCCACAAGAGCCTGCTATGTCATTACCAGAGCCTGAAGCCCAACTTCGACGCCAACCAAAAATTCAAAAAGGCCCAATATTAATCCACTTACTGTATGACCCATTCTAAGACATTCTAGCCCCTCAAGATAAGGATTTAAATAAGACAATCAACAAAATGGCGAGGACACACCTGTATGCAAAACAAAAACTTGAACATCCACTCTGGACCATTTATTCAAGAATCAGCGATAACACCTTCATTCCAGTCATATGATACAGATAAGAACTGTGGACGTAAATATAATGAAGGACTATACTGATCTTCTGTGCAGAGCGAGAAACTTGGAACTTTGCGACTCCTTCGAAAAGGAAAAAAAGTCTAGGGCTGTTGGTTGATATGCTCTCACACAAGATCTTCCTTTCGCCCTTCTGGGGTTGCGGGAGGTATCTTTTAAATGTGAGTCCATGGTCCATGCTAGCGACCAACTTCTAAATTCTTGTGTCGTGTGTGTATTTAAACTGGTCAGGATTGGGTATTTACGAGTCATGAATTCGCTCATCGACCGTCAAAAAAATTCGCAATGGCTTCAAGGAGCGTACACCTTGAAATTGACGGAGGCATTTTTTGTGTTACTGGACATAGCTTCAAATTATTTCCGGGGTTGAAGAGGACGATCAAATTTCACCTCAGTTATCGACGCCTCCCGATGGGTTCACCCGCAAAGACACTTATGTTGCTGCTGTCAAGCCATCACGTAACAAGTTGATAAAATTCACGCTGAGGCGCTCTGGCCTTCAAGATAAGGACTTAGAAGAATCAAACTTGGATGCATGACACAGAGGTCGAGAACTCACAACTCTGACATCAAACCAAAAACTTGTATGACCCATTCCAAGGCATTCTAGCCTCTCAAGATAAGGATATAAATAAGACAATCAACGACATGACTGTCGCGCTCGTGCAACCTTATTCCATCCCAAAACAAAAAACTTAAGCTTAAACTTCCACTCTGGACCAAGCGATAACACCTTCATTCCAGTCATATGATATGATATGAATACAGATGAGAACTATGTAACGTAGATATAGCGAATGGACCCATTGACATACGTTGTGCAGAGCAGAAAAGCAAAAAAAAAAAAAAAGTCTAAGGTTGGTTGATGTGATATGAGAGGAAAGCGATCATAATGGATCGTTCGCGTTAATGTTCATATGTAAGTAATTGATAAAAATGAGCATGAGCAAGATGAAAGATAGATGTAGCGTTTTGGGTTTTGGGTTTTCGACAGCGTAGAGATGTTGTGAGGAGGGGGGATAGAGAAAGAAACAAAGTGAATAGCTGAACACCAGGAAGAAAGAAACAGAAAAGAAACAGAAAAGAAAGAAAAATCCATCCAAAGCCATCCAAATCCGCCAAAAAATATCAATCCAAATATAGCCACCAAATACACCCACCATTCTCGGTGTCACCGCCCATACTCAACCAACAACACCCCCCTTCTCCATCTTCTCCCCCACACCACCAATAGAATGGGCAGGTCCCTGCGCAAAACACCACTGACGCACGAAAGCCTGGTATATCTCATCAGACGAAGACGACGGTGAAGGCGTCTGCAAAGAGGGCGACGGCGAATTGGAGTGTGTCGAGTGGTGGGCGGCCTTGCGTGGCGTAGGGGGCGTATACGAAAACGCTGGAATCGGTACTGGGACTTGGACTTGTACGCTCTCCTCCTCCTCCTCTTCATCCTCCTCCTCATCCACTTCCTGTGAGAGCGTCTCACTCCCACTTCCACTTGACGACGCCGACCCGCCGCCCTCGAGTAAAAAAGCCGGCGGGGCCTTCTCCTCCCTCTCCCTCCCCTCTCTACGTGGAACAGGCGACCTAGGCGGAGAATGGGTACTCTTCTTGCGTATATTATCCAACAACAGCGCGGGGAGGGTCGTTTTGGGTTTGGTTGTTGGGAAGGGCGGTGGTGGGGACGATTTTGGCGTAGTCGTTGAGGGTTCAGTAGACTTGCGGGGAACAGGCGAGGCACCCCAACTCCAATGCATCCCACCCCCGTTCCCGTTCCCGTTCCCGCTACCAAACGCAAACGAAGAAAAAGGCGGGGAAACACCTATATTCATCATCTCCCCCGCTCCTGGACCAGAGATGATATCCATACCCACGCCTTCGCGTGGGGAGATACCCATCCCACCCAGACCTTCTTCGCGTTCTCGCCCACGACGAGACAACGAAACCGGCAATCCACACCCTTCCTCGTCCTCCCCCTCCTCCCCGTCCTTCAGCTGCTTGCCCGCTTTCTCATGTCCATGAACGAGTGGAAGAGGCAACGCATTATGTTCCCCCACAGGCGTATGTAACGGACTCGTAAGCGGGGTGGTCGTCAACGACTCGCTCGTTGCCGTTCCTTCCAGCTTCGACTCTGTGGCTATAGGTGGGGAGGAGGAGGAAGTCGCGCCAACTTGACTTTGACGAGGGGGGAAGGATATAACGGCGGCAGCGGCTGCTGCGCCCACACTCCCCGGCGCTGCGTAGTTCCGAAGGTTGAGTTTTTTGAGGCGGGTTAGCGTTGTTTGGGCTTTTGCTTGTGATAGTGTTGTTGTTGTTGCTGGGGATGTGGTGGTGGAGGGGTAGGAAGGAACGGTCCATGAAGGAGGGAGCGAGGATGAAGAAGATAGTTTAGGTGGGAGTGGGAACGACGCTATCAAAAAAAAAAAAAAAAAAATCCAAAAAAAAAATTCGTCAGCGAGGGAAGGAAGAAAAAGAAAAAGAAAAGAAACTGACGAGGAGCACTCAACGCAACCTGCCTCTTCCTTCCCTCCTTCTCCTTCACATGAAACGAAACCCGATAATTCTCACCCCCATTATTATCCCACCACTCCTTCCCCTCTCCACCACCCTCCGTAACATACCTGACCACAAGCCACATCGTCCGTTCGGAGAGGTTATGAGCGTAGTCTTCCAAACGGATCGAGAACCCAAATCTATCCCATCCTTCTACATTCGTCGGCGCCACCACATCACCAAGCGTCATCCCAACAGAGGTGGCGGGGGAGGAAGGAAGAGAAACAACATATTTGGCCAACACCTCGCTCGTCGTATCCCACTCATCCAACGTAAACCTAACGGCTACCACTTTTTCGTACGCCAAGTTCCGGACGAGGAGCGTTCCGGAGAGGTTCATCCTCTCCGTCTTGAACACCAAACTTTCCAAGTGTATGTTATTCCCAGAAGAGGAAGGGGAAGGCACCGGGCTCGAGTTCTTTGTGTCTATTTCGAATGTCGTCGTCCCTAATCCTGATGTAGCCAATGGAGATGGGGAGGACGAAGATCGAGGGAACGGATACCCCCCTTTGTTGTTGTTATAAGACCGCCAACCACTAGCACCGACAGCAGAGCTCTCGCCCTCCGTCTCCGTCTCCGTTTCCTCTCCTTCCGGCTTTGACAACGCAGCTGGCTTCGCAGAGCGTTTGAACAACCGTACAGTAGCCAGTCCGCCCTCTTCCTGCGATGGGAAGTGCACGTTTTTCGGATGTGCAGAGGGCGTTTGGGGTGGGCTGTCTGAATGGGTAGGGGAGGATGGGGGCGAAGGGAGGTGCGGCGTTGTTGGTGCCGATGCTGCTCTCAGATGATGGGAGTGGTTGTGGTGGTGATGATGATGCATCATGGACGGGACTAGGGACTGAGGTGGGAATGGGATGTTGGGGGAGGAAGAGGACGATTTGAGTGATGATTTGAGTGGTTTACCGTTTGAGAGGAGGATTGGGGTTGATGAGGTTCGTGAGAAGGATGGTCTGGGCGATGAAGAGGTCGTGATAGGAAAAGGGACCTTGGCTTGTTGAGGGACGGGGCTGGAAAGGGGAGAAGTGCGCGGGAAGGGGACGGGTCCTACTGAATGAGAAGGTGCAGTTTTCATGACTGGTGCAGGAGCAGCGTCGTCGTTGTCTGAATGAGACGAATCTTCGTCGTCTGATTTTAGATGGAACCTGGGTGTAGAGACCGTCTTCCGACGGGGTGGTGCCATGGGAGTGTATGCGCCACCAGTGACGAAGGATATATTGGAGTGTGAACGGCGGTGACCTGGGTGGCCTTGAGACGGTGTACCCGGGATGGAGTATGGCATTGGTGTGAGTGACGTCAAACTTGGGACCAAGGTCAAGACGTTTGCCATCGCTTTCGAGGGCGGGCGAAAACTCACCAGACGACGAGACGGATATATACAGGAGAGGAATGGGAATAAGAACGAGAATCGGAAAACTGCGGTTATTAGATATCCATTTTCTTGTTGCAAAATGCTTGAGAGCTGTGTCATGAAAATTTATTTCAAAATGTGGTCATCTTCTTAGATCAGAATCTTACATCTCGATCAACTCGATCTTCATTACAAACTCGGTGCCTCCCACGTTGCCTTATCTCCTGCACCCCCTTTTTCATCGCATCGGTTATCTACGTCCTTGCCGCTATCTGCGCTTGCAATTGGAAGGAAATACAGTTTTAATTATTCGCCGGTGGACGTCCGCGTCCCAGCCAACGAGGGTTTGCTTCCTGTCGTCGAAAATTCCAATGCCAATGGCCAAGTTCCGGAGAGTTCCAGGTGCTTTGAAGACTCGAATCTCCAGCTCCACTTTCTCTGGGCACATGAACAAAAAACTGTATTACTTTTGGACAGATGACTGTATCGCATATGACGAGCAAATGATAACATAGAAACACAACAGATGTTCAAAATTAGGGTGTTACGGCAACAATTCAACATTCGGCACGAATTCGCCGAATGCGCTCGCGCTATCACCTGCGCAAACTTGCGCTTCGCCACAGTACTCATGACTGGGGGCATAGCGCTCTGATACTCCACTTCCAGGAACGTACGGCGCTATGTGTGACTTTACGTCCAGCTCCACTCTAACGACAGATCGTATCCGTTAATTGGGATCGCTTGCAGCCGTAATTAACAAATACGTTCCCAAAAAAATCTGCAAAGCACAACGCACACGGAGGCAGACCAAACCGTCGACGCGCATCCAGGAAATAAAAAGAAAAAACTCTCGTTAATCCCCGACCGACTCGCACCGCAAGGCAGTTACACTTACACTTACACTTACACTTACCACCGATCTACCTCCCCACCCACGCTGGTACTAGTTACTTACGGAACTTTGGAGCGATCATGCCGAATCCTTGCGACGATCAAACACAACTCTTCCAAGTTCAAGTTGTCAGCGTGCTCATTCGAACAAGGCAATCTCCGTCCTTTTTTTTTTTTTTCTCAGACGGGCAGGTACTGGACCTTCGAGACGATCCAGCACTCCTTCAAAGAGCAGCCTGAGGCAGGGCAGGCAGGGTCACCGGGGTGAGTGGGGGGGGGGGGATCGACGTAAACCATTCGGGACACACACCACAACGATTCGAGTACAGTAGCCTGATGCGTACTTGATAGGAATACGGGACGCGTTTCCACCCCCACACTATCTCTCTCAGGCTCAAGGGACGCGTTCCACACGATCTCAAGGGGGAATGTCGTTAACCCCTCACCACACGCTGATCCTTACAATCTCTCAAGGGACGGATTCGAACTTGTTCAACCCTCACCATACGTACGCTGATAGAACTTGGGAAGCACGCTCTTCACCCTGACGAAGCACACGGACTGCAAGGAAGAGTCGCCGCCCTCGCTCCGAGCAGGGTCGTCGGGGGGATCGACTGTCAAACTCCTCTGGCCATGGAGTAGCTAGGAAGTAAGGAAGTAAGAAAGGGTTCTAACTCCCCCCCACCAGCAAGTGATCGGCGAACGTTTCAAGTGGGGCAAAAGATTAGATAACGACTAGTAGTAAAAAATACAAATTTCAGTTTCTGAAAATAAAAGGTGGCGTGGGCGGTGGGGAGAGTTTGCGTGTATAGTAATAGTATTTTGGGAGTGGACTTTGGAAGTGAGTGCCGGCCGGGAGTGAGGTGGATGAGAAGCGAAGTGGAAATTGCAGGAGAATTTCTCTCTTTTTTTTTTTTTTTTTTTTCAAAGGCCAATTTGGGAATCATGTATGTATCAAGAATTTCGCGAGGTTACCCATAGAACGGTGGAAAGTTATGACCTCGGGAAAAAAAGAGTTAAACTCCTCTGGAGTAGCAAAGAAGTAAGAAAAGGGTACCTTCTAACTCCTCCAGGCTCCCAGGAAGAGATCGGCGAACGTTTCAAGTGCGAATGGACCGATCCGCGCACAAAAGATTAGATAACGACTAAAAATACGATTTCAGTGGTTGGAGTGACGAAATAAAATAAAGGTTGGCGTGGTACGGTAGTGGGGAGAGTTGCGTGTATAGTATTTTGGGACTTGGGAGTGAGTTGGAGGAGGTGGATGAGAAGCGGGAATTTTTAAATGATGAACGGAAGTGAAGTGGAAATTGCAGGAGAATTTTCCTTTTTTTTTTTTTTCAAAGGCCATTTTCAAGTATTGCGTTTGGAATTATGTATGAGAATCTCTCGCCATTGTGTGGACGTTACCTGAGAACGGTGGAATAAATATTATGACCTCAGGGAAAAGAGAAATAAACCCACGTGAACAGCAGGGAAAAGAAAAGGGAAAAAAAAAGCGTACACTTCAAGTAGGCCGAGCGCGCGCTGCGCGTGTTGTCGCGTACCACAACCCCACACTCATTACCACCCGCCTCTCAAATTAAAAATGCCGACGTCGGGCCTCCGAGTCGGCTAGTAAATACTTACCTCGCTCCCCGCTATGTCAATTAAATAATCCCCCAAAGGGCGTTTATCCATGTAGCCGACGCAAAAGCATGTGGTTTCATGTTACCGATTTAAAAGCCCTTTAAACCCATTGATCACCCACAATAATTAACATACCGGTCTCCTTGACTCGCCACCCTCTTCCAATCCCATATGGTGGTATTTGAAATTGCGGTACCTCAGCCGTTAGCTTCAAACTTCTTCTAATATCAAAAGTTGGAACGCGTTCCCGGATGCGCTTCCCTCCAAGGTCATCCATTGTTCCAAATGTCGAGTGGAGCCACCCTCTGGGTGCAACTAGAACAACACGTTATCGATCAGGTGAACAACACGCGCCAACCTTTGCTTGCAGGTGGGCTACGCACGCAATAAGCTAGTGGGTTGGGTATACATATTTACCTTTCGTTGAGATCAGCAGGCATTGTGTCCGAGCTCGGTGTATTAGCACAAGTGTGATAACGTTTGAGAAAATGCCAACGTCTGGCAAATACCCCGTTCCTTCTTTCCCAACTACGCCGATTAATCAAAATTTCAAAGTATTTTTTGTCTATGCAGCGGATTCCGAAAACGCATCTACCAATGTAATTATAATTGAACCCAGAAACGCGCCGATTAATTATAATTAACCCACCGGTTTCTTAACTACCAGCACCCTCCCTTTCACCTATTTGAAATTACGCCTAGTACAAAACGCCACTGCAATCCTAAATTTCTATCAACATCAGAACATACGCAAAATTCGCGGCTGCGCTCCATGGCCAAAGTATCCACACCCTCCGACAGAACGCACGTTGATCACCTGAATATTACAACCCTTCAACACGCAGGTCAGTACTTCACCTTTCCTTTCAACTCAGATCAGCAGACGAACGCGAACCTCGGTATAACCCGGATCCACACGCGTATCACGGGGAGCATGGTGAGTCGGAGAACGCGTAACGGGAATGGAAAACAACATGGAGAGGGTATTTGTATTGTACGTGTTTTTAAACGCTAACGCCCCACGCACGCTACTTACTTCTCCTGTGGGGGGTGGAGGTAGTTTGAAATGATTTGAACGCAATCTGTGGGGTTCGTTTGGAAGAACGTTTGTGGACGGTATTTTATCTTCTAACATTGACTTGGACGGCTGTTGATAAAGATGAATCTTACCAAGCGGATGTAGATCGGTGTGTATTTCAAATCTATAATAGACCTAGGCGTCGGTATCGTCGTATCGATGAGCGCGTTACGCTTGGAGGTGGAAAAAGGCGGCGCGACCCTGAAAACATGTTTGATTCGGCCAAGTCTCCGTTTTTCATGACCACTTGAGGCGGGCCGAGAAAACGCGATAGGGGGCGGTGAGGTTACGGCACTCTTGTTTGGATAAGAAAATATAGTAGCAAAATGGACTGTGTAGCATAATGGATTTGAGGTATCTGGTGTTTGTTGGCAATGCCTCTTGTTTTGCCTGAAATTGGCAGGGTTAGAAGGGAATTCAGTGAGGATAAGAACATTAGAGCCGCACGTTTCGCTATCCCCCAGACGATATGTAGTAAAGTCTTTCAAAGAATGGAGACCACCTACATGTCGACGTCGGATAAGTAGAATGCATAACCCTGCGTGGAATAGAGTTGAACGCCTCGTTGTCTAGTAAGTACGCCACCCCACCTCCTTCATTCTAACTCTATATTTTATGACACCTTATCTCGCTACGAGCGCACACCAGTTGCACCTTGCAGACACTCAAATTCAAATGGGGTCACTCACTTCGCACGTCATCCCACGCCCCCCACCAGAACACTCGCGCCCCAACCCCGAAAGCTCAAGCTCAAGGCTGAATGGAATAATTCACCCTCGGCCGCTTCGATCCGATGTCCATCCAAGAGAATCTACAATGAGAGAAATGTCTTTCACTGGGATACGACGCCTCAGGAGATGTTACGGTTTATTCCGTGGTCCTTTTCCTGGGTGTGTGTATCCCTGCCAGTATCCAAGCCTGATCGTGTCATCCTGAGTGAGAATGTCACTATAGATCCCCGGCACAGCGCGTTTGGCAGGCTCCATATAGAAAACTCGGAAACATGGTCGTAAGATACGTCGTTTCACATGCTGAAGTTGGAGCAATGAAATTGCAAGGGGGGCCAGAAGGTGACTGATGGAAGTTTGAGAGTCGGTTTGGACTTTGGTTTAAAGAGACAAGATGTTTTAATAAGTTGGTGTCTTTATTGCGTGCTTGTAGCGTAGGTGGCTGTTTGTTCAGCCCTTGCCCCTTACGCGAGATAGGGTGGTTGCGTACCCTTGGTCCTTTTTGGTCGGGTTAGTGAAATGAATTGATGATCGCAACAAGATCGCAAGAGGAAATGTCAAAGACTACCATCACTGCCTGTTTGCGTTCAGGTGCGCAGACAAACATTGCTTATGTTTGCAGGACGAACTTCTCAAGCATTTACCAATCCGAGAGGGAAGAATTTCGATTATGCTTTCTATGTAATTATAGACCCTAGTGCTAAAAAGTACTCCCACAGTTTTATATTTTATATTTTTTCAAAAATTTCAAAGTCTGGATCACAGCAATGTGTCCTGCACTTCGATCATTCATCCAAACTTGTCCTGAAGCACGATCCGGAGAAAATATAATAAAATTCTGGTCAAATAATCTCCTTGATTGAAATATGAGGGTTGAGCCAGACTGTTACTCACAGACTTCAATTTCGCCGGGCCATGTCGGCTTGGAACCTAGCCCGGCCCGCCTGCACTTTCGATAAATTTGGCATCATACCAAAGTCCATCAATAACTCAAATAATCATTAATCACCCTTGGAACCTTCCAATTGATTAGAATCAATGATAATGCAATATGATCAATGTATTACATATGTTCAATGAGCCAAGATATTGGCGTTCTCAACATATCATCGAATTTCATCAGCATGAGTCCTAATTAAACACAGATATGAGAAGCAGTGAAGTTCTCTTTGTTTTATTTTAGAGAAAAGCACACGACAATTTTAGCCTCTCATAACTCGTTCGACATATGTACCTATGCATATCATGGTAAAAGGTCACCAGTCATCGGTCACCCCTTTGGGTAAAGCCGGAGCAAAAAAGGACCAGACGACGGCATTATCCGAACTTGACCCTGCACGGCATCTCTTCGCAGAAATCCACACCCCAAGTTTCTTTGCAGTCACAACACCAGCCCCGACTATGAAATAAATCCATAGGACATTTCATGGAAAAGCGGAAGAACAAATGATTTAAATTCAAGTTCCCACAGCCTCTGACATGTAGCTCATGCTCTAAATACCTGGATGAAAGAGTTGAAAGGTTAAATATTTAGACCTCTGACAAGGTCAGTTAATACCTCCTGCTTGGAGCATAAGATTCTTTTCCCATGATCTCATAAATCGCTGGAGAGATGTTTCTTCAGATACAGCAAAAAAACTGGCAAGGCTACATTCTGAGGACAGACACAAATTCAACTGAGGAATTTTAGACACAATACCTGTCTCTGATTTAAAGATTAAGCAAAAAATTCTTTTGCTCATTACGGTTAAGTAGACACTGTATTCCATTCTTCTGACAAAGGCTCAGCCTCAATAAAAAGCAAAGCCAAGCAAAATAGCACAAAGTCAGAGGTCAGTCAGGTGTACTATTAAAGGTCAGGTACTCGGCCACCTAAGGGTTCCTGGTGGAATAACAGTGAATCAAAATACTTACATATCTCAAGCTTTGGTCAGATGCTTGGCAGCTACGTTAGGAAGGACCTAAAATACTTGCCATGATGTTTGAATCAACTATGTAACTGTGATGGGGATTCTCTGACAGAGGGTGGGAAATTGCACAAACCTGAGAACTCGGCCAATCAGAGGAGCATGGGGCTCATGTGGGTTGAAACATAAAATTTGGGTGCAATTATACATACTACTACCAGGATCTACAACATCAGCAAGTTTCAAGCCAAGAGTCAAAACACTGATGCTGGGCAAAGCGTTGCCATATCGGGGGGTGAGGGTCTTAGAAAACATGCCAAAACACCACATGGCCACCCATCAACCCATCATATCTCAAATTGGGTGATCTTTGGCAAATTCACATTCATGCCAATAACTTCCTGTACTACAGCCCTCAAATTTAAACATACACTATGGTAAGTGGTTTGCTGTCTAGACCCTAAATACTGAAATGGCCAAGTACCCAGGGTGGCCGAGTAGGTGACCTTTGATAGTACGTCACATCTGTAATTTTCATGCCACCCTTGCCTCAAACTTCCCTTGGCAACAAATGGGAGATGAGTTTAGTTATAGGTTAGTATCAACTTCGTCATACTTTTTCTACACATGGCTATGCCAAGAATTTCTGTCTAGCTGAGGCCTCTGAGGCTGCAAGCTGTGGTGCATTGGACTTAGAAATGTTGTGAGTTGAAAGTCACATGATTGCTTCGTTGAAAAGTCATTTTGAACATTTGAACCTGTTTGAACTTGACCTTGTCACTTCAACGACCAGCTCTGCACACTCCTCCTCAACTGCTCAATTGACGACTCTGGCTGCTGGTGAACCAGCTACACCTGCAGAGGTCCTCGTCAATGGATTCCACTCCTTATGCAACGCACAAAACGAGCACACGAGGATACCACCATCGTGACTGACTCCCCGATGAAACGAAGGTCATTAGCCCCCAACATGCTGTCACTGCCTCCGACTTCCATCCATTACATGAAAATACGACGGCAATCCAATGAAGTGTTACATTGGAACCAGGCTTACAGACGACCAGTCGATGCTCTTTGGCTGGACGGCCCACCATCACCACCACCAAAACATGGCGAGCACAGGTAATCCTCATCAACAACCACATTCTCAATGCCCCCTGCTCAAATCCAGGTGGCGCACTCATCAACTCCCTCTCTTCCCTCCCCATTTCCCATGCAGATGGGATGGCAACGACTCAAACTCGGATGCGGAGGATTCAATGGATATTGGATAAGGTAATGGACCACTCAACGACGAGCTCGATGGTGTCATTGGAGCACTTGAATGGACTCAACATGCTGCAGAGGGCCTTTTATTCTGACATGATCCTGAGACCCTCTTCTTATTCTAGTACTGAAAACCCAAGTATTCCTCCCCCCCCCCCCCCATACTATAATTAGTCTCATGCCTACTTTAAGTAGCCAAATATAATTTGATTCAGCCTATTTGCTATCCTGAATTGGGCCCAAGCAGCAATGACTGGGATGTGACTATTGTATGACTAGTACATGACTGAGTGTAAGACTAATATATGACTGTTGTAGTATGAGCGTAGTCAGAAACACTTTTAAAAAACGACATTTAGTCAGACAGCCTCTAATTTAGTGTTAGCAGGAACTCCACAGCAGGATTTTGATTTCTGACGAACTCAATTCCTCCATTCACCAAACACCCAAATACACTGATAAGCTTGTAATACCTCACTATGCTGTTCAATGTTTGTATTATTCTTTGCCCCACGTATTTTTCTCAACCTCTGTGTATTTTTTCATCCCATGTAAGGCAGATCTCATCACCAATGATTTATCGGGTATTGCCGACTATGCTTTAATTATTATCAAGGTGGACTTTGTTTGGACGTAGTTTTCTACCCTAACCGTAATCGCTTTCTCTGTATATTTTCTTCTTTCTCCGCCAACTTTGTTTCTTCTTCTGTATATTTTTTCACACCACACGGCATATGTTTTTTATTCTTTGTTTCCCCATGTATTTTGTTACTGACCTATGTTCAAAAACACATGTGCAAAAATGTTCTGTAAAGTACACAGAGAAGAATAAAAAATACTCAGACACTCAATGATGACTTAATCAACAATTACTAGTGCGGTGCTTCGCTGCGCTCAGCCCCTTGCAGCTTTTGATTAGTAATGAGAATGTTAAATTAAATAATAACCACAGCTTCATCATAAGAAAGAAGAAGAAAAAGCGAGGGCTGCGTTCCGCGGAAGTGTTGGGTACTGGGTGGCATGGCATAAAATCTCTGCTCATCATGCTGCTTGGGAAACATTCTTTGAAACACACCAGCTCCGGGCTGAGCATATATTCTGATGAGAAATTTAAATAATTAATATTACAAAAAGGACCCTTAACATTTTTTGGGTGTGATAGATGAGCATACAAACTCTCAGAGGGAAAGGCGAGTTTGGAAGCTCCATTGAGTGTGAGTGTTGTGCTGTGTCCCGTTTAGAGGAATAATGTACCATGGTCGATCTCACTCCCTAGATGGGTTGTAGCTGCTTTTTTGCTTCGGTGTCTAGAATGGTAGAGATGTTCCACCCTAAACGATAGAGGCGAAAGTGAGGCAGGAACTGGGGAGTTATAGATGCCATACTCAATATGCCCTAACGCGAAGTTATGGTGATCGACTTTGTGCGTGCATGAAGAACTACAACTTGCAATTTAGACATGAGGGTTAATGACAAAAACACTTACTTTGTCATTCTTATCGCATTCCCTTTCTAGTTGGTGGACATTGGTGAGATTACTTGTTTCTGCCTGTTAACGTCTTGATATATCCTGACTTGGATTTTTTTGTATGCTAGATCCTGGCAAGATGTGTCGTCGATCAGATTGGACCTTTTCATGGTCGGCAATGGTAAAGTTGGCAATACCAATGCTCCTGGTGTCATAGATCAGTCAGTTATAATGCTGAGACAACAACAGAATAAGGTGTGGATGATAACACCAGCTGTTCAAACGACTACAGTACCGTTGAGAGTCAGGGAATGACAAAGTCACATGAACAACCCAACGACTGGAACATATAAACATTGTCACAACAACTCGCGGCTTTACCATCGTCGCATGCGCAATGCATCGTTTAACGAAAAGAAAGCACAAAGGGCATTAAATTGAGTGTGATCTATGTATCTGATGTTAAAAAACAACCTACACGTCTTCGATCACACTGGAACTGCTCCGGAAACACATCGACACAGCGGCGTCAACAGAAGAAAATACAAAACTAAATTTATTACAAAAGAAACCCTGTGCAAAAGTAATTCAGTCGTCACAGTCACTGTGACGATCAGGTAAACAGGTGGAGTACCCCCAACAAACGCTGGCTTTGCCGAGGCAGAAGAAAAAGCGAATACTTTTGCAAAAAAGCGGCGTGGCATCCTAGATGACGGCCGAGATCTGAGGACAGTGGGCAGTTCCGCAAAAATGTGCTTCAAGACAGACTGCAAACAGTTGATGAGCACCATGGGAAACACTCCAAAACCTAGCCAAAATACTTGTATTGATTCGACAGGCTTGGCGGAGACGGTAAGCGATTTTTCAGCCCTAACCCTAGCCACTTTATATCTATATTTTCTTCCATCTCTGCCTACTTTTTTCTTGCTTCTGTTTAGTTTTCACACATGTCATATGTATTTTTTTCTTCACGTATTTTATTGCTGACCCGTGTCCAAAAATACGTATGCAAAAATGTTCTGTAAAATATGTGGAGAAGAATAAAAAGTATGATCAACAATGATTCAACAATCTCCACCAAATTTGGCGGAGACAGTAGATTCATGCCTCGGTGTTGAGACAGACATGTTAGATTTGTCGGGTTGGGGCCCTGGGGGTGGGTTTTATGATAGTTTTTATCTTCCACAAATTTATTGAGTTGGTTTTTAAGATTTGAATCGTGAGAAACACTATGGCGCAGACATAAATTGAAAATCCTGCCGTGGAGTTCTCGCCAACCTTACTAATTGGTGACTTTCTCGTGACTAACGTCTGACTTCGCTATTTACTGAGGCTCAGCACTCAGCGTCGGACCAATTGCCGATGTAACTGGAATATTCCCACGCATGATTCAGAAATCTAACCCTCCCAAAACCCTCCTGCAACCCTCCTGCAACCCTCCTGCTTCTTTGATATCGGACACTAGTTTCGTTCTTAATCTGTCGAATTGATACGGACACCCTCAAGATTGGATTTGGCAGCAGCAAACCAACACAGAATCCTCACCAAGTCAAGGGAACTCGGGAGGAATTCGTCGAAGTTCCTACCACCTTGCTCTTGGATGGGCACGTCCTATCCATGCGTGATGGTCCTCTCGCCTCTCTCGCATTTTAATGAGTACTATGATGTAGCTATTTCACTGAACTGTTGAAAGGGTTTAGATTTATTGGCACTAACTCTTGGGCTTGAACGAAAGGTGATCAACGAAGTTTTAAGTGAGTGGCAATATGCACCGCTCTGCGCTCCCGAATCCTGATGTATCAGCCGCACGTCAGATTAAGAAAACTCCATTGCCCGAACTTGCCATTGCGCATGGATCGAAGGCGCTGGCGATACCAACACAACTCCTTTCCCTCAATCGCTTAAACGCTGATGGAACTGCACAAACACGATGCGTCTACTCGACTGTTGTTCTTTTTGATGTGCAGTTACATTCGGGAGCATAGCAGGAATCAGGCTAAACTTTATCCCTTCAGGACCAATCGTGGGTTAATTTCGTGGTCGTACTGAAGGCCTTTTGACGTCGAATTGCCATATAGTACAGTGTCGTCAAGGTAAGTCAGTTTCGACGGGCAATGTCCATCTAAAGCTCGATTCGCCACCACTTCCCCCCTTGTGCAGACCTTCACCCTGGCTTTCCTCTGCCCAAAAAATCCTGGTCCATTGACAACCACTCACTAGGCCACCCTTACCCTCATTGGTGCACGGGTTTCCCTCTCCACCGACATCATCGACCATGTGCATGCAGTAACCTATCCTCCCATCCTTCGTTTTTGCGTCAGGCGACTGAGCAGCACGACTCGGCTCTCTGCGCTATATATTCAGTACACGGAAATGAGGGTACCGGAGCCCCTTGCCTGATCTTCGTTCTGGTCTTGGAAGTGCGCAGATCGTATTATAACATGGCCTTGAAGTGGCCATAAAGACAATTCGTATAAGAAATACATGACGCAAGAATTTACGTCTTCAAGTTTCCGGATTCGTCAATCTGACTGATGGCAAATGGGGTAGAAACAGGCCCGCGTTGCTCGTGTCTTTTTCGAGAATGAATCCCGCCACGAATGGAGCGCCTAAAATTCTCCAAAGAACATCATGGCTCGATTTTGCAGGGACCAAAAGTATCAAGCCGCTGCCAGACAAACGCAACGGTACACCAGAAGGCCGGATACAGAACGCCAGCCACCTATCCCGCTATGGCCAGGACGGAGGAGGTTTCGTAGTTTAGGTCCATCGACCTTACTATTTCGCCCGCCAAAAATTCATAATCAGCCACGTGGCTGGATGCTTCGTTTAATGGCAGGTTGATGTCCACAAATCCTCGTGTTGACCATTTCAGGTTTACAGTTGGCTGAATTCCCAGATGAGCGGAAGCGTCTTCGTATCGGAATTTCTCATGGAATACAGTGAGGAACTTTTTTTGACGACCGTTTGTAAACCCGAATGATTTCCCGCAGAGCTAATCGGAATACCCATCTTGAAGCTTTTCCTATGCAATCGGCGAATTCAATTGGTTCACTGTGCAGCAGCGGCGATGCTCAATATTTCGTGTTTCGTTGAAGACTTGAGGAAACGAGGATACCTTGACCTTGGAATTTAGAAATCATCGAGAAAAACCTTTTGGCTTCGATCCGAGCTCATCATTGCGCGGATCCTTCTTGACATCTTCTCGTGTGGGTAACGATGGCGGGTACATGGGGCTCTAGGCTTCGGGTTCTTCCCGTAACTTGGCATCGCGTCCGATGTCATAACTTTGCCTTTTTCGTTTAACTTGAAAAAGGTCGACCCAAACTGTTTCTCGCCCTCCCCCACAACTCTTCCTGCTCGTTTCTTGATTTGCACCCTTCATCCAGACACTCCTTGAAAGCGATTCGCACCATGGCAGATATCTCAGGGTTACCCCATTTTGTTCTTGACAATACGTACGTTCTTCGTCTTTCGCATTTTGACATTCACTGAGTATTCTTTTACAGTTTTGGTGCGGCTTTCATTGGGTTGGTTGTTGCAGCGACGTGAGTAGGCTCTATCGTGCTCTTACATTTTTTTTCCACTGATCGCCTCAACAGGCTGCACGGAGGTGCGTTTTATGTTCTCGTTCCCTTGTCATTTCTATAACGCGGCTCCTCCAGTTTCTTGTGTTCAAGCCTGGTACTATTTCACTCATCAAGGCGATCAATGGCCAATCAGACTTCTCGTATGACTGACTCGACGACGAGGTCGTACCGTATTCTCATACCATTTCATAGGTCGGCGCCGTCATGGCATTTGACACCATACACCAAATACTCATCACGCATACTGGTAAGTTGATGTCATCCGCCTCAGATTCCACTCATTATGGCCGTCGCAGTTTATATATATGCCATTTCGAATTGGGGAAATCCCAAAATTCTTGGCCGACTTGTCTGGTACGCATGTTTTGTTTGGCGTCCTTCTTCGCATCCTCATTTGACTCTTTGGAACTCCAGGAGCATGTTGGTCGAAGTTTTATTCAATGTGGGTATAATTAGCGTCTCCAGCGATAGGCTCATTGATGGTTGGTTTTTTTGGTATAGGGATTCACCGCGTTCCTCGTTCAAAGGTCAGTTCATATCATGGTATCTTCGACTCCTCTCCCCCTGATCCTCTCCATAGTTTTCTCGCAATGCGCATATGGAAATGTATGTTTCGAACACCGACCCTCATTGATGTAATCTAATTAGCTGGCAGTCAGCAACCGGAACCCTTGGCTTACCCTTTTAGTCGTAAGTTTTGTTTCTTTTCTAACGACGGTTCAACAGCTCAAGTTGTGGTAGGGTTTACTTATAGCTGGGGAATTTGGTGCGCCGTTTGTTCCAGAACTCTTTCGGTATTCGCTCACGCCGCCTGTAATTAGGATGCGTCTTATGTAAGTTCCCCCGCCGCAACCATCGTCACGCTCATCTCACTAAAGATGAATTTGAATTTTAGCTTATACAGTATTGGCGTACGTCTTGCTCCTTCTCCTTTGCTTCCTACTTACTCTCCGCCCATGATAGATTACGATTTGAGACCTTCGCCCAACTCGCCCACCTAAAAGCAAGCCCAATTCACCACTCCCCGCCTTTCACCTCTAATTTTTGATATTCACAGAGCTTATCGATCATAGTCAACGCGTTGGCGGCAGCAGGCGACGTGCTCATCGCCGGGACCCTATGCACTATTTTACACCGCTCTCGCACCGGATTCCATAGGTCCGCTCTTCCTTCTTCATTGAGTCTCGGTCTGGAACCTTGTTTAATTTATTACGCAGATCAGATACAATGATCAATAAACTCGTGCGTGATCTTGCATCTCCTTCGACTTCCTCCCTCGTCATTAACGCGTCCCTCAGATCCTCTTCTCAGTGAATACGGGCTTCCTCACGAGGTAAATATGCTTCAGTAAATCTTCAAGGTTCAGTCACTTATAAAGGCTATATACACAGCCTTTGCGCCATCGCTTCCCTGATCTCCGTACCTCCTTCTTTGTTACCATCTTTCCCACCTACTGATAACTTCCCTAGATTGTCGTTGCTGGCCACACATTTTTGTACATTGCCTTCTTCTTTTGCATTGGACGTCGTAAGTACCTTTCCATGTTTAACTCCTGATTGATCGTACATCACATATAGTATATTCAAACTCTCTGCTCGCGACCCTCAATGCGCGCAAGATGATCCGCGGAGCTGCAGACGGAGTCCATAGCACTAGCACCTGCGAAAACATGTCTCTAAAATCATTTAGCCATAATGCGAAGTCAAAGACTGTGGGTGTTTCGTCGGCAGCCGCTCGGGTTCGTTCCCTCGCCCCCTCATTTCTTTGCCACGTTTTGACTTTGGAATTTTATTACTCGTCAGCGACAAGCGAATATATCCATTAAAATTGACACTACGAAAGAATTCGCTACTGACTCGGATCCGGAGAATGATACGGAGAAACATTCCGTGGTGATGATGGTATGCTCCTCTCCTACAGTATCATATTCTTTCGGGCTTACGGTGCCGTAGACGCCCACATGTATGACTCATGGGTGTTTAGAGCTTGGGAAAGGGGGTGATATGGTGTGATAGTAGTGCGGGTCGCTTTCTATTTTCTTTCGATGTAGGCTGATTCCATGCCACTTTGGTACGCACGGTATTTTTCTGGTATTTAGACTGAACAAAGGAGGCGGACAAAGAGGAATTGTCCGTGGCCGTACTGACGTATATAAAATGATCTATGTTTGCTCATTCGACTGACGAAGCTATATTGTTCAAAGCTGACGAAATTATTGCTGATGCTAGCCGTCCTACGTGACGGAGCACGGAGTTGTCATTTCAAAGCTGGGAACAGTAGGAGTACGCGTTCTCGCGCGAACAACTCCCGTTGGCGTAGCAATATCACCTTCAAAGTTACCTTTATTCAGGTTCAAGCGCCCTTCAATCACGAGGAACTTTGAGGAGAATGTTGGGATTCCCGGGAACCAGCAATCTTGGAGTGCCAGTGATCTAGAAGTATTTCTGAATAACCCCTCTATGCAACCCTCACAAGGAAGTAAAGACTACGTCGTAGCTCCATGTCTATCCACGACAGGTTTTGTCCCTTTGATCTCTTCAGGTCACCGTATTATTTCACCGCAAGTCATCTTCCAGTGACACCCCCTGAAATAATTTGAATTCTTCGAAGTTTATGTAAATTGCAAGTAAATTGGATTCATGACCTCCGGAATAGCAGATATCTATTGGAACTCTCTCGGAAGTCCGAAATTCCTCCCTAAACTTCCCAACCTCACAGGTTTCTAAAAGCTTGGATAAGATTTCGGAACGTCGGTCTACATTACCAGCATGAGTTGCATAAGGATGTCCACATGACTCGGCCCGCAGTGGGATTTGTAGATGGAAGCCATATGCATCCAGTTTTCCATTCGCCTCACTTCAAGCTTCCCAACAGCCTTGTCTTCCTTCTGATATTTAGTCACATACTGTAGCACAGCGATTTCAGTGATATTGAATACCCCGTATATTTTCTGGGTTGTTGATAGCTTTCCGAATTATTGGCAGACCACAAGGAAATCGAGCCGAACATCGAATAACAATAAAATTGTCAAGGCGGGGCGGCGGGAAGAGCTTCTATCACTTGATTTAGGACAATCTTAGTTTGGAGGTCATTGGCCGCTTCACGGCATTAGACGATTCCTCTGGCCAATAGCGCGAGGAGGTCTCGAACGGCGACACCGTCTCTTTATCAATTGCACTTACCTTGCACTATTTTTGATCCACAAAAGTTAGTCTCCAGGTACGTCAGTGAGTACATCATTGAGCCGTGAAATAAGAGATAAGGGGCGGTGGTGGGAGGCAAGTGGGAGGTCTTGTGGGAGGTTGGCAATTGAGTTGTGGGAAAGCTAGATATCAGAATTTGATGCCAAGTTGCTGGGCGCCGTAGCCGGTAAATGCCGAGTTGGGTGCGGAAATTCAGTTTCCAGGGCTTGCTGTCACCCTTTCCTCTAATCCAATTCCATGCCCGTCGATACTTCCAAGGTATTTCCCAGTCGAAGGACTCAAAGGCAGATAACAGAGGAAGAATTGAGGGATATCGAGCTGAAGAGGCTACGGGGTGCGTATTTCCCTCATACGAAGCTTCATATATCAAGCCCTTTCAAGGAGAACTCTCCTGCGCAGAATGTAGGCGCTTGAAGTTACGCTGCGATAAGAAAGTTCCTTGTGGCTCTTGCTGTCGAAGGGGCTGCGAAAGTATATGCCCTTGCGGTACGCGACGTACAACTCCTCCCGGAACCCCGCCAGAGATAACATCCGCCATCTCTTAGGCATCTTGTCAGCAGGGCAGGGGACACGGTAAGCGTCAGTACAAGCTTTCTTAGCTTCTCCATAATACAAGTCCCTTAGTTTTATTCTGGCCGACACTGAGCAGCTGCACCGCAAAATCGCGGATATGAGCAATCGCATTCGACAACTAGAAGATGCCCTTGCTATACTGCAGTCCGCCACCTCCGATAAGAGACATCCGTTATTGAGTGACGAGCTGCTCAAGGTCAAGTTTGGATCAGAAGCTTTGAACCCTCCCCAAGATTCTTCAAGCGACCGGGATGCAAGCATGCTAGAATCAATAGACGTTCTTGGAACCCTGACGCTCGGCGATTCAGGAGAGGTCAAGTATTTTGGGAGATCAGCTGGCTCAGAGGTATGTGAGCATTCTCTCGCGAAATTTGCCTCACCATTTCGTTGTGGTCAGACCCTGATGATGGTAATGTCTCCATTCCATGCAACGCCTTGATAACGAACCATGCCAGACTGGCGAAGAAACTGCCCACCCTCTTGAAGATGCCGAAGATGGAGAGGCCCCAATCGCCTTATCGCCAGAGCTGGAAAACCTGGCGAATCTTTTCCCGTTCACCTCACAAGACCGACCCGACAGTCATTCTCTGGAGATGCTGGAGTCTCTTTTGCCTACACCTCAGAGGGCGTGGAACTTATGCGAGTCCTATTTTTTGCACGGCGCCTTGTTTTTCAGACCGATCAGGCGAAATGAACTGATGGACATTCTTTTGCCAAAAATCTACGAGACAGCCTATTCTCAATCACGAAGCCGCGCGGCCGCCGAATCATCTCCCCCTAGCGACCACACAGAAAATCCAAAGCTCTTTGAATCGACTCGTCCCCATGCACTGGCAGCATTGTACTTCACGTTTTCTCTCGGCGCCTTACTGGATCTCGGAATGTCTCCTTATAACGCAGAAGCAGAACATTACTATGATCTCGGCCGTGCTGCGCTGTCTTTGCATGCCGCCTATGAATCCCCTACTATGGAAACCGTTCAGGCGATGGGCCTCATGGCAACATATCGCAGTCTCGCTGGAAGCAAATATTCGCGAGACAGTGCCGTATGTCATGTTCATGGTCCTCATAGTCAAAAATCAATTTGATTTCTTCTAGTGGTGTGTCATGAGCTTCGCTGCAAAGCTTGCACAAAGTGTAAGCCCCACTTAATTATCTTGTCTTCTTCCGATTTAAAGGAATTACTCCATAGATCGGTCTTCGTAAGTCACGTTGAAAGTCGGTGACTGTTGCTGAGCCCATCCGGCAGATCGGGATAGTGCACCTTGGAATATCGATTCCGCCACAGTTCAAAAGCGCAGAAACCTGTTCTGGGAGGTCTTTGCTGCGGACGTATCACACGTACGTTCCCTTCCTTAGGTTATTCTTTTTGACCGATTAAGGCGAGCAGAGTCTGGCTCTAGGACGCCCGCCTGCGATCCACTTATCCTACGTAGATTGTGAATATCCCATTGACGATGAAGAAAATGTCAATGAAGCGGGAGAGATCCAAACCGGATGCAAGTACAGTTCTGTCAATGCCTTTCAGCTTTTTCCTGACGGGTCTTCAAAGTTTGGCGGATGAAGCATACATTCGGACGAGACATCTTCAATTCTGTCGCAGACGCTACCTTGACTGCAAAATCGCCTCGATATAGTGCGGTTCTTGACCTCGACAAAAAAGTGAGAGAATTGTCTTTCCCTGTTGCCTTCAAACCGTACGCATCACTGGATGACGGCGAAGAGACGTACTACTCCAGTTCTCTTAGTTTGCGCGATTTCTATGCAAGCCAGCACAGGACAGTCAGTACGTATAATTCAAATCTTTTTCTTAACTTGACTTTACTGGTTCGCCCTAGCCATGTTGTACCTTCATAGGAGCTTTTTTGCACAAGCGTTACTGGATCACCCCAAGAACCCTTTACTCAGCCCCTTTGCCCCATCTTTTCTGACCTCATATCGATCTGCCTCCATCGTCATCAAGGCGTCCGCCCATCAATTTGATCGCTGTGCCGCTATGGCGATGCGTGTCTGGTTTTTGCTGTCTCATATGTTCTCCGCGGCGGTGCGGTTCAGCTCAAATTACTCCGTGTAATTTCTAAATCATTTCCACAGGTCATTGTTGGGACAGTCGTTACCCGATCTCCCAACTTGAATTTCGCCTCTGCGGCTTTACATGACCTTGACTTGGCGGTGGAGCTTTTCCGAAGGACCGCAGTTCAGTCGCGACGTGCGAGGATTGCGCTAGTATAAATTCTTCTTTTCCTCCACCAGAACCCGATTTCATGCCATTGATTTAGGGTGTTCTTCAAAAGCTAAGGGAGAAGGCTCTTCGCGCCTACTCTCTGAATTCTTCCATCATCTCAAGTTCTCCCTCGTTCGGTTCACTCCCACCTCAAATTATTGATGACGGCGAAGACGAACTCGCCATTTTCGGTGGACAAACTCGAGTTTTGAATCGCACTTCCCGGCATAAGCCGTCGTCGCCAACGCACCCATCCTCCTCTCCCCGGTCTGAAAGCTCGGCGTCCTCACCACCCACGTTTCATGAGGAAGTGCATGGGCAGGCCTTGACGACAATCTCCGACACCCGACCAAATAATCGTAACCTTGCTGCAACATCTGCCCACCTCGACCTGCCGATCCAGGTTGATATGCCGCCTACAATTGTGGGCGTAAACGCGTACGGCTACGTCTCAAGCAGCCATTCTATTAAGCAACCTGTGGCTTCTTGCAGCGCGCAGCAATACAACCGCCTCATCGATTTACTTCCTAGCCAAGTGCCAGGCTCTCTCCCTCAACAGCCGTCATCCAGCGCCATGCAACGCTATGATCAACCCGAGAAAACGCGCAATTGGTCTTTGTGGGATCGCCATGGACAATTACCTCAAAGTCCTTCAGATGCCAATTCATGGCCTTCGCAATATTCGTCCCCACAACGCCAATCCCTATCCTTCAGTGAAGGTGTAAACTTGAGCCCCCTGTCGACATACACTAGTGCAATGCCGCCTGTGGCTTATTCAGGTTATGGGGACGGGCTATACGCGGCCCAACTCATGAACCCTGCTGGTGCCGTGGAGATCGGGCTTTCCAGTGAATCCGGAATGGACGCTCGCTGGATGACACTGATGCACGATTGCGGTATTATGGAAGCAGACACCTCATGACTAAAGTTATCCTGGCCTTATTTTTCTCTCGACAGGGGTTTTGTGCAACAATAACGGTTGGAAAAACGGAAAAAGAACTTTTGAAGACGAAGTATATAATTTTGACGCGGTTAGTTCAAGTCCCAGGCACCCACGCTAAATCTAGTGTAACATGTCATTACCCGGGTTTCACTCTAACATAGGGCCCTGTGCTCGACTTGTACTATGGTTCTCACTCACTGTATACTATGTAGAGTATTCCACGGAGTTGTAATTCGATTTGTTTTATTTAATAAATGACGCATATACATGTATCACGTGATGTTCAACAATTAATTCGCTTCCATTCCCCCCCCCTTTTACAGCTTTCTGTAACTCGGGCAACCGCCTTCGTTGAACCTTGGAACTCTTTCGCCAGTCAGCCAGTATCGTCCAGGAGAGTCATCGTTTTGCCAAAGACATGTCCATGAACGACGACGAGGAAGACCTTCGCTTTCATGTGCAGCATCTGCTGCACGACTATTCTCTAGCTCACTATACGACCGACTATGTAGCGTTCACCATAGACGTGGTCGCGGAGGTGCGGATATGAGTTTGCACGTTGAAGCCTACTGACAATGCACCATCCGATTAGTTTTTGCAGCAGCTAGAGCTCGTCCCACTCACTGACCCCGCATCCCTACTGATCCCTACTGATCCCTTCGCGACGTTGTCTCAGATGTACCAGCTCGAATCTATCCCCCCATACGACGAAATACCACAGACAACTGTTGAAGCATACGAGTATATAAAGCGCACTTTGAAAACACGCCCTGGAAAACCGAAATCTGAGAGAATTGTCGAGGACGATGATTGTAAGCCAGCTTTACCCTGAAAATAACGATGTTCTAACCCTTTAAAAGATTCTTTGACTTTTGATCGACCGATGTCCCCCATTTTAACCTCTAAATCCCGCCGAGAAACGCCCACGCTCGGAAAGGGCAAAGCCGCACGCGCCGCGCTCTCATCCTACAAGACCATCTTCAATAAACACAAACTGACTGAAATCCCGGTAGAGCCAGTGCCGGAAGTCACTATACCCCTCGAAGAAGCATTGTGAGTTCCACATTCCCCTCTCGAAAGCCAACCCGTCGTACTTATTACGTGTATGATTCAGAAATCTGTCCTGGAAATTAGGCCCCGAAGAGGACGCAGCCGTCCTGTCGCTGCTCAAAAAGACAGCGGACATGAATCGGCATCAGAAGGACTACAAGAACCCGTACCTAGACCCAGCCCAATGGTGGGACTCGCTAGCATTGATTGAGCCGCCCGACCCGCCGTTTATTCCTATATTTCCAAGGGGTAAAATGCCGAGGTCTGGTCAACCGGTTGACCGGAGCAAGCAGGATCTAAAGGACGTGTCGGACTTGCCCTTGGTGATTATAAGCGAGGCGAAAGTCGAGGTTGAAGACGATTTGAGCGTGCAGAATATGATGGTCGTGGATGGTTGGCGTGAGTGATCCCTGGTCTTTTTTTCCACTTGATCCATGCTCCTGATTGACGTTCTACCAATAGAAACTATCAGCTCATCGCCGCCTTCCACGATCTCGACTCCCAGATCGAGTCAGGAAGAGGACCAATTGGATGAGCTCTGGTTTCCATCTTCGCCTGATACGGAGCCTCCTTTGGTTGAACAAGTAGAGAACGCCAAGATAGGTAAGTCTTGTGCGTCAAACGCCAATTTGTCTGACGTTCTTGACTACAGAGGTAATACAAATGCCCAGATCACGACGGATCGGTGGCATGGAAGGTTTGACCAAGCATGTCGCCGCTGGAAAAACGTTCGCCGTCACTTCTATCTAAATATCATTTCGTTCACCCCCAACCAGCATGGGTTCTTTTCTACTCCCTCTAATCTCGCGCACAAGTCCAAGCAACCCTCCTCCTGAAAGCCCTCCTCACTCGCCCGAACCAGCGACGTCTCTCATCGGTCAGCCTCCCTCTGCATTGGACAATGCTAACGACAAGGAACCAGATGCAAACGACGATCTTGATACCGAGCTGAGAAGATTGTACACCACCACAAACCCCGCCGACTTGATCATGAACGAAAAACTCGATGAAAAGAATGACCTTTTGATGGATGGTGAGAGTCATATTAACCGCTTCACCGTCCGGTTTATCAGATCCTTCCAAGTTCCCACTCTCCGGCAGCCTAATCTTCACCCCCCTAACGACCTCGTCCTTCCCACCTCCCTACCTGATCTTGCCTTCCCAGTCAAACGACCTGGGGATTCCAAAGCGAAGTTTCCCCATCCGTTGAAGAAAGCAAAAGGTCGACAGGCGCTGACGGTAGCCTTGTCTTGGATGTCAGCCTTTTCTGCGCTCTTGATTGTTTCTTCTCACCCACACGCACATCTTCGGTAGCCCGTTCACCGCTGAGAAAAAGCTACCAACAATCCCTGAACTCATCGAGGTTGATTCCTTGTTCGAGGACGGCCATCCTATATCTCAAGACGTCGAAGTCTGCATTGATCGGGCTTCTGTGACTGATTCAGATTCGCAAGACGCAAGTAATAAGTTCTGGGACAGCTTTGTCACTCGCGGAAACCGATATGAACCGCCCGAAGCGGACTTCAAGATGGAGCTCAACAGAACTGAACGTTTGCGGCTCGCAAGGATCCAAGGAAACGAGACGCACGCTATGGACGTGTGCGACGACGCTGTCGATCAAACACGAGACGATTGCGAAGAAGAAGTCCAAGACAGCAGTGACTTTGAAAGCTTCATCAAGCGACCTCACAAACGCGCTAGGCTGACTGGCCCTTCTCTTGCGCAAAACTATCGCTCGGGTAACGATACTGATGACGCCTTGCCAGCGCCCTGCTCTCCTCAGGGTAAAGAGCTCAGCCAACAGATGTTCGACGACAAGGAGAACTGGCCGCCTTCTTCTGAGCCTTTATTCTATCCTGACGATTCTGATCCCAGTTTTAATCAAGGCTATGACTTTGAACTTGGTCCTATCTCGCCGCTCCCTGTGCAGATGGACGAGGGTCCTGATTTCGGTAAAGAACAACTCGATAATTACGCTAGCTATTCGACGTCAAGAGACCCAACGATTAATGATATCTCAAAGCCTCAAGATTTGGACGAAACAATCACTGTGGACGGAAACCTTGAACTACCACCTCCCAAAACTGCTCTTTCATTCAAATTTGAACCTCAAATCGCTACTCACACTCTTGGCATCGCCTCCTTCGCTCAACTGCGGGCTAGAAATATTCTTGACCCTGGTCCGGCTCCTGAACCTATTGCTCCTACCTCTCAAGATGTATCTCCAGAACTACTGGAAGTGCGCAGTGCTCCTTCTGATATATACGACCGAAACACGCTTAGGCTTCCTGATGTGCGACAACCGCCGATCACGGCTCATCGGTACATGATGTCTCTTGAGCTCCTTCAAAAACAAACACTGGTCCGCGCTCTTCGTTCTCCCGCATGCAGCATCGACCTCGTAGAGCGCGATATACTCAATGGCGTCGACCTCATCTTGGACCCGTTCACAGCTATCATCTTCGTACCCCTTCTCTCGCTTCCTTCTCAGTGCGAATCCGTCGTCCAACAGGTCTCCTACCAATCCTGGCACTACGCTCGCCTACTTGTCGTGTTCGAAGCCTATCCTGAATCTTCCTCAGTGCGACCTTCGAAAGGGATTGTATCGGATCTGTACGCTTATACCCCGCCCGTGTTGAAAGCCATTAAGAAGTTCCGACGTGATGTCAGTATTGCTGAGGCGTGTGGGATGAAGTCGCCGTCTTTAATGGTACAGTATGCGTTTGCGGATCAGGTTCAAGAGACTGCGCTGTTTGCGAGGTTGTTTGGAGATGAGGCGGAGCGGAGGGATCAAACTCAGGGCGCGATTTGGGGAAGACGTGAATGGTTGGATGAGGAAATTTCGGAGGTTTGTTATGTGAAGTTTGGTGGACTTCAGACTGATTGCGTCACATCTAGGACGAATTAGCTCTTGCCTCGGTTAACGGCATGAACAGGTTTTCAGCGTCCATTATCCTTTATCAAGTGACTCCGCAAACCTTTCTGGATATGTCCGACGAGGAGCGGATAGATAAATTTAGCCATTTTATAGGTGTTCATGCTTTGGTTCATCTTTTCCTTGTTTTTCCGTCCGGCATGATGCTGACTGGGACTTGAAACAGGAAACATTCAATGCAGAGATGCTGGTGCGGTATCAGACTCTGGACATAACAGGTAGCTCACTTACTGATAACATTTCGGATGGTCTCTATCCTCTTCCGTGAATTCTGACTCTTTCTTTGTTGTTTCCACTACGTTATTACTACGTTGTCCCCCTTACATTTTGTGGTAGACGAGGCAATGTGACGTACTGGAGTTATATGCCGGCCGCTGGAAAGTTCAATGTTGGACTTTGTTGTACGTCGATGGACAACAACGTATATCGACGCACATTGGTGGACATTGATAGAGGTTGATGAACACCGAGATACGTCACATGACAACGGAGATTAGAATTAGATACGGCGATTTCCATTGTGCTTGTTGTTGTGTTTCATTGAAATTCAACACTCTCACCGTCGTGTCCAACATCCTCCAATGGATTCCAATGGCTTTCGCTGAATATACTTGGCCCATGCTTACCCCTGATACCATCCAATATGGTCCGATGAATTTCAAATCTTATCTCCACGTGAAATAGTCGTTCCATCCCCTGATCAATGCTTTCGTACCCCTCGTCACCCCAACGGAACACCCCGCTATGTCTGCACTGACGGGACCCATCAACAACCGTCGTAAGAAATCGGACTTGGAGGCGGTTGCTCATGCGCTCAAAATTGACTCCACTGGTACCGTGAAAGTCTTGATTCCCCACATCATCGCGCATCTCGATGGCCTTCCCATGCGCGCACGTTTTTGCGGAGGGTCGTTCCTGGGGATGATGGGGAACGGTCCGAACGGAGCGCATTAGGTGGCGAGTTGTTAGTTGGTGAATTCGTTAGCATGTCACTGTCTGAATTGTCAGCGCGTTATTCAAAAAACCAGGAAGAAAAAAAAAGTCCTTAGCTGAAAAGTCGAGTTCATATTGCGAGATCTCTGAACCCAATAAACAAGAAGTTCTGTAGCGAATCCCGCGGTCTGCCCCCCACTTATTACTAACGCTATTCTTCGACAGGTACAACAAACTCACCTATCACGCAGCCAATACGAAACCCTCCCCATCAACCTCCCCTCCGCAGGCGTATCTAAAACACTCCTCGGGATATACTTCACCACCGACACCTCGAGTCCTACAAGATGGCAGATGCCATTGCCTGGTCCACGACCATCTTTGGATATGCCCGTGCCAGCTATGCCCATCAACACGCCTTGCCCTACCGCCTGGCCATGTGCGCACGATTTCGCGCGGGCCAGGGCCTTGTGTGGCGGAGTAGTCGGAGCGGAAGGAGGTGGAGTGGAGCATTGGGCTTCGTCGTGGATGCAGAAGAGGGGGGTTTGGCCCGCTGTGTCGGAGGTACTTAGACAATGTTGAGAGCACGCGTGCTGCAGCGGCACTTGTGAGGTTGTTGGAGTTGGAAGGGGACCACAAGCAAGGGTGTGGACGCGTTTTAGGAGGTTTTTAGTCCGTACGTTAACATAGCTGTCCGATGCATTTGGATAACCATGGACGAACGGAGTGGAATATGCTCTTCGGAGTTTGTTTTTTTTTTTTTTTTTTTTTTTTTTGCCAATGTTGAACAACAACTTCCCAAAGCCGGCAAATTGCGAATCATCCGTCAATAATGCCCAGTACCGATTTGCTACCGATGGACCACAATGGACTCCAATGGATTTCGATAAGTTTCCAACGACATTCACTGAATGTCAGTGTAATTCATTGAGGTCCATCGGGGTCCATTGTAGTCTATTGGACACCAGATTTTGGTCAATGTCCTACAACAGCACCCATCGTGACTCACTGAGTCTCGATAATTTCCAATGGTACGCAATGGAGCTGAAAATAAATTCAACGTAGTGCAATGAGTAACATTGAAGTCTGGTGTAGGGACCAATGTCAAACAATGAGTATTGATTGAGTCCATCAGACTTTCCAGCTCCGCGCATATTACTGACGTACTGTGATCAAGTTGACTGTGATGTAAGGTAGGCAGGAACTATATGGCAGGATTTAAATTCGCCTTTAATCTAACTGCTTCTCAAGACCGCTTCTAACTCCTACCATTATGTAAGGTGGGACAGATTTCGCACAAACGGGATTTAGGAACGGAGTAGACTACAAGAAACAACGTACAAAGGATTGTAAAAAGATAATGATTACATATGACGTGACAATCATAGAAAATGGGACGGTTGCCAGAGTGAAGTCTGCCTTGGGGATGATTGATGAGCGTAGTAATTGCACTAGGCCATCCGATAGGGTAAAACTATTCAGAAACCCCCCTTTCTGGTAGAAACCCGGGGTTTCCGAGGGTGGTTTGAGAAACCCCTGGCATATGGTCAAATTGAGTTCTTGGTGACCGGTGATGGGTTCGTCGGCTGCGGCTATTATGTAGTCAACTAGTCACACGTCTGTTAACTTTTTGCTCCCTAAGGGAATCTACTGGCCACAGATTGCTCATGAGGTTACCATAGAGGACATAAACCGAATGTGACAACGAGAACAACGAATGTTTGACGCTACTATGCCATTGGTCAATGATAATGAATGTTGTGTGGCAAACGAAGGCTATCTGTCGGGCCCAGAGACTCAACTCAGTCAAACAGTTGAGGAATGAATGTTTGATAGATAGATGATCTTGAATTATGGTGACCGGTACACTAGTGAAAAATCTCAGTATCGACGTGCGAGACGAATTGAAGATGCAGAGAAGAGATAAATAAAATCAAAATTCATTCTGGGGACATGTAGATGACAAAACAATCACATATATGCTTCAAACCTGTATAGCGTATGCCCTTCAAGGCATATATGTACAGTTCCTCGGATGCATTGGGTTGCATTTCGCCAATTATCTCGGGTTGTATCACACCAGGGGTTCATCACGACGCACTTGAACAGCTCGGACACAGACCCATGACCCAACGGCGCCAGGCTGCAGTCGCATTCAGCGGGACACAATATGCCGTAGGCGTGGGGAAGGAAAACACGGAGACGGTGGGTTGTAGATAGGTGGAGGAGGCGGCATAATTCGAGGATGAGAACAAATTTATAGAGGATGGAAAATGTCACACATCGAAGAAACGTAACCAGTGCTTCAACAGCTCGACTGCGCGTTTTTAGCATTTTGCCGGAATCGTTCAAACTTGATGCGGCCCACAACTTTATTATTTGAAGTTCTAATACGCATGCGCAACATCTTGTGAATCCTTGAAGCCGCCACTGCGAGGCTGCATCACATAAACGGTTCGACGGAATTCCTCAATGACCGCGTAATCTGTGTGTACGGCTATGCGATTGGTTTAAATTCCAAGAAGCATCTAAGTACAACGACAGAGAGTTATGTTATATATGTAATCCAGAAAACACAAAGGCTCTATTCTTGTTTTGTTTGTGTTTCTCAACAAACATTCAACGAACTCGACATAACAGGAGTTTGTCGTTGCGCCTGAGTCTTCCACAGCCTTCTCCGATCCTCAGCATTTCTCGAACCTCTAGATGTCGAAGCTGGGAATCAGAAAGGGCGCAGTCTAGATGGTGAGCACCTATCACGACCGTCCATGACACGCTTGGCAGATGGGAGTTCTCACTTGGTTTTTTATCGATTGTTCTCTACTCGATCTTCCACGCTGTCTCAAACTTTGAGGCCTCGAGGAGTGGAAGGGTTGGAAAAGGGCGCAGTCTGAACGGTGAGCACCTATCACGACCTCATTGAATACACACGTCCGTGACACGCTTGACAGATGGGGGTTCTCTCTTAGTTTTTTATCGACTGTTTTCTACTTGATCCTCCATGCTGTCTCGAACTTCGAGGGCTTGATGAGTGGAAGGGTTGGAAAATGAAATGATGGGAACCAGCAAGGGTGCCATCTGGACGGTGAGCACCTATCTTGAATACAGACATCCTTGAATGCACATGCATGACACACTTAACAGGTGGAAGTTCTTGCTCATTTTTTCATTAAGTGTTCTTTACTTGATCCTCCACGGTGTCTTGAATATCGAGGCCTCAATGGATAGAATGTTGGAACATCAACGGTCTGGGCAATCAGCGCCCAGACCGAACACATTGAATAGATCACCCTCGCCAGCCCATGCATCTGGGAGAACACCAGCCCATGACTGGTATAAAAGGAGTGCATTGAAACTGGCAAATTTGCAGTCTTGTCGCTTTCCTGACTCCCAACGATACATCAGACTCTACCCAAACTGCGATTCTTGCTCAATGGATTTCTGTGGCACAGACACTGGTGATGGCTGTGGTCGTTCTTTTCCGAACAAATCATCGCCCGGCCTTTGTGCAAAGTGCACCAAGCTCGCGAGCCTCACAGAAGGATCACCCGAGTACGACCAGTGGAAGGTATGGTTTAATCTGACATATGTTGCGTCAGAGCCACACATTAATTATGACTTTTGTATTTTTAATTAGGGCTTCAAACAGTGTGAATCTTGTGGAATCGCTTGGAAACATCTCGACACCTCCAAGTGTGGACATTGTGTTAGGGAATGGTGCCTAACCTTTCTGTTGTCGACCCACCACGTAAGTCAACGCATCTCTTCACGATCGTTGTAATAAATTGTTTTGTTGGCTAGATACTCAGACTCTCATTCAGAACACCGTCGAGGTATTGCGTGCTGCCCGATCTCATGCAATGGATGCTCGCTTGAGGAAGCAACCCGTAGCTCAGCAGCTCCATACGACGGCTGGATTGACAGCCGCTAAGAATAGCATGGCTGCAATGATGGAGAACAAGGTGTTCATCACGGCTCAGTGTCGCATCAAGAGTGCATCATTGAAAGACCAGAAGAATACAGATCCCACCTTCGGTCAGTGGGGAAAACCATGGTCTCAAGGTGTGTACCTGTCAGGTAGGTCTTATTTCTTGTGTATCTTCTTAAACACCCATTTCAATCGGGCAGAGGTTCTCGATGAATATTTAGCCACCCTAAATGTAGGCTGGGCAAATGACAAAGGGATGGAGCTCATTCCGTACGTTCAACACATTTTCTCAATGATCTAACATTCTCATCTGTTTTAGTGAGGAGGTTGAGTTTCGTTGGACAGGGAACAAGCTATTTCATCCGGGGGATGAAAATAAAACTGTAGGGGAGGTATATAAAACATATCTTACAGGTGAAATGGCACAGTTTTACGCCGCTCCCACTTCCGGCACCAAAAAAGCAGCCGGCACACAACCGCCACTATTCATGGCTCTCGAGTTGTACATTGACCAGCCTAAGGTATGTTTTTTTGTAATCAATAAACTTGATTGTATCAATCTCACGTTCTTAGTTCATGATTCGACGACGTGCCAGACTCAATCACAGCACTCTCAGATTGCCATCTACAAGTGTTGGCACTTCCGTTCGAAAGAGAAGCGCAACTACTACGGAGGCTAACGATGTACCACTTTACAAGCGCCCTTCGACTCGTGATGCAGGTTTGTCTTACCTCTATCATCGATGTGTACTCCTCATCATTTATTTAGCATAGGGCTGCGCACCGTCCATTTGACGGGGACGGCCATCGATCGACGGGCGTAAACTTGCAACTCGAAAGCCAGAACGGAAACGGGCAGGAAAAAAACGGCCGTAAACGGGTTGTACGGCCGTTTGCCCACCCTCTCAATGTATATAATTTTTTTCACAATTTTTGGGTACCTGATAAATGTAAGAAGAGATATAGAGCACAAAGGATGAAGATTTGCACCTTCAAACAGCAAATCGTGAGCTCGAGCTGTGAAAAAACAATGAACAAACCTTTCGCGGGGTTTCAATTGCGATGAGTCAGCACATTCTGGTTGTTTTTGAGCTGCAATTTAACCCGCTTGGAGACATTTAGCATTGATAGAGATATGCAAAATTTAATAATGAAGCACTTCATATATTTCAATAAATAGTACAGCTAATTGTGGGTAAAATTACAGAATATGTCGATGACCCGTCTGATGCCCGTTATGGCCATCATATGACGGATGAAAACGGGTGTTCAGCAAGCCCAAACGGAAATGGGTAATTGTCTGTCAGACCCGTCCGTTGACCCGTCTATGACGGGCACGGCGCGCAGCCCTATTTAGGTGGTGCACTCGAATCAACATTTGTTCGAACAAATCGCACCTATGTGGCCATCGACACATCTGTTGTTCAGCTTAAGAAAGCTGTTACGACATGTAATGCAGAGACTGGTGAGGTCGAGATAGCGTGGCCGGACAATCTGGCGGCATGCGGCGGCATCCTTGGGAAGGAAATTTTTGCGCATGGTGCCACCAAAAATGTGTACAAGGTATCCTTTATTGATATACTTTTTTGCTTTTGTAATACTGATGAATTTCTCAGTTGTCGATTGGTTCTGACCTATATGTAGCAAAGAGATTCTTTGACGTTGGTTCTGGTAGAGAAGTGACGGCGGAGGAGAATACAGCTAATCTAGAGAATGAGCTGATTCGTTTGAAAATGGTTGGGTGGTTCCTTCATAAATTTAAAGCTCTTGCCAAGGAACACAGTGTAGAATTCTCATCAGGTAGGCTATCATTTCATTGTCCTTTTCAACAACTCACCTGTTCTGATTCAGGTATCATTGTTTCTGAATGTTTTCTTGTTCACGAAATTGGCACACCCTCTCCGGCTTCGTCACTTCCTTCTTTTGAAGATGACTCTGCTGTCTGGCTTGTAGAGCCTCGTCGCACCAAGGCTGTTCGGAAGTACAGCGGAACACTGGTTCATCCGAATCGCCAAGACAAACTTGGACAGACACTGTCCGCGTTCGCCCACTTTCTATATGAATACAGCAGAAAAGAGCTAGTTCTTGCGGACATCCAAGGTCATCTCACCGCTTCATATCCGCACATACAAGACTAACATCTGGTTATCCAATAAAATTTGTAGCTTCCCCGATGACAATTCAAGGTGTCAACACCCTTATCCTTTTCGATCCAATGTCTCACTCCCTCCAGTCGTATGTGCACCACTCCATACTCAGCCTCAAACTCTAACTAATACAATTGCAACCTAAAGAGACTCTGGAATTGGAGACCATGGGCCAGAAGGCATCAACACGTTCACCAGTCAACACGTATGCAATCCCATTTGCTGGGGCCTAAAACTTGTCCCACTGTTGGAAAAGGAAATCCGGAGCTCCGAGGAAGAAGAGACTCCTGAATGAGGTGTCGGGAATGAGGTGTTTCTTGTTTCTTTTGTGTCTCCGATGTGATGCAGCCAACATCCCTGCTCATTTTTCTCGCTCTTCTTGGGTAGCCATCTTCATCTGTGCGATGTTCATTGAATAAAGAATTTATTTTTTCCCTTGAGGGCTCGTCTATAAAAGCTTTCGCTGCAGGATTTTGAAGTGCACCACCCCAAAGTCGCCTCAAATGAGCAACAACAACCCAACAGGAATCAACGGCCATGGCGTCAAGAATTGTTCGTTCTTCAATCTGCTCACTCCCTTGACTTGTTCTTCCTTGATACTGACAAATCTCAAGATCCTGATGACGAGACACTCAAGGCATCCTTATTTCAATATGCAAAATAAAAACTCACAACCGCACAACGTCTTGCAAGGCTAGAAGCTGAACATAACCTTGTAATCAAGTATGTTTTCCCGCATCTGCACTTTACTACTATACTAATATTTTCATAGAGCTCCAACGTTGTACAAGTTGTCGCAAAAATTCAATGTACCAAGTGTTCGGCGGCTGCCCCCCGCTGATATCACTACACAAGCAGTTCTGGAAAATGTCGCAAACGATCCTTCACAAGGACGTGGGGTCAGGACCATTGGCACCCTTCTTAGCAATAAAGGGATGCCTCTTCCACGGTAACATCCTTTTGATTCTTATAATCGTACAGAATTGAAGTGTTCAATGGATTTAGGGACTTCATTCGAAATGTGCTGGCTAATTATGCACCCGAGGGCCTTCTTCGTCGCTTTCCTGGTGCCAATAGAATTCGTCGATCTACCCTTTCAGCACTCGGACCTAATCACCAGCACCACGCCGATGGTCACAATAAATTGAATGCTCAAGGCCTCGATATGGGTGGTGTAGGCTTGGGTATCTACAGGATCAAGGACCAATGGTCCTCATATGTTCTTCACCTCATTGTTGTCCCAAACAATCGACTTGCTACTACAGTTGGGCACATCCACCTTGATTGTGTTGAAAACATTCTCAGTGAGTCGTTTCTCGCCTTACAGTTATGTTTTTGGGGTTCTAATTACACAACCCTACAGCTGTTCCCATCACCCTCGTTACGGATAAAGGTAGCGAGACTGGAGTGTTATACGCTAATCAAACAGGATTACGGTGAACAAAACTTCGCTGAAATAGGACCCTGAATGTTCCCCATCTGAAATATATTGTTAGTGTAATGTATGCCCCAGACCTTGACGAAAATGAATTCCCACCAGTATTACAAATGAGAAGTGTACACAACACGCCAATCGAGGGACTGTGGCATTGGTTTCGGCAAACATTCGGCCAAAACATCAAGGATACTATTCGCAGTGTATTCCAATGCGGAATAGTGTTTGAAAGTCCGGTTCGGTCCGGTTTTTTGATGCCCAGGGGCGTTAACCGTAACCGTAACCGGTCTGCCTTTTCCCCAGAAGTCAAAAGACCAGACCGGACCGCAAAAAGACCGCAGACCGCGGTTTTTTGCGGTCTATAGACCGGTTCGGTCTGCATCGGTTTTAACTGGTTTATGACCGGTCTTTAGGCCAATATTTTAAAATTATGAATCGGTAAATTTATTAACATCTCTAATAGCTTCAAACCGAGCCCAAGAACGTTAAATTCCGTTAGGAATTGGTGCTTCTATAAAATAAGTCTGGTACATCTATTATTCCCAAAAGTAATTTACATTTTAATTCATATCTCTCTCGTTTTTTTACCAAATCGTACGTTCTTGGGTGCGTTTTAAAGGGTATTTAAGGGGCTACAAAAGACCAGTCCAAACCGGTCTTGACCGGTTCACGTTAACCGGTTTTTTTGCGGTCTTTACATTTCAAAAATAAAAGACCGTAACCGCAGGTCCGGTCTTTTGCGGTCTTGGTCCGGTCTGGTTACGGTCTTTTTCCAGTCACGAGACCGGACTTCCAAACACTAATGCGGAATTTATAAGCCTAATAATCCCCTCCATCCGTATGTTCTCTATTCTCGTCTCGTTCTTATAAAAATTGAATCAGTATACCAGAAAACTGTTCTACTGGTTATGGCCCAAAATTCTGCAGAAACAACTCGACAATTTTGTTGAATATTGGAATAATCACAAGATTCGGGCGCAGCATGAGAAACCAAACATGTCAGGATCGATGCCAAGGCACGCCTTCACAGTCCCAGATCTCCCGGCCCAACAATGCGGAATCGTCGTCGACTGAGTTGTAATTGACGCGCTTCGTAACCAAATTCCCGTTTCATGCGAGGAGTCGATGCATTGGGTTGACGACAAGTTTGAAGTCGCTGCCCAAAGGGCATATGGACTTATTGGAGAGCCGCCGCTTGACGATTTTTTAGGTGGTTGGAAAATATTTGAATTGATGGAGTCCGCATTCAATGTAGCATAAGTCAATTTAAATCTGTGCCACATATTGACCTTACTGTTCCAAGTTGGTAGTAAAAAAGTTTGTTCTCTATCTGTTCCTCTGCACGTATACTACAAAACGTGTACAAGGCGGGCCCAGAACATAAAGCTGGCACCGCGGCCCCTTGCGTGCGATAGCCACAGCCGCCGCGAGATTACTGCAAAGTGGGTAGGTTAGTAATCAAGCAGCTCGAAGGATGAAAAAACATCTGCGTACCATTTCCAACAACAAAAGTAAAATAGTTGCGCTTGATATCTGATCGATGTATTCGCGAAAGCCTGTCAGAGCCTGCTGGGAAGTCGGCAGCGACTCGCTCGCTGGCACTCGGCTAAACCAAAGCGTCAGGCGAGGCGAGCAGGACACAGTCCAGCAAATTTCGCAAGTGAACTGGCAGATTGCAGACTGGTCCTCCCACCAGAAGACTGGGGGGTGCTGAGACGACGCCAGTAAGGCGCAACAGACCAGATACGGAGGAGGAAGGTGCACGCAGACCTGAAAGAAGTCGGGGAGGCCAAAGGGACGAATGACAAAGGCGCAGGCGACGTCTTCAAAACGGAGTGGAAGGTGAGAAAAGTTGAAAAAGGATCCAAAGAAGATCCACTCACATATATTACGAGACAGAAAGCGCGGAGGAAGCTCGAGGGGATGCCCGCCAAACAAGAGAGAGGGATAGCCAGAATTACGAAGAAAAGGCACTCGAAACAAATGCAGGTGATAATGGCGGCAAAGCCGTAGGCACGGCAGAGGCAGAGTGTTTTCCCCCAGGCAGCGAGGAGGTGGACAGCGAGAGAAACACGGGCGAAGTGGCCCCACGTCAACAGCGGAGACCGAGATGCAGAGGTCCTCGAGTCGGTATTTGAAAGGGTGCTCTGGGTTTCGCAGACAGCGCGTTGAAGGAGGGAGAGCGACTGAACTTGAACTAAGCAAGAATAATTTCAGTACAAGACTCTGAAGAAGACTTCGAAGAGAGTAGACAGACTAAAAACGCACCAATTAAAAGGCTTCAAATCTTGCGAGGAGGACCATAACAACATAAGTAGATAAATCTGGTGTATAACAAATGTGGCGACAGAAGACAAAATGTGACAATGGGCCACGAATATGATGATAAGTCACAATCATTTACGAGAGTGTGGCATATACAGAGAGAAATCCAACCTTCATGCATCATAGTGCGGACTTCCGATCGATGATTTGAGCCGTCGGAAATTGAAATTCTGCCATATAGTTCCCGCCAACGCTAGTGATGTGACAACTCTGTCACTTAGTCTCCCTACGAGTCAAAACCCTTCACTTCCGACACCCATCTCTCAGAACTTCGCTCCCGTAGATTCCGCAAACCATGATGTACGAAGGAATCGTCGACGAATTCACTTTAATGCTTCCGAACGCCGGGATTCTACCATTTGACAGTGCTAGTGAGCTTGATGCGATCTACGAACGGGTTTTTCCATTCAACCGCGCCAGTTACAATCCATATTTTAAGAATGGTGAGTTGCGAGGCAAAATCTGTGGAATATAGATCATACTCATTGCCCACATCTCAGGCAATTGGTTCGCGGCTGCGATAAAGCGCCGGAGGAGCGCAGAGATCAAGGCTTCAAGAACAATTTCTCTAGACATATCCTGTGATCTGGATCTTCCCATTGAGCTTCTTCTCGAGGTCCGTCCTGACGTCTCAGAATCTCACCTGATCAACATATTGATTGAGCGACCTGCCACCCAGATCTTTGAATTCCTCCATCCTATCGACCTTTATTCCGTAGTACGCTCAACGAAGAGGCTGAGGAGTATACTCTTGGATCGGAGGGCGTTGTCCGTCTGGAAGGAAGCATTTAAGAGGTGTTCTGATGTTCTCCCGCCATGTCCTATGGACATCTCTGAACCGCGATGGGCTTCGATGCTGTTTGGCCCGGCCACGTGTGATGTAGGCTGTTTCACCATCGTGTCCAAAAATGCTGAGTGTTGGGACAGTATTGCGGGCGGAAGGGTGCCATGATTGATTTTCATTTCCGACACCGCTTTTGCCAGTTCTGTATGGTGAGCGGATGATATATTCAGTGCTGTCTCTGACTTACTTGGAGGCACTTTTCAATTGTGTAGGATGATATGTATGTCGAGAAGTCTCGCATTGACGTGAATCGCCGCAGTATCGGGGAGGATGTAAAAACATTCTGGAAATGCATCCCTTTTTCTTATCGCCAAGGTATCTTTCCTTCTATTTCATGGCATAATTTTACAATTAACTGCTGAAACTAGATGCAAGGTTTTACCCAAATATTTGGGACTATGGCAAGGAGCCAAGATATCTGACGTGGGATATCAGCAAGATGACTGCGCACTTTATCTTTTTCAACTCGAGTATATCTTCTGGTATCCCCGGTGCATCCCTAGAATTTGAGAATTTTAAATCCTTGGAAATTGCCAACACGATACATGGCCTTGAGGTGATATACGGCATTCTCCATCAAATGCACTCCGCTAATGTCAACGGACAGGAATCAAAGAGGGCCAATGAACTTATGGTTCAGATGAGCAATCAAGTTACGGATGAACACGAGGATAACATGAAGCAATTGATTAAACGGTATTCCATCTGACGTTTATCATCAGAGATGTCAAGGACTGACCTTGGTATTAGACATGCTTCTGTCCTTTTACAACGCGGTCACGATCAAGTGGATCTAGATGCCGCACGAGGCGAGCTTCTTAAGCGATATGTATTCAGAGAAAGATTCCAATTTAACTATCGCTGTAAGCTCAGGCTTCTCCTCTCACAATATATTCTATCTGAATTTTGGATCAAGTTTACAAGCAGCTTGCTCTTCAACTGCTACGAACTTCCGAGGCCCACAAGATTGATAGACTGGAAAGACAGCGACGGTCTTTGATTTTTCAAAGGCAGAAGTTAGTGGGTGACCTATATTGCACTCATCAAAAGACACTTCCTCCAAGATCGTGGCCAAATTTGCCAAACATGGAGGCAATCTATGAACTCGAGCCATTTGCGGCTTTCATTGCATCGGAGTCAAATGAAGTTGGAGAGCTCCCAGAGGAACCAGTACAAAGTCACCTGGCACCTTTCCTCAATTATTGGATGCAGATGCATGAAAGCAATATGTATGCCAGGCTAGAATCGCCGTATGAGAACTTGGACCTCGCTGTAAATGTCTTCGTCTGCGCCTCTTGCGAAGGTCACTGGATCAGTCGCCCCACTTCGATCTTGATCAGCTTGAAAGACCTGCGCTCTCATTTTAAATGTATTCGTCCACAGTTCGAGTTTCGATTTAGCTTTGCAGGCAGAGCCTGCGCACTCGCGTTAGTTGATCTTCTGGATATGGATCCGAAAACAGCGACAGTCAATATTCTGGATGCGAGGGACGCGCGGTTTTTCTGCAAGGGATGCAACATTTCTTGGAAGCGAGGAGTGCTTGGTCGCCAGGCCTTAACATGGAGGGAATGTGCAAGTCGTGCGATTTTGCTTATATCCAAAGCTGATATGAGATTCGGATAGATTTCTCATGTCATTGAGATGCAGAACACGGATTCCCACCGCTCCGTTACGTCTTGGGCACTTCTAACTGCAGAAGCTACGGAATGCATCAAAAGACGTGAACAACCTTTCCCGAGTCCAGAGAACCCTGTCTGGTGTTGTAACCACTGTCCTGAGCACTATAATGAAGCAACAACAAAGGTGAAAGTGCTTCGCCACGCCAAAGACGTGTCCGTATATTTCTATTTCTACGGAGACATACATTTGACGTGCAGGGTTTTCAGCCATTCCATTAAACGCGCTCGCGTCGACGTTGATGTGATATACGACAGGCGAAAGCTCCATCTGAATCACCGCAAGCCTTTTTGTGTCGGACTCGAACCACCAGAGATTCATCAATGTGGAAGATGCCCAGACACAATCAACCGTCTCTGGCAGATCGACCGCCTGAAACCTCATTTGCTCGATAAGTAAGTTTGGAATGACTGCCTGGTTATGAATTGACAATTTATTGTCGATCCGAAGACATCAAATTACGAACCCACGTCCAAGTGATTGGAGAATGGTGAAAATCGTAGAAAGGAGTCGATCGGAGGTCATCACATATCCTCAAAAGGTGCAGGCGGAAAGGGGGAGGCTCGATTGAAGGTATCTGACACACCTTAAACAAGGGATGATAGTGTTGACATCAAATATTAACTTGTGTTCGTGTCTGCCTCTCTCAAACCCAGTGAAATCGCACATATTACTGGAATAAGCAGGTTCTGAGTTTGGTAAAGCCTGTTTGTACAGGCACCGACATAAAGAAAGTGGCTGAACACTACTTAATTTCGCGAAGTGCACCTGCATTCCTCTTTCTATGTAACTTGTACAGCACTCATTTACGGACATTGTTACCATCAAACGCGCGACTCGGAGACCGTGTTGTTTTCAACGAAGGGACTGGCCAAGAGATTCTAAAATTCGGTAAGATATTCAATCTTCTCAACAAAATGCCTACAAGGAGCAGCAGCTCTTGCTTTGACCTGAAATGGCGGCCAACGAATAATTACTTATATTGAAGTGATAGTATGGAGTGCTTGTTGGATGGACGGCTGATCATCGATCATGGGTAATGCGGTAAATGTAGAGGACCAGAAAGGGAGTCTAACAATATTTCCGATGTAATCGCATTTCGAGTTGATTGCGAGGATGTCAGGATGTTGAGGAGGATTCCTACCTTCAAATTTTTTAGTAGTAGAAGCGCTGTTGTTAAAACAGCCTCAGCAGGGAGGACCCAAATTCCAGTACTTCAGGTCAGCGCCAGCGATAAAAAAACTTTTGAGTAGTGTACGATGCTTCCCAATTAGACAGAGAGGCCATATGCTATTGACAGTGGAGCGTTATGTGGGGGGAAAGCGCGCCGCATATCCTAAGTTGATGGGTATGAGAGAAAAGAAATTGTTGCACTCTGAAACACAGACGAGAAGTACAGACGAGAAGTAGAGATATTCATGGGTTTTTGTTCACCGCGGACCAGGAAGCATTCAGTTTCTTGCCCATGTCATCCAAAAAAGTTGTTCCAGGTCGTAAACCCTTCTTCTCCACCGACTTCTCAAGTTCCAAGACTGACTCAATCACATCCTCGCCATACTCTTCGCCAAATTGCTGTAGGATCCGCTCTCGGCTCAATCCCGGATGATCTGCCATGCGGTTGAGAAGGTGTTCAGCAATAACTTCGATCCCTTTTTGTGAGCGAGCGAACATAGCTTCCCCACGCATGGTGCGGAAGGTAAGCCTCAGAAACGGGGGAGGGCCATCCACCCGGATGGGACGTTGAACTTCATCGAAGAGGCAGTGATCGGCTTCAACATCGCCGCTGAGAAACGAGATCTGCCTTTGCAGAACCGACTGGGAGGAATCTGGGGTTGCAAACCCCATAGCGCTAATCGGGACCTATCGGGACGATACCAGAATATTTGTCACAACCTCCGTCACGCGTCTTGACCCACCAAACTTCAACTTCGAAGGCAAGGAAGTGCTCAATGATCGATGATCGATGATCCACTGTCCACTCAATGCCCACTGCCAACATGCTCTCACCGTAATTTCGGAATTTCGCTCTGAATGATTAGGAAGTCATGGCCGAGAAAAGACCGCCTTCTTGAAGGCAAGTTTTAGTCATGGCTTTCAATCTCGGGTCAATCTTAGGTCGTGCGATTCATGAACTAGACTCCGGAATTTCTCCAAGATAAAAAAGACTTTGGGCAGGATTACCTTAGATATTTACAGCACTTGGATAACCTACTCTCCCAACACCTTCAAGCGCGCATACTCGACTCCTTCATCGAAACAATGGTCAACCTCCAGGACAATGTGGGAGATAATATGGAACCAGATAGGGTTTACAGCGGTACTGTTACTTCAATTGATTCCCTTCCCCCCGAGCTCCTCGCGTGCATTTTTGAGATGGCGCAAATGATGTCGCTGCCGTCTGGAGGTCTCGCTCGATTTCGACGCTTTCCCTTTATCGTTTCACAGGTTTCTCGGTTCTGGCGTCATGTCACCCTTGGATGCGCCGTGTTGTGGTGTAATGTGGACATTTCACCTCCTTGGACGCGTTTAGCCGGCCTTGTATTTTACCTCGAAAGGTCAAAATCATGCCTGATCGATCTAACGCTGACAATTCCTTCCTCTCAAGACGATCTTGACGTATTAAACGTCGATGATCTGCTTTCCATTGTTAACCTGCAGTATCATCGTTGTCGCACAATCAACATTTCAGGGACTGTGCATAAAATTGCACCGGCGGTAATGAAAATCCTGACATCAATGCACCTTGGTCAATACCCCAACATGGAGCGAATTGTAGTGGAGGGCAGTGAAAGAGATTCAGGACTTGATATGAGTCACCCACACTCCCAGATTTTTATTTCAGGCGCCCCAAAGCTCGCCGATGTGCGTCTAGGAGGAATCGGGCTGTTATATTTCCAGCCTCCTCTTGGCACCGTTACGGAGCTTCATTTAGCTAGGGAAAAGCGGTCTATTTCCTTTAGCGATTTTTCTCGGATGCTCAAAGCCTGTCGTACCCTGACGACTTTGGCCATCTATGATGACTTGGTTTCCGACTGGCCCACTCCCCTACAGGTCCACAATGTCCCATCCCTTCGCCACCTGCACATATACGGCAATATGCTTTCTGTATCTCAGCTTTTGCTCTCTGTGTCGGCTCCTGATTTAGAAGCCCTCTCCATAGCTCCGGTCGTCGCCTCAGACCTAAAGTTGATGTGCGCGGAGGGCAAGCGCGACAACAAACCATGGTTCCCTGTGTTGAGGTCGCTCACTCTCGCTCCTCCCCATCCCGATGCAATGAAAGCGATATCAGTTGCTTCAGAATGCTTCCCCACCACTCAACTTCTTATTCTTCCCAATTTCTACCCTGAATTTTTGGTCGAAACTCTCGGACCCAAATCTAACGGCCTTGACGGTACTCACTGGCCTCATCTTGACGGACTTGCTATCCGAGAGATACAAGAGAAAAACGAAGCAGCGGTATATTCGCTTATCGAATCCCGACGGGCCACAGGCGACCCGTTGAACAAAATATATTTAGATGTTGTGTCAATCAAGAGAATGACTCGCTTAAAATGGTTAGAAGACCAAATGTTGGTGGTAGAAGCGGACCCTTGGGGGCGGCGACAAAGCAACGCGTTACACGCCTACGACCGGGATCGATTTTACGGTGAGTTTAAAGAAATAATACTTTTTTTCTTCTCATTACAAGGGAATTTCCAGCTTCAATGCACCATTGAAGTTGCATAGCATTTGTCACAAACTCTTTTCAATTTCAGGCCGATAAAAAGTAAGCCACTTGATTTCCCGCGCCCTCGAGCTGTCCCCAGGCTTAACGTTGCGATGCATGTTCAGGCTTCGCAGTCACTGTCTCGCCGCATGGAAAAATGGAGTCGGCTTGGCGGTACTTCATAGCTCGTTACAATGCAGGGGTTGAAAAGGAATCAGTGGCGCAGACACCGTTGCTTCTTGGTTGCTTCTCTTTTAAATAAAGGAGGTGCATATATGATGTTTCCTACGGTTTTGGGCTCCGCATTCATGATGAATTCTTATAAATACCTTTGGTCCTTCTTCGTTGTAAATTTATTGACCAGAAGGACTGCATTTCCTTCCAATTCCCAATCAATCGCTTCTGTCGGAAAATACTTGCTCACGAGGATGGCAATAGAGCGTGGGAAAGGCATCTCATTGGTCGCCATGGGCTGATTCTTATATCACCTCACTTTCACGATAATAATGCCCCCCACCTCCCTCGCACCCCCACCTAACATCTTCGACGATGTGGACGACGACGACGATGGGTGGCAGGACATGCCCGTCGTCCGTGAGGACGAATTCGCAGGCGGCCTCGACGAAGAGGACCAGCGCAAATACCACTACCAGCCCTCTGCCAAGGGCAAGACCACCGCTGCCAACGCAACAGGGAACTTAATAGATGTCGACGATCTCGGGAACGAATGGCGGTCCAAGATAGACCAGAACGAAAGCGAGTACACGCGGTTGAGGGTGAATGAGGAGGAGGATGCTGATGAGGTTCATTTGAGGACAAAGTACCTTTTTGATGAGGATAAGGCGATGACGCCGCTCAGCCAGATGCAGGCGACGAAGAATCTTTTGACGGAGGCGCAGAGGATAGCGTATGTTGGGTTATGTGCTTTGACGTGTAGGGAGATGTTGCAGGATCTGAAGACGGTGAAGAAGAAGGAGCTCAAGGCTGCCATCACGAATACGGAGTTGTGGGCTCTCAAAATTATGGGGAGGTTGTATTATCATATGGAGCTGGAGACTCAAGGTGAGCATTATTACTTGCAACTTCGAGTTCTTTGGCTGAACGGTGTTCGTGGTAGAGCAGAAGATGATCGAGAGCCTAGCTGACCACGGCGTCATCGCAATGGACTTGGTCCCAGCACTCATGACCACACATACAGTCGCAAATCCCGAATACGATCCTGCAGAAGCGCAGAGGCAAGCAGAGCTCTCAACACTCAACGACGACGACGACGAGGAGTCCATCTCGGATCAAACACTCGTCAACGAACCCATCTCCCCAATACCCGATAGAACATCCTCCAAAACACCAACACCACCCGAAAAAGGGATAGACCCCTCCTCCTCCTTCCTCCCTACTATCGACGCAGACAGCTTCCCCACAGACTCAACAGCCTCCAAGCCTTTCCAAACCACCACCAAAGTTCTCAAAGAATCAAGCACAGCCGCCATTCCGGGCGTAACCACCTCCCTCTCCGCCGCAGACGAAAAAGTGACGCTCGACATCCGATGGACAGTGCTCTGCGATCTGTTCTTGATCCTGATAGCGGACAGCGTGTACGATGCACGCTCGCGTGTGCTTTTGGAGCATGTGGCGATGAAGTTGGGGTTGGGGTGGTTGGATGTTGTGAAGTTTGAGAGTAGAATTACGGAGGCGCTGGAGATTCAGGAGGATGTGGAGAGTTTGGAGCAGCAGGATATCGTGGAGGGTGCGGCGAAGGCGGGGAAGAGGAGGAGGTATATGATGCTTGGGTTGGCTACGATTGGTATATTTTGCTTCACTTTTCTCGTACGTTGAGATGGCTGAGGTTGTTGTTTAGGTGGTGGATTGGTCATTGGTCTCTCTGCGGGTCTTTTGGCGCCTGTTATTGGCCTTGGACTTGCTGGAGCCCTTACGACTGTTGGTGTTACGGGGACAGGGGCCTTCCTTGGGGGTACAGCTGGTGCTGCTGTCATCACTACTGGAGGCGTGCTTACAGGATCGGGTATCGCCGCCCGAGGCATGGCCAAAAGGACAAAGCAAGTCCGAACATTCGATATCCTCCCACTGCACAATAACAAGCGGGTGAATTGTATCCTCACCGTGCCAGGGTACAATGCATCACACTTTATGCGTGACTTGTTGCTAATTTCAAGTGTAGATTCATGACAGGTCTCAACGACGACGTCAGACTCCCCTTTAGCGTTCTGGACCCTATAGTCGGCGACGTGTTCAGTGTCCTCTGGGAACCCGACATGATCAGGGAAACGGGTAGCGCGCTCAAAATCCTCACAGGGGAAGTGCTCTCCCAAATTGGACTAACGGTCCTCCAAGCTACAGTCATGACGGGTCTTATGTCTGCCCTTCAATGGCCTATCAGTCCGTCTTTCCTATCCCATCTCATACCTGCTACTAACGATCCACTCAAGTCCTCACAAAACTCGGATACCTAATCGACAACCCCTGGAGTAATGCTCTAGACCGCGCCAAAGGAGCTGGGCGCGTTCTCGCAGACGTCCTCATCCAACGTAACCTCGGTGTCCGCCCTATAACGCTCATAGGATTCTCCCTAGGCGCACGAGTAATATTCTACGCCCTCGTAGAACTAGCAAAGCAAAAGCAATTCGGGATCGTACAAGACGTGTTCCTCCTCGGCGCAACGCTAACTGCATCCCAATCGACGTGGTGCGATACTCGTTCTGTTGTTTCTGGGCGATACGTGAATGCGTTTGCGAAGAATGATTGGGTGTTGAATTATTTGTTCAGGGCTACGAGTGGTGGGGTGGGCACTGTTGCGGGCTTGAGGGCTGTGGAGAACGTGCCGGGGTTGGAGAATGTGGATGTTACGGATAAGATTGCGGGACACATGAGTTATAGGACGTTCATGCCTCTTATCCTTGATCAGCTTGGGTTCCCGGTGTTCTCGGATTTCTTTGATGAGCCTGAGGTGCGTTCATCTTTAGTTTTGTTCTGTATGGTGGAGAGGCAGCTGACGTGGTGTATTTAGGAACCTGATTTCACGGAGGATAGAGTTGTCGTGAGGGAGGAGGAGAACCAGAAAAAGTCGGGCTGGTTTGGGAGCGGGAAGCGGGGTTCTACTTCGAACTCGCAGAATCAGCATGTTTCGAGGCCTCCGTCAACTGCATCATGGGCAAACAAGACGCCTTCTGCGCCTACAAAGTCAGCTGGAGGCGATGATGAGCTGCCTCCTAGGATGGATGCTTCTCGGAGTGCCACACCACCAGCTACTACCTCTACTAATGGGACCGCAACACCACCACCGATTCACCGTCAACGATCATCAGTCGAAGGATCGCCATCGTCATCGTCTAGACCTGGGACTCCGCCAGTACACGATACACTCCCCAAGCACGCAGGGTTCGATCTTCAGGCGATGAAGGAGATCCTGAGCACGGTCGAACTAAACCCGAAAGAAGCCAACGCTACCAGTTCTTCTACGAAAAAGCCCAATGCATCGCCGTCCTTCCGGTCGAAACTTTTGCCTGTAGTTCCTCCGAGCACGAGGTCGCAGAGCACACCGCCTGTTAACGGTCCCTCTACCTCTCAATCGCAAGCGCAAGGAGGGAGGTCAACGTCTTTGGATTACGAAGATGAACCTCCACCACGGACTTTATCTGCTTGGAACGATGATAAGGCTGATGGCCTTGGCAACGCATTCTCCAGATCGATGTCCCTTTCTTCACCGTATGACGATCCTGCTCCGGTACGGACACCACGACCGGGGTTCACGCCTCTCTCTGCTGCTGCTGATGGGGTGGTTGATCCGGGGATGGGAGCGTGGGGATCTCCGCCTTCTGGTGGGTTCAGTCGTGGAACCGCGTCATCACCGCCACCGGCATCGTTTGGCGTTACCAACTCCTTCGGCAGGAGTACCACTAACCCCACACTGGGACCGTCAAGCTTCTCATCCTTCGCATACAACGCTAACGGTCCCAGTAGCAGTAGCCTCTCACTATCCAAGGCCCCAGGGCTACACTTTGGTGCTCCTTCTCCATTGGAAGGACTGGCGTTTGGCAGTGCAGATGGTACAATCACGAATTCTCCGATATCGGACCCGTGGACGACGCCTAGTTTGGGTGGGTGGAAGTCTGCGGGGGTTGGAGCGGGGAAGAAGGGGGGTTTGGATGGGTATGCTGCTAATCCTTGGTCGTGATCGTGTAGGCTTCAAGGGGGGTGTATGTGCGGGTGGGGGAGATTGAGGGACCGGAAAGGGGGAGTTTACGGTGCTTTATTTCGTGGAGATTTCGTTGGAATCTGGAGTCCTTTACATATCTTCGACCTTTCCTCGTTTTGATAATCGGCTGCGGGACTACTAGGGGAACTGTGCCGGTGTTTTGTTAGTTTAGGCGTATACAAGTAATGCATGAAGTAACACATGGGTTGACTTTTATATCAAGTAACTAACGTGTATAGACAAAATCAAAGGAGCGCTAACAAGTGTAAGGTATTACAACAGATCCTTTGCGACATGATTAGAATAGCTGGGGAATGGGTCGGTACAATTACATACATAATGCAAAGATATGGGGATGAGAAGGATGGTGAAAGCAAACACAAGAGCTGAGCCATGAAGCGAAAAATCACATCTAAAAGCAAAAGCAAGACGTAAGGAGAAAGAGGAGAGAGAAGAAAGAAAGAAAGAGCAAGAGCAAGGCAGAAACTTAACACCACTGGCACCATCGCTTTTGTAGATCACCCGCCTCCTCGTCCACCCACCCTTTAAAAGAAGAAGAATCCAACCAAAAATTCCACACCTACTCCCCCCCACCCGCCAACTCCAAGATCAACCGACACGCAACATCCATGAACACAAACGGCGACACCACCTCATCCTCCTTAACGACCACCGTCCCATCCTTCTCCTTGACCGACCGTCCACTCGAACTCTCACTCATCGTCTCCGCGAAATTCGGGTCAGGAACCGCCATATCAAACTTGCCCGCCGCAGGATCCGTACTGGCGCGATACGATTTCCGATGATGAAAATCCACGAGGTAGTTGATCGAGTCGACCATGTAGAGCTGGAGGTTCATCAACACGACGACGTCTTGTACCCTTGCCCGAGTTTCGACAAAGTATATCCCAGCTGCTGCTTTCAAATCCACCGACCCGTCCCCATCCAGCTCTTTTGCGCGCTCGATCCCACCACCCACGCCTCTTCGTGCCCTCACACCACCCAATCCGCCTAGATTCTTCTTCTCCTTCCATTCCATGCCTAGCGTCTTGAGTGTCCGGTAGATCTCCAGCATGACTTCCATAGGGGGGCTCCTGCTCCGAATCCCAAAATGCCATTTCGTTTTGTGCTGCTTTTTCTCTTTGCTGCTGCCTGCCTTTTTGGAGGTGAGGTAGGAGGCGAGGTGGTGTTGCTCTGGGAGCTGCTCCGGGAGGGAGGAATTGAGGACTGCGAAGGTGTTTACTTCGTTTTCTGGGAGGGCCGGGGAGGTGAAGTCAAGCTCGTCGTCCTCGCCTTCGTCTTCGTCGTATTCGGCGTTGAACTCCAGTTCGAATGGGTTTGCTTCAACGTCTCCTCCTGGAGATAGGACGGAGGGGGAAACGACGTTCCTTGGCTGTGAAGGGGTTAGAGGGGCGACAGCTGGGAGCGATGGGTTACTTACGTCCATAGCAGCGAGCTGAGCATCACGTTCTGCTTGCGCAAACTCAGCCACTGCAGCAGGCATTAGCGAGGAACGGAGAAAAATGACAGAGTCCGTACAATCTTTCCCAAGACGACGCTTGTCTCTTAGGAGCATGTACGCGACTTTTACCGCGTTGCCTTGAACGCCGTCGTCCCTTCGCAAGCACTCCCAAACGTCATCCTTCGTGACACCTTCCATCCGATTCGCCAGCTCCTCCACGACGTCTTCCTCGATCTTCCCTAGTCCTTCGATGATCTCAAAGTCCAAGACCCTGGGCGGTGCGACGAGTGAGCTCAGACTGCCAAGTACCGGGCCTGGGGGCGGCGGAAGCGGCATCAGGTATCGCGGCAGGTCGGTGGTGAAGAAGGGATGAGCAACGATGTCAGGGATTGTGATCCGCTTGACTGGATCCACAGCCAACATTTGTACGATCAAGTTCCTTGCATCAGGTGAGAGGAACGATGGAATGTGGAAGTTGCCCTCTGCCAGTCAACGCATCAGCCAAGCGGACAGCAAATAACAAAAGCTAGGACTGACGGCTGATTTTTGAGAAGAGGATCTGCACATCGTCGTCCTCGAACGGTAGGCGCCCACATAACATCACATAAAGAATAACGCCGGAGCTCCACACGTCAATTTCCGGGCCCGCATAGATCCCACCACGAATCACCTCTGGCGCGGCGTAATTCGGGCTTCCACAAGAGGTGGTAAGAAAGTCTCCGTCGCTGATCTCATTCGACAGCCCAAAGTCAGCGATTTTGACGTTGAGATCGTCATCTAGTAGGACATTTTCAGGCTTTAGATCTCTGTGTACGATCTTGAGTCTGTGAGAGTATTCAATGCCTGAGATGATCTGCTGGAAGAACCGGCGTGCACGCGGTTCTGGCATGCGACCGTGGGCGACGATGTAGTTGAATAGTTCGCCGCCTGCGTATTCGAGGACGAAGATGATGTCTGTAGGTGTTGATATGACTTCGTATCTGCGTGAAATTTGATAAGATACGAAAACGGGAGAGATGTGAGGATTTGCTCACAGTTTGATGATGTGCGGGTGTCGAAGCGTGCGCATGTACTCAAACTCACGGCGTACACGGGTCTTGGTCTTTTCTCGTTGTATGACGGCCTTTGAGATGTACTTCATCGCTACCTTGTGCCCTGTGATCGTGTGCGTTGCCACTGTCCCCAATGTCCATAAAAAACGCAACAACAAAAAAAAAAAAAAGATCCGTGTACGCACTTTTGACCTTTCCAAAGGTGCCCTCTGCGATGTCTTTGGTGACGGTGTACTCCCCCAGCTTAGATGGGGGAAAGACGTTGGGGATGTCAGTCATGGCGACGAGGGGAGGCTGGAGGACGTTGATGGAGCAATCGCAGATGGTGGTTGTGGGGTGGCTGTTGGTTTCTTAGGGTTAGGGGCTACATTTCAAATAGCCCAAATTGGGTATGACGGATTTGGAACGATTATTATTGGCTCGGCAGTTTCGGCTTTTAAATTCAGTCATCTCCTGGTTCCTTCATTTGCGGACTAACCCTGTAATCTAGGGACCGACGAAGCTTGAAAAAAGTAAGTATCCGACTCATAAGTATTCTCCAGCTGGATAGAAAATACCAATACTCCTGGAAGTTGGTAAATGGACAGTACTTGAACAGCGTCCTTGAAACGGCGACATACGAAGCCCTGTATGACGAGAGAGTGGGGGGGAAGAACAAAGGTGGACAAGCACCCATCCGGCGAATAAATCAAAATCTTTCAAATTCCACCCACGCGACCTTTACGCATGGGGCTTTCCTGGCTTTCCCCGTCTGGCCAGAGCAGCTGAAAGTTTTATTTTGGGGAATTTACCAACGTGGTTTGGCGGTGGCGGCGGCGGCGAGTGTACAATTCAACTGTGTAGGGTAGTAGTCTTAAATCTTCCATGCTCGACGCGCTCGTTCACCAGTCTTCACCGGTACTACCGGGCTCCCAAAACAAATCTTACATACATACAGTGGGCTCGAGCTCCGTATCATTCTATGACAGCACAGCTCTCATCATAAATAATCACTTTCGCAGCTCATTCTGCATTCTAAAAAACCAACGCGAAAGGCTCTCCAATGCTCGACTCCGGCAACGTTAAACTTACTCTACTCGCCGTTTCCGAATTCAAGGCGTCCAGAGGTTTTGGCGGTGACAAATCTAAATCATCAACGTGAACATCCGTCAGTATCTCCTTGCGCACGTAAAGCTCAAAGCTTTTATTTCCGCGCTTGGTCATGAGATCCTAATAAAATCTATTCTAAAGTTTTATCCTGGATCAAAAGCATACTTATGGCGTACCATGGAATCACCTGGAAAGGTGAGCATTTCTCGGAGCTTTTTTCGGCAACGGAGGGTGTCCATCAGTGTCTATGAAAAAGTCAACCGTTGGGAAGTGTCAGACACCAATCATCGGCACGCACATTGGTATACAGACGACCAATAGAAATGCCAAAAATGCTGCAGTACTGAGCCTCCTGGTACGCGACGAAGAGCACTAGGATCAATATCGATGCAATGCTGCACAGGAGCCCTAATAAAATTCTCCCGTTAAATCACATATCTCCCGATAAATAATCTCACTCACCCGACTGAATCGTCGTCTGCATAAGTCGTTTAATGACTTTATCCGATCTCTGGGACCCCGTCCTGGTCTGGGCCAGCGAATGGAGTAATGTCCCTGTACCACAAAAAAAAAATCAATTGACCGTTTGAGGGACAACTGCATGACGAACCAGAAATCAAGATATCAACACATATCTCCAATGAACTCCACACCATGAGAAGAGTGTTCAAGTTCCCATGTAGTGGGTTATTCTCACTATCCATCGCCATGGGGGTGTTAGAGGGTAGCCGGAATATTTTGAACAGCCGTACATTCTGCTAAGACATGCTTTGACAGCGAACACGATCCCAGCGATAAACGCGCATGCAGATAGAATTAACACGAGGATGTACAGTCTGACGCTCTTCTTGATGCGTAGAATTCTGTGCACGATGGCGATGTATTGATGAGAACGTCGTAGTGATAGTACGGAATACCAGCTCACCTATCCGCTAAATATATTTGCGTCAAGCAAGCCGTAACGGTCGTCACGAATGCCGATGAGATGTATGGCCAGAATGGTTCTGAGAAGTTACGGTATTAATGTATGCCAGATTGGAGATTGTGTGGGACGCACTCAGTAAATACATCGGGATCCTACGAGTGTCTTGCATGCTGATAAACAAAATTTCAGTATTTCTAGGTGGTCGACGAGAGAAGAAAGGGTTGAGGCGTACGTGTATGCCCAGGCGAGGTACATCAACCTGCCATTTAGAATCAAAATCTGCCGATGTCCTCTTAAATCCTTGCGAACTCACGAAACGCTGTGAAAAGTGTCCAGGCAGAATAACGAAAAGACCATAAGCCTGCCGTATCCGTACCTTCAATCGGATGCGTTCTCCAAGTCGAGTTCAAATGCAAAGTGCGCACCTAATCCATAGTGTGTCGTTGAATACTATCATGATGATCAGTGAGAAACCAGAGCGTAGACAAGGAAAGACAACATACCTGAATTATAATAAGATGCATATTGGAAGGAAACAATCCCGTATAGATAGGTGTTCACTTATTTCCAATATTTCCGTTCAAAATCGCAACCAAATAATCACCCTCTGCTAAGAATTCCTCACCAAAAATGCCAAGTAGAATAGGACCTATAGCACAACACCCAAGTCAGCGTCCGAACTTCACGAAAACCAGGGGCGCACTGGCAGTAACTGACCAACTGTTGTCTCGGCGAGGTTCATGATCACAGCCTAAGTGGAAGCGAGAGCCAACAAGAAGTTAACGGGAGCTCGAAGCAATGTATGTATTAGGTATTAGAATCGGCCCAAGTTCCTGTTCCCCACGCGACGAGGAAGAACCCCGAGTCAGGGCTAGTGACGAAAATAGGCCGTTGGGCGCTTCGTCGGAAGCCCGTCGGAGACCGAGTTTAATCCTTTCGCCAAGTTGGGATTGCTCGTTGAGCTGGGGTGGCTGGAAAAGGTTGAGACTCGAGGCGGATGTAATTTTTGGGATTTTGTTTTATTTTATTTCTCAGTGAGCCAGGGGTACGTTTGGCACTCATTCGGCGGGGAGGTGAGGTCTCAGAATTGGTGGGTTTTTAAGTCTATTTAGTCATGAGGTATGTAGATGCGTGTGTAGAGTATAGATAGGGTCATAAAAATTTCTAATCAAGTACCCATACGAACGAAAAATCCTCTGCTTGAAGGAAATAGCGAAAAATGGATTTTTGACACAGTCAAAAGTCTTTTCGCGTTTTGAAAAAGATAACGGTTTGGTACAATTGGGCCCTTGAGTTCAAGCAATTATAAGGCTGAAATACAGGTGAGACTGGATCCTGTGAACCGCTCGTCCGAGGGCAGATGAGAGCGTTTCAGTCACCCGGATTTTACGAATTGCCTTATCCTCCTTAACTGAGGAGGTGAAGGTCGGGACTTTTAAAACAAATAATGGAGCCGAAGGGCGTTGTTGGGCGAGCGTGGGATGAGTGAGTGGATATTCATCTGCTCCTCTTCAGAACGTACAACCTTTATTAAAAGTGTACAGGTTTTTTATTTCTTTTACACACTGAGTCGACGTATCATGAGATCAAACTGCATGTCTGACCTTGGATCCACCGGGAAAAGGATTTAGGGTTAGGACGCGAATCTAGATGAGGACAATAACTCAAAGCAGTTGGTTGGGACCCGACGGAAATAAGGATGTCGCGAACATTTATAAATCCCCTCGACGAGCGGAAGTGCGGTGATAAAATCAAAAAGATAACAGCTCTGTTGGCGAAAGGAGATCGTGAGGCTTCCCAATATCTCTTGTTCCTTGCACGATGCCCGACCATTCTCCAACAGGTTAATAGTACCGGTGACTTGATCTTTTTATGTTTCATTTCAAGACGGAAATGGTGCTGGTGGTTGATGAGGCCATCAACTCAATATTTGAGAATTCGTGGACAGGATACGGTGCCAAAAAACACTTAGATAGCATGTAGACTCTAGCGCCACAGAAACTGTCTAACAAATGTCTAATGTTGGCAACAAACAGGTTGTGGTTTACAGCGCTTACATTGCATCTGGCGCCCTCCACCGATCATGGCGTAGGTAGTGCCCCATTGTGTATGTCAGGGCTCAATTCGTTAGGGCCACAGTAACGACTGTTTGGGCGTGCTCCGCGGAAAGGAGTGAAAGAACGTCAGTGCGGACGCGACGCGTGTTGGACGCGTGTGACATGTCCTGCTGACTTGGCACGTGATGTTTACGTTCGCTCTCCACGCGTCACGCGGCAAGGTTGAGCACATCCGACATCACACAATGCGCCGCGCCCAAAGCGTCCGCCACTATGCACGACCCTCGCTCGCCCTCGCCGCCGACGATCTTGGCATGCTCCGCGAAGGCGATGAGTCCAACGAAGACGTGTTGAGGAAACAGTTATTGGATAAGGACAGGGAGAACGACAAAGCACGTTCTTTTTCAAGTTGCTTTTGCAATGCTAGACTCTGAACCTCCCTATGGCAGCTACGGACGCAGGTCCAGATTCTACAAGACCAACTAGCCCAACGACCACCACTGGAAACGATTCAGGAGCTCGATAGGGAGTACAAGAACTTGGAACTTCTACTTCAAGGAACGCAGCGGGAGAACGAGCGATGCATGGCTGAACTCGAAAGGTACGTGGCTTTCGCTCTGCGTCTTTACCTGTTCAATGATCGCCAACTCAGAGCCAAAACACGAGAAAAGATGCTTGAACGCGAGTTGACCAGATTGGCGGGGGAGAATTGGCAGGTACGCCGTCTAGATAGATATCCGTTGTCCATCAACAAGCTAACACCTACCCCAAGTCAAACCTTGAACTCGGCTCAACCGCATCTGTAATCCTTCCCGGGGGGCGCTCAAATATTCGACACGCCCGCTCGAACACTATCTCTTCCCCATCACCCACTCTAAATCTCACCCGAAACCAAGCAACGCCTTCCCCTGACAGGCCCAGATCCAGGATGAATCCACAACAAGAACAGCAACAAAACATGGCATCACCAACCCTGGCGCACATTGATCAAGTACGGATGCTGATCCTGGGTATGGAGCAGCGGCTGCAGGTGCGCGAGGAGAAGCTTGGGAAGGTGGTTGAGAGAGCTGAAGGGGAGGGGCGGAGGTTTGAGCAGTTGCGCACGGAGATATCGGTCACGGACGCTTGAGGCCGCGGGTGGCTGCTGGCTTGCGCTTGAGAAAACGACTTCGACATTGGAATTGTCCAGCTCCGCGCTGGATTGGCTTCAAAGGATGGATGGATGAATGAATAATGCTCGATAGTATGCACACTCCTCGGCTCATTTCTATTCCCTTCCCATTCCCCTAACCTAACACCTATGACATCCTCACTCCTATGTACAATATCATACTATCTCAATGTACCTATACCCTGGCACGCCATTTCACAAAACTTCTATCTTCCTCTTTTAAACCATCTCCCTTGTAACTTCATGATCACTTTTGAGGACAAACATCCAGTCCGTCTCCACAAAAATCCACCCGGGGATTGAATCTTCCTTCCATTAGGCCCGCTCACGGTAGCCGATTTTTTCATTTTAATTTTGGCCAACTTTGTGAGCTAAACTCACATCGATAGACCGGTGGGTAAAATGCAAACGAGAGCTATCCATTAGCAGCTCTAGTGGGAGAGGAAACAAGAAAGAATTGAAACCACTTCCGGGACCCATAGAACTCAACACGACCGTGAGCCGTACTCTTATGGGTCGCGAAGAATTACAACACGTCCACCGTCATTCTCGGCGCGTCGAATCCTGAGTAGGTTACTCACAACCTCAAGGCAGGTGATCCTGCAGTTGACGCCAGAGGTTTTGGAGAAGATTGATAAATTTTTTGAAAATCTGCCTGAGGCTCCTGCCAATGTACGTATCCCTTTATCTATTTGTTTTTCTAAACTTGAAGTTGACCCTGTGTGGTGCAAGTCGTTGTGGGCGACCGCTTTTGGATAAGTTGGGAGACTTTGACAGAGGCAGGATGTCTGGAAGAGTACGAGCAGTGAGAAAGCAACGGTTCAACGTTCAACGTTCAATGTCCATCCCTTACAGCCGTTTGCATAAGTCATTGAACACTTCGATTTTTTTTGCGTCGTCACGTGCCAACTTTCCCGTAGCCAAACAAATGATTGATCGAGTAGATAACGTTGAGATAATGCGCGCTCTACTGCACTCCTCTCCCTTTGCCCGCTCACTTTCGTCCATAATCGAGTCCCAGACTCCTACCTGAGCTACACTCACCTCGAACAAGGTATTTTCTATTTCCTGTCAACCTTGCTCTCACTTATCAAATCCGAAGCTGAGCCGAAAAATCAACGCGCATTGTACTGCCTCGTTCACCATCCTGAAGCCTTGCGTCCAGGTGCTCAATATATTTTATTTATCTGGTGACCGAGATGAAAAACACATTTCCGATAGGAAGGAACGTGTTCAGCTCGAGAAATGAGTATAAGAGGTGAGCTCTGAGTTCAATCGCTTCGCGCGTTATCTACTCGATCAATCATTTGTTTGGCTACGGGAAAGTTGGCACGTGACGACGCAAAAAAAATCGAAGTGTTCAATGACTTATGCAAACGGCTGTACCTTGGTATCGGGTTCGTACGCGATGGTTCACGGAGAAAGACGAACGTCTTGAACGCGACTCTGGCCACTACTGTGCGAGTCGGCCCGATAAAGGTAGATGAGCTACCACGAATACCTATTTCAGTTTGTTTCTAGATCATTGACGGACTGCACAGCTGAAGTCCAGCTTGGCGTCAGCACTGTGTCACGCGTCACGGCGCATCAATGCATCAAGCTCAAGTGTGACACTGCCGCGGTCCCGCGTCATTCTAGGACCCCGGGCAATGGTAGGGGAGGCCAGGTCACAATCCGGACGGATTTTGAAGAAAATTTGAAAAAGGCCAGGAGCCAATCCGGACAAAATTGACGAAATTTTCGAAACAGCCAGCGCCCTTGATCCAGACAAAAATTCCGCCTCACTGTGTAGCCAGGTGAGATGTTCAGACATATGTCAGCCGTGGTGAAGTGGCTCAGCGCCAGTAGTCACAGGTTCCAGAGTTTGTAAAGCTCTCATGTTCAAATCTCCTGCTGTACTAGTTTTCTCGAAAATTTTAGCTTGTCTGGATCTACGTGCTCTAAATATTTTATTTGGTACAAGGAGCCCTCTCAACAACAGGGCTCTATCCTCGAGCTCTTCCCTGATGAGTTGAATCGATTCCACACCCTACAAAAAACTGACAAGCAACTACAAGTGACATTAGTGATGTGCAAGGGTATGGGAACCCTTAAGGGTACGTGGGTAAGGGTACAGTGGGTGAGGGTAGAGGTAGCAACATTGAACCCTCAGCCAAACCCTAACCCTCACCACGGGTTAGGGTTACCCGCCTAATTCCGAAAGGGTAGAGCTTAGGATTTAGCATGTCCAAACAACATGAACAGGTCTCAAAATGACATGTTGAAAGGCAAGTTGAATTGAGAAAAGATGGGGGTGTCGGCTTGAAGGCAAGTTGAATTGAGAAAAGATGGGAGCATCGGCTTGAAGGCAAGTTGAATTGAGAAAAGATGGGAGCATCAGCTTGAAGGCAAGTTGAATTGAGAAAAGATGGGAGCATCGGCTTGAAGGCAAGTTGAATTGAGAAAAGATGGGAGCATCGGCTTGAAGGCAAGTTGAATTGAGAAAAGATGGGAGCGTCGGCTTGAAGGCAAGTTGAAATGAGAAAAGATGGGGGCGTCGCCTCGACTTAACTTCGTAATCATTCATGTACAGATCCGGTAGACTATATACTGGAAATTGACTCTTGTGGAGCAGCAAATGCTTGTCCGACATTATAAACACGATACCTACATATTTCACTGCTCCACAATACATTCTGCCGGCCTTTTAACACGCAAAACCATCCTTTTCTTCCATCGCGAGGAGCCTGGCCCAACCTAGTTTTCAGAGTAAGTAGCCGAAGTCCTATAAATATCAGGTAAGTTATGAGCATTTATCTAAGAAATGGCACCTACCCATAGTAAACCAATTCCTGAGCAACGTCCTCTCGGCGTTCGCAAACGCTTCCTCGCTGCCAGCCTTGCCTCCACCGACAATGTCGACCCTGCTGCTGTTAAACGGCGAAAGCTCGAAGAGGACGCAGCCGCGTTGCGCCGACAGCAACAGCCATCAGTCGAGCTTGTGGTCGACGACGACGACGACCTCCCTTCCAATTCACTACCATGGAATGCATCACGAATCATGGAGGCCGCTGACGGAAGCGACAACGACGATGTTGAGATGGTTGACGACGACCTCGACGACTTGCCTAGCCTGATCCCTGTAGACTCCAGTGAGTGTGGGGATGAAGACCATGACGGCGATGACGACGATGAGGAGGAGGAGGAGGGGGAGACCGCCGAGGCAGAACTAGGTAAGTTTTCTATTGAACTCAAGTGTCATTGACAAATACTCACCAAATTTTGCCAGCGCGTCTCATCGAGGATTGGACCTCGCCCATCTACGCTTTCTTTGGCCCAATCCCAGACATCACCTACAATGCCGAAGGCCGTCGCGCTCATGAGTTCCGCTGCTCAGCAGGTGTTTGTAAGGGTAAAGGCACCAACAAGCGAATTGTTCGGCGTTACCTCGATACGTTGGACCGGACATCGAGCAGTAACCTCAAACGTCATGCGATCCTTTGCTGGGGAGGAGACACTGTCGCTAAAGCCTTGGATGCAAAGGTTGACATCGAGTCAGCTCGCAAAACTCTTGGCGGGCTTCAGGACGGCTCAATCACGGCAGCATTTGAGTGCAAGGGGAAAGGAAAAGTATCGTACTCACATCGCCAACACACCAAAGCGGAGACTCGGTAAGAGAGATAGCATGTTCAAGTTATTCATCCTCTGACAATGACCTGATAGGGCCGAGATTGTTCGCTGGGTATCTGAAAGCATGCGCCCATTCAGCATCGTTGAGGACCGAGGATTTCGCTGCCTCATGAAAATGGGGAGGCCAGAGTATTACTTACCGTCTTGTTCAACTGTTTCCCGTGATGTCAAGGAAGTGTTTATGAAGGTGCGAAAGAGGATTGCTAAAATGCTTCAGGTCAGTAATGAGTAGCATTTAAAAATGACATAACAGACACTCACCTTGAATTAGGGGCACGACGGCAAGATAAGCTTTGGAACGGACGCTTGGACGTCACCGAATTCCAAGGCGTACATCGCCGTTACTGCCCACTTCGATCGGAATGGCATTCCTTTTTCTATGCTTCTTGATCTTGTCGAGGTTGCCCAGTCGCATTCGGGATTGAACCTTGCTGCTGCATTTGCTAAAGTTCTAGATGATTTTGGAATTTCAGATAAGGTCAGTTCAAATTTGTTTTACATCAGTTTCAGTGACTCACTGTTCTGCAGGTACTCAGCATTACTTGCGACAATGCCGCGCCAAATGATACAATGATCGACGAGCTTTCCAAGCTCTTGGACGACTTTCCTGGTGCAGCAAACCATACTCGGTGCTTCACACACATCCTTAACCTCGTCGCTAAGAGTATCTTGAAGCAGTTCGACCTTCCGAAGGCTGAAGCAGATGATGCTCTTGATGCCGCGACGCAAGCCCTTGCTGATCTTGCTGTAGATATTGAAGTTGAAGAGGAGCTGATGGGAAATGATTTAGTGGAGGATGACGAGGACGATGACAGCAGTGAAGGACTTGCTGATATTCGAGGTGAGATGTCCGCAGAAGAGGTTGTAGAACTCGACGAGAGCTTACGGCCAGTGCGTTTGGTCTTGGTGAAAGTAAATTCAGTCTCCGATTCAATCTAGTGTAAACACTAAATTCACGTTTGACTTGTTCTCATCACACCAGCTCCGTAAACTCGCCTTCGCCGTCAAGAATTCGACAACGATCATTCTACCACAATGGTTCTCGATTCTCAAGCAACATGCAGAGGTGAGCATAGCAGCCAAACAAAAACCTCTCTCACTTCGGATGATGCCTCGGGATGTCGCTACACGATGGAATTCAACATTCGACATGCTCGAGTTCGCGCTCTTATACCGCAAGCCACTCGACGAATTGACTGGTATCCGTGAGATGAAGCTTCGGTCATATGAGCTCTCAGAGATGGAGTGGACGATTGCCGAAAAGCTTTCAGGTGTTTTAAAAGTACGTCGCTTCGCTTATTCACAGTTTGTTACTCAAAACTTCTCTAGATCTTCAAGCAGGCGACCCTCTTTTTCTCGGCTCAAACACCAAACCTCTTGAAAGTCATCCCTGCTATGGACTACATTGATAAGCACCTTGCCTCTGGTGCACTCAATACGACATATCTCCCCTCAATCCGGGCTTCCATGCTAATTGGGAAGAGGTTGCTAAACAAGTATTACAATATGACGGATTATTCGGAAGTATATCGTATTGCAATGGGTAAGCTCAACTTTCTCTACTCTCAAGACTTGCAACTAATGTCCGTCTACTCAGTGCTCGATCCAAAGCGCAAACTCGACTATTTCCGATCGGCTGGATGGGAAGAAGAATGGATTGAGACTGCGCGTGAGATCGTTGAAGAGGAATTCGATAGAGGATACGCAGGCATGTCTCCTGAGTTGGAGGAACCAGAAGCAGCATCGGTACGTCACATATAGTTCTAACTACATTATAATTGAAACGAAGTCTCTTAGGCACCTATTTCACAATCGGAGAACATCTTCGTCGACTTGCTGTCCTGTTCAAGTTCGGCGCCTGTCAATGAGGAGCTTCGGAGCGAGCTGGCACAATACCTGAGCACGGGACCCGAGAAGGTCAAAGACGCACTTCTCTGGTGGGTTGAAAAGCGCGCTGTCTACCCTTGCTTATCTCGGATGGCGCGGAACTATCTATCTATTCCTGGTATGTCAAATTTGCATGCCAGTTTGTCATAGGCCTCACCCTCGTTTAGCCACCTCTACCGATGTTGAACGTGTCTTCAGCAAGGGCCGGCTCGTTCTATCTCACATCCGTAATCGACTCAGCATCGCATCAACTTGCGCGTTGATGTGTCTTGGGGCTTGGAGTAAGTTGGGCCTTGTCCGTGATGCTGACATTAAGGCTGCAGCCAGCCTTCCAGACGTCGTAGGAGAAGAAGACGAGTTGAGGTTTGGGTGGGATTATATTACATATGATTAGGTAGTCTTGCAGAAAGTCTAGCTAGCTTGTACCCCATGTTCGCATTTTATTTGACCCTTGCGTCCACCCGTTGTGGGTTTCTAACCCTTCAAACCCTGTGCAAACCCTCACCCCTACCCTCAAAATACCCTCACCCATGGAAAGGGTACGGGTTTGCGTGGGGTCAGGGTAAAGGTAAGTGTGGAAACACCCGCGGGTAACCCGCGCCCATCACTAAGTGACATTGAACTTGAAGCTCTTGCAGAAGCACTAGTGTAAAAATTACACTAGTTTATGTGCTACTAGATACCAGGTTGAATACAAGCAGCCTATCTATTGTAGTCATTGCCTTTTGGTGTTATTACAATGCTTGGTACCTCATTTCCTCAATTTCTGAAATCCCAAGCCTCATCTGTGGTGATTTTAGGCCAGATACAGTCTATCCAGACAAATTTTGGGGAAAAATAGGCTAGATACTGATGTCTGGACAAATTTCAGGAAATTTTGGCAAGGCCAGGTGCAATCCAGACAAATTGGCTCAACCTCTGTCTGGACGAAAGGTGCTTTTTCAGGATCAGGCCTCTCCTACCATTAGGGGGTTTCACAGTAGGCCAACTTAGGTCCCAACTTAATCCCCAACTTGGTGAGCAACTTTTGCCAAGTTGGAAGGACAAAGTTTAACCAACTTCATCAAGTTGGGATGCAAATCGTGGTCCCGACGCCGATTTGCAGCCAACTTTGATCCCAACTTGGTGCCCAACTTCACCTTGCAACTTCCCACATGTCCAAAATAGGCAGAAATCTGCATTCGGAATCCCTTCCGAGCCCAAATCAGCCCAAGTTCATGTTTTCTGCAGTTCAAGGTGTTTCACGGTAAAGTTGGCCAACTTCCCCTTCAACTTTGTTGAAGTTGGCCCACAAGTTGGAATGAAAGTTGGGACCTAAGTTGGCCTACTGTGAAACCCCCTATTGCCCAGGGTCCTGTCATTCTCTTCCTATGAGCAGGTTCGCCCATTCCTCACTAATTTTGGCCCAATTTTCCAGAATTGTAAGTTGAGAGCAAAATCTTTGGAATACAGATTTTACTCATTGCTGACACCTCAGACAATTGGTTTGCAGCTGCTATAAAGTGCCAGAGGAGGGCAGAGATCAAGGCTTCAAGAACAGCTTCTCTAGACATATCCTGTGTTTTGAATCTTCCCATTGAACTTCTACTTGAGGTCTGTAATGACGCCTCAGAATCTCGCCTTGATCAATAGATTGATGAGCCACATGCCAACCTAGATCTTTGAATTTCTTCATCCTATTGACCTTTATTCCCTTATACACTCAACTAAGAGGCTGAGGAGTGTGCTCTTGGATCAGAAGGCGTCATCTGTGTGGGAGGAAGTGTTCAAGAGGTGTTCTGATGTTCTCCCGCCTTATCCTATGGACATCTCTGAACTGCAATGGGCTTCAATGCTGTTTGGCCCAGCCACTTGTGATGTAGGCTGTTTCACTATAATGTATAAAAAGACTCATTGTTGGGACAGTATTACAGGCAGAAGGGCACCATGATTGATTTCCATTTTTGAAGCTACTTTTGCCAGTTCTGTATGGGGAGCAGATGATAATGAGTGATGTCTCCAACTAACTTGGAGGTGCTTTTCAAACACACAGAATGATATGTATGTTGAGAAGTCTAGCATTGACGTGAATGGCCTCGGGATCGGAGACAATGTAGGAACATTCTGGAAATGCATCCCTCATTCTTATCAGCCAGGTGTCTTTCCTTCTATTTCATAAGTGATCACAGATTAACTGCTGAAATTAGATGTAAGATTTTACCCAAATGGTTTGGACTATGACAAGGAGCCAAGTTATCTGAGGTTGGATATCAGCAAGATGACTTTGCACTTCAACATGGGGATATCTTCTGGCATCCCCGGTGCATCCCTAGAATTTGAGGAATTCAAATCCTTGAAAATTGCCAACACAATACGTGGCTTTGAGGTGATGTATGGCATTCCCCATCAGATGCACTCTGCTGATGTCTATGGACAGGAATCAGAGATCACCAATGAATTTATGGTTGAGATCGGCAATCAGCTTATGGAAGATGACATTAAGCAATTGATTGAACAGTATTTCATCTGACATTTATCATTGGAGATATCAAGGACTGACCTTTGTATTAGCCATTCTTCTGTCCTTCTACGACACAGCCATGATCAAGTGGATCTAGATGCTACATTAGGACAGCTTCTTGATCATTATTTATACAGAGAAAAATTTAAATTTAACTGTCGTTGTAAGCTCAAGCTTCTCCTCTTGCAACATATTCTATCTGAAATTTGGATTCAGCTTACAAGCAGCTTGCTCTTGAACTGCTGCAAACTTCCGAAGCCCACAAGATCTATAGACTGGAAAGACAGCAATGGTCTTTGACCTTGCAAAGGCAGAAGTTAGTGGGTGATTGGTATCACACTCATCAAAAGACACTTCCCCCAACATCGTGGCCAAATTTGCCAAAGGTGGAAGCAATCTATAAGTGCGAGCCATTTGCAGCTTTCATTGCCTCAGAATCAAATGAAGTTGGAGAGCTTCCAAAGGAACTAGTACAAAGTCACCTGGCACCTTTCCTCGATTCTTGGATGCAGGTGCATGAACATAACATGTCTGCCAGGCTAGAATCTCTGTATGAGAATTTGGACCTTGCTGTAAATGTCTTCATCTGTGCTTCTTGTGAAGATGACAGGATCGGATGCCCCCCTTTGGTCTTGATTGGCTTGAAAGACCTTCGTTCTCATTTTAAATGCATTGATTCACAGTTCGACTTTCAATTTAGTGCTGCGGGCAGAGCCAACACACTCATGTTAGTTGATCTTCTAGGTATGGATCTGAAAACAGTGACTGTCAATGATCTGGACACAAGAGATGCACAAATTTTCTGTGAGGGATGCAATGTTTCTTGGAACTCAGGAGTTGCTCGCCAGGCCTTGATGTGGAGGGATGTGTAAGTCATGCAATGTTCATGCAAGGGGGGTCCAGGATTTGAAAATGCCATATTGGGATGGTTAGTTAGTCCAGCCGACAGGCTGTTTAAAAAAAATTGACCTCCCATCCGAACGGCCTGGAAACACCCTGAAACAGTTCAAAATGTTGATGGAGAAGCCTCCAGAGATCAAAGAGCCAGTATGTTGCATAGAAATATAGTATTTCAGTGAGTGGTTGTTACATAACCTTTCATGGGAACATTTTATCATATTATAAAACGACAAGGCACTTTCCCATGGGGGACAAAGATGATATTTGATTGGCTAGACAACTTTGATGATGTCTTCCTCTCATGGATGCTATATTGTCCATCTGCTATCATGACGGCCATTCACACCACCTTTTTCATTCACCATTTTCCACCACTGTTGATGCTATTCTGCCCTGTTTACTTACTCTGACTTGCTGTGTAGGTACCAATTCAAACAGAGCTTTTTTACTCCCTCCTGTTTTGTGGCTTTGACTTACACAGAAGGCCTGATGCTTGCCAGATCAACACTGCTCAATAGACCGCCCTGCCCCTGCTGAATCTACCTTGAAATTCAGCTGGCAGTACACAAATTCAGTAATTTCTCGAGAATTCTTGAAACTTCAGCATCCTGCAATCACGGTCATGATCCTGACATGCTCAAGGTATGCACTTTGCCAATGGGTTCGAAAATTGTTGTCGAACTTGAAGATCATCATGTATGTAGCAATTCTTCTTCTCAATATGTATATCTGACCATTGACAGTCTGATAATATTCTAAATACTCCACAACGACACCGACAGTGGACACAGCAAGCTCTTCGTGACAGTCCCAACCACTGACTGGTCCAGAATGTGGACCAAAGTCCTCGGTGTCGCCACCCTTCTTCAAGACCTGATGCCCTAAGTCCTCGACCAGGATACATTGAGAGGACCAGAGTGGATTGCCATTGCGCTAATCAAGCTGCTCGCAATTCTGAGCTACTCAACGCGCCGAGAAGCTCTCTGGGTATGCAGCAAACTGCGATCAATACCAGGCAACATTCGACATGGATATTTCATAGTAACGGGCCCCGTCAAGTCCGGTTCTAAAAGCAAGCCTACTGCCTCTTTCACTTGCACTGTGCTTGACTCTCCTTCGTATGAATAGTTTGGCAAGCTTGTGCCATATGCGAAGTGGTATGTGTTTGTCACAGGTTTTCTTGCCAATGCAATTGTTGCCAGTGATTCCAAGCCAAGGAAAGTCAAGAAGTTCATTGTGGAAGTTGATAATGTAGTATTCTGTCCTATGGGATCTGCAGCGGTTTTGACATTGACAAATGACTTAGATTAGAAAGTGAGCTTCTTTATTTTTGAGATTTGCCTTTATGAATTTGTGTAGCTCCCTTGAAAACCCTGTGTGCCTCTGCAGAGGACTTTTGAGCTACAATCAGAAGGCATCTGATGATCTGAATCACCGACACTAATGCCAGCAACTCCAACACCAGCACAGGCTACCAGAGCAGCCAAACACAAGAGGGTTGAGTTAGAGAGTTCTGCTAATTTCTTCACTGATGAGAATGTGCCACCCTCTTGAAGTTCTTAATAGCCTCCACCTTATGGATACTTTGTTACTCTAATACTTTGGTCCTGCATTGATCTGCTCAGAGATGTATTCAATTCTTTTATAATCTGGACAAATTCAGGAATTCAAATTGGTGAATGTTTGAACTTTCAAAAGGAAAGCCCCATGCAAAGCACAGGTCACAGCTAGTTGATATTGTATACTAACACAGAAATCTTGATAACAAGGAATCTTGACTGGTGGCACATTCAATTAATGGCAACACTCCACCAGTGGTGGTAGGGGCCGGACAACAATTGACATCCCTGCACATTCTTAGTCTACCGATAACAAGAGTGACTTGGGGGATGACGAGAGTGGTGATGACGATGTTGATGGTGGCAAAGGTGACACTAAGGGGGAAGGGAATCTGCTGACCGATGGTAAAGAAAGTTCCTATGTGATATTGAAGTTTGAAATCACCTACAGCAGCCCACTTAACACAGATATCAACTCACTGTTTTGCAAGTACCAGACACTGAGCTGGCAGATAGCCTGGTGGTCAGTGTTGGGAGTTTGGCAACCAGGCAATGTAACCACGGTTGATGCAGTTGTCGAGACACCAACTGGTGTTGATTCAGTCTACAAAGGATCTGTCAGTGTCGCAACAGAGACCAAAACTGGGCATGACACCCATACAGTGGCAATCAAAAGTATTGCACAGCCACCACATGATCAAGTCGCATCAATCTCCTGGTTGGATTCATGCTTTAATCTCAAGTAAAATGAGTGCTTGGGGTACATTAAAGTGTAATACATATAATCGAATCAAGTTACACATATATGAATTAGATCTAGCCATAATACATGCATTTTACTGCTGAAAACCATGTGCAATACTTTTGCTCAGGTGTCTCAGAAACACATGGTACCTCATTATAAAAAATCTAGCAAAGTATGGACTGAAAAAACAGCTCAGACATCTTTTCACAATCATGGTCTATACTTCCCCAACAAAAGTTGCCAGAATTGTTGATCTCAAGAAGCTTTCCATGGACGACAATGACATTGCCCAAAGAATTGGTATTCATCACACAACTGTCACCCATATACTGAAGCACTTCAAAAAATCAGCTGATCCTTACTATGTTAATCCAAAGACAGGCTGGCCATGTAAATTAGATGCCTGTGATGTCCGAGTTGCAGCCCGGATGCTTGCAAAATGTGAAGCTGCAAATGCTACTGAGGTTGTTAAGAAAGCCTTCCCTGCTGTCTCTCGCCACACACTCTCATGCAATCTCTGGGCTTACGGACTTGTCTGTTGTGTTCGTAGGTCCCTCTAGGCTTTGGCACATGCAGGCTGGACTGTTGAGGATTGGAAGCATGTTGGATTTTTTGACAAGTCCAAATTCCTTCTTTTCAAATCAGATGGCTGCCAATATGCATGGTTTCAACCTGGACAGGCCCTAGATGATTGCTTTATTAAGAAAACTATTAAACATGGCACAGGAAACCTCATGGTGTGGGGGATGATTACTGCTAAGGGTATGGGACACCTTCATCGGATCGACGGAATTATGTGCGGCCCGGACTATGTGGAAATTCTTGATAAACAATTTCTCAGTAGTATTAAGGACCTAAAAATAAGGCGTACAGGGAAGGAGGGGTTGATTTTTCAGCAGGACAACAATCCCAAACACAGATCCAAGGTAGCTCAGGAGTGGTTTGCATGAAAAAATGTCAAGCAACTCCCATGGCTGCCATCTAGCCCAGATATGAATATCATTGAGCATGTCTGGGATCAGTTGGATGCCTTAGTTCATGCTCGCAACCCATTGCCGACAAACAAGGAGGAGTTATGGGTAGCACTTCAGGAGGAATGGGCAAATTTTCCACAGAAGGCCCTCAACACTCTCTATGAGAGTATGCCTCGTTGCATTGCTGCATTAATGATGGCTCGGGGTGGCGCTACAAAGTACTGAAGGCCAGTAAGAAATTGCTTCTTTGGTTCTCCCGCAATCACTTAATCTCACGTCGGACAGCCTGTGAGCAAAAGAATTGCACAGCGCTTTGATTCGTTCTCATGGCTTTGACATCGGCAGGACCACTAATTACTATTATTGAGACTACCACATTATTTTGTACTTTTCTGGCTGCAGTATAGTTGTTTTCTTATCTTAATTGAGTGCATTTTACGATCAGTAGGCTAGATTTACAAGTGCATGTGGTGGCTGTGCAATACTTTTGATCGCCACTGTACGACAACCACTACTCAAACCGTCCTATCTCCCACATCCATCGAGGTTGAACATCAAACATCGAGGCTGCGCATGTCCCCAAGTGAAAGTTTATCAGTGAATGTGTATGTGGTGGCCCATTGACAGTGATGAGATGGACGACAAAGACAAATTGATCTGCGGCAAACAGAAGAGATGTGAAACAAGTTTGGTAAGTACGTCTACCAGCAATAGAGAACTTACACATTATTTAGTATCATCTTGTATGAGTGGGTATCAAGTGCAGAATTCAACGGTGGATCTGTGACTCGTGCAAGTACAGTGGAAACAAATGAAGGTGAGATGATGAGGTTTAGACATTATGATGTAATGTTTCCATATTTGGTAATATATTCCCACCCTAGTCAGTTAGTCCAGCCATCGAGGCCTTAAAAAAAAATTCAACCTGATAGGATTTATAAAAATCCTGGACCCCCCTTGTGTTCATGATACAGCTAATTAGATTTGGAAAGATTTCTCATGTGATTCAGAACACAGATTCCCACCTCTCCAGAACACCTTGGGCACTTCTCACAACAGAGGCTATGGAATGTATCAAAAGACATGAACAATCCTTCCTGAATCCAGAGCACCATGTCTGGTGTTGTAACTACTGTCCTGAGCACTACAATGATGCAATGACAAGGATGAACGCGCTTCGCCATGCCAAAGATGAGTACATATACATATATCTATTGCTGCAGGGGAAAAACTTTTGACATGCTGGGTTCTCAGGCATTCCATTGATCGCCCTCACATCGACACTGATTTAATATACAACAGGTGAAAATTCTCTACCTGCAAACCTATTTGTGTTGGACATGAACCATCAGAGAACTACCAATGTAGAAGCTGCCCAGATACGGTTAACCATCTCTGGAAGATTGGCCACTTGATAAACCATATACTTGACAAGTAACTTTGAGATGACCTACTCATTATTTTATGATTTATTGTCACTGAAATCAAAGACATCCTGAAATCAAACAACCAAGTCCATGTCATTGGAGTGGTTCAAATTGTAGAAAGGAGTGTTGGGACACTCTCAGTGGCCGCATGTCCGTAAAATGTGGAGGCAGAAAAGGGGAGGCCCAATTGAATGTATCTGGCACTGGTACTCTACAGAAAATTGTTGTGGCTTGGGGAAGGTTTGAGCCAATGCAATAATACATTTAGACCCCCTTTCTGGTACTCAAGTATTCCTTACCATCACTATAACATCACAATTCCGTGGTTGCTATTTCAAATCAATTTGGCCGGAGCCTATGTCAACAATAAAATAGACACTGGCATATCTAGAATTGATCTAGAGCGAGACTTATATGGGATGCCTTCACATGCCAGTTGATGTTCATCTTTGCTAGTAGCAGCTCAACAAAGATTCGGAAAACAAAAAGCGAAATCCTTGTCCTCAGTTCCAAGTTTGATATGCAGGCAAATGAAGACAAGATTCAATAGGGGACATGGATATAAATTCAGAGATCAAAGTGCCGGTGAGGGGTCTAAAAGTTAGCAAAATGCTACCATGTCATCAGGCGAAGGACTAAGAATTCAAAGACCTTGAAACTTGAACTTGAAGCAGGAGGTGCCAGCAAACGAAAGTGAGAGGCATGGTGAATAAGGGTCCTACTTTTGAAAGAGAAGAATGTTGCAAATTCTGGAGATAAGGCATATTTTTCGGAAGAGCAGATGTGGGAGAAGCAGAGAGCCAAAAATTTTGATCATGTGGGGTTATAGCAATTCAAATTTCTGGCAGAGTTCCCATGCCTGTGGGTGGTAGCAGCTGCTATGATTTCCACATTTAAAAATCATAGCAGCTGCTATCAAAATAATTCTGAGAATGGAAATCATATGATTTCTGTATTGAGAATTGCCTTAATTTGGTAAATAGTTCCCACACCCCTGTCTTGTCTTGTCCTTTGAATTTCCGATGTTTTTGACATCTTTCCCTCCACAATGTTGTGTACTGCATTATCCATTGTTACTAAAAATGCCATTTATCAATGGTAATTTTAGCTTGAGGAATGTCTCTAACTGCATGTTATGCAACCTGGCAGACAAATGTTGCGACACAATTCCAGCCTAGATCTCAATGCAAAGGAGTTGAAGCTCAAATTCATAAATCTGAAAAAGATACAGCTTCACAACCAGCCCAGCCCCCAATACCAGGAAAGCAACTAGCAGTCATTCTGCTGATCAAAACCAAGCAATGCTCTATAATATCCATCTACTACCTGTTGCAGGTATCTCCCAATGAGAATGATACATCGGGGCAGACTAGAAGTAGTCCAGTCCCAAGACTGCAAAAAGACTGCAACTGGACCAGACCAAGACTGCAAAAGACCAGACCTGTGGTCTTGGTCTTTCAGATTTGAGATCACAAGACCGCAAAAAGACCGGTTAACGTGAACCGGTCTTGTCGGTTAAGACTGGTCTTTTGTACCTACATAATAACCCTTCAAAACGCACCTAAGATCATATTTTTAGGCCAGAAACTGACAAAGATACATACAAAACTGTAAAATATTTCATGGAAATAGCAGATGTAGCTTAGTATTTTTGTATATACAGTTGAGTGCAAAAAGAATGAAGGTTGGTTCATTTTTCTGGTTCTTTCTAAGAATCTATTGTACCTCAAATGTATTTGTGTATTCTTTTACATTATGTAGTTGTGTTACACTTCCCTTGGTATGGACTAATTTCAGTGAAAGCTGGAGCCTTGAGAAGGTTTTTATTCTGGAGGCCATTTTTGGCATCTGAAAAAAAAATATGTGCTAACTGGGGAGGTAGCCAGAACATACCTCTGGTCAACTTGAATGAGCCTATCAAGGAATTAGTTAAAAATACTGAGCGGTTATGCTTGTAGAGCCTCCAGAAAATGGTCATTTTGTGCTATTTTGGTCATTTTTGGCCTGTTTTAGACAAAACAAGCCATTTTACAAAGCATCTACAGACCTAACCGCTCAGTATTTTTGACTGATTCTTTGATAGGCTCATTCAAGTTGACCAGAGGTATGTTCTGGCTACCTCCCCAGTTAGCACATATTTTTTTTTTCAGATGCCAAAAATGGCCTCCAGAATAAAAACCTTCTCAAGGCTCCAGCTTTCACTGAAATTAGTCCATACCAAGGGAAGTGTAACACAACTACATAATGTAAAAGAATACACAAATACATTTGAGGTACAATAGATTCTTAGAAAGAACCAGAAAAATGAACCAACCTTCATTCTTTTTGCACTCAACTGTACATCAATTCTCAACGTAATTTAACGTTCTTGCACTCGATTAGAAGCTACGAAGAATTTCAATAAACCTACTGACTCACTATTGCAAATGTTATCGCATATTTAGTCGAAAAACTGGTCTTGAACTGGTTGTAACCAGTTTGGACCAAGACTGGTCCAAAGACCAAAAAAGACTGCAGTCTTGGTCTTTTCTGGTCCTGGTCTGGTCTTTTGAGGTTTTAGGAATCGTGTGGACTGGTCTTGGTCTTGGTCTTTTTGTTTTGGGCCAAAAAACCGGACTGGACCAGACTTTCAAGCACTAGGACAGACACAAACACTAGATACCCAACAGAAAAATAGAAAATCAACACAGGATGTTGGTCTAAAATGTGGAGAAAGAATTGTTGGAACTGTGAAAAAGAAGGATGTGGAGGGATAATTAGGAAGGATCAGTGCACAAATGCCTGTGGTTCATGTGGTTGAAAGGATTGCAAAGGAAAGATGTTTTGGATTTGTTTTGGGGGGTCAGAATGCTAAAAAGTCCCCATGTTTTATTTTTCACCTTCAGAAGTATTATGCAAAAGTAATATAACAATCATTATACACTGGACACATGACAAGATAATCTGCACTGAAATACTCTAAAAATATCTTTTGAAAGTTCCTTATTTTTTTTCTGTTTTCTAGTAAGAAACATGTAATACATCTACAAAGATTGTTTTCAATAAATGAAGATTAAATACTTATAAAACATGTTAAAAACATATAGAAACTTCCAAAAGATATTTTTAGAGTATTCCAAGACAAATTATCTTGTCATGTGTCCAGTGATAGGCTGTGGTCATTTTTTGAAATTTTTATCAATCGCAAGCATACCAAGAAGTCTAGAAATCCCTCCTTTTTCTCTTTTTCTTTCCTTTTATACTCCCACAACCATGATAACCCAGCTGAATTTCTTGCTACCTACCATGACCAGTTACCACACCAGCATCACAACCTCTCAATTCCTACCTCAAATTTCTATTCCCCAATGTCAGTATCAACCAGTAAGAACAACGCGCATTCATCCTCTGTATGACTTCAAAGTGAATCAAACTGCATCAGGAAAATGGTCAAGACCTATGTAGGTCTATGTAGCCTATGTAGGAACTATAGCTTGATAGGTTCCCCCCTGATATATAGGTCACATAGATCAGTGAGTACCCTATGTAGGCCTGTGGTAGGTTGCCATAGGTACTGTATCTCCCCCCTTTTCTACAGAAAAGGTAACTTCACCTCGCTCACTGTAACCACCACCTATGCAATGAAGTGAAAACCCTGCTGGTTCAAATTGAATGAAATCTGATGAAAGTGAATCAATTCAATCTGAACAGCTGAAATCAGTTGACATTGGTCACAAATTCTTGGCAAAGCATGCCACACCTAAAGATAGATCTACCTTACAACCATACCCACTCATATCTGTCTGTATTGTATTCCTTTCAACAACCCTTTGTACAAGTAAGTGCACATGTGCAACGACATATGCAACACATCCTCTCTGTAAGATTTCCCATGCTAATCATCACGCCATCACAGACTTAAAAGAAAATTTCAGGCTTCTTGTTCACATTATTCCCTCTTCCATCTGCCCCCAGAATTCTTTTGCTAAGTCAAATGACTGCTCCTTTATCTGGCCACCAGGAAATCTGAAAAGCTGATTATGCGTCCAACAATTGTCTGAACTAGTCAAACACTATGGTGTGTCTCATCCTTGCAAATGTTGAGCTCATGCTAATTCCATCTCCCCCTACTCCTACCGCTAAGTCAAATGTCCGCTCCTTCATCTGGCCAACAAGCTGATCATGCATCCACCAGTTGTCTGAGGCCACCGACTTGGTCAAATACTTTTGGTGCATCTCATTCCTGCAAATGTTGAGCTCAAGCTGATTGAGAACCAAGACCAGTGGACATGTTCTTCACGCTCTCAGACTGCAACTTGCAACAATGTTACATAGTCAAACATCCTTCGACCTGAACTCGCTCTTCCACAGTAGGAACACAGGGAGCAGGGGGTAAACGTAGGATGGGGGAACAGGAATCAAGCTCAGAAGACATGAAGGGAATCAGGGGACCACTTTATGTTGCATGGTGCATGCAACGGTGCTGGGGTTCCAACACTAGTCTGGTTCAGGTAGTGTTTACAGGTCCGGTCCATAGGACTGAAAAAAACCGGTGGACCGGACTGAACCGGACCATGGACCGGTCTTTTTTTCGGTTGCAGTTGCCCCAATTTGGGGTTGGTCTGGTTGCTGGTTGCCTCATTTCAAAATTCTTTTAAAACAGTTCAAAGACCGGTTTAAATCGGTTGCGACCGGTTAAACGGTCACGTGCGTTACATACCCTTGTAACCACGTTCATTACCTTTAATTGGGTTTTTGTTTCATCAAAAACGGTTAAGAACTGAGAAAGATATAACCAAATTCATTTTGGCACAAATACTTGTTTGTGCAACTTGTACCAGAATGGCTTTAATTCTAACTCACTCAAACTTTCATCATTTTGCTTGATTCAATTTTCGGATATTGACATTTTAAGTATGAAAATATACTCACCATCTATCAATATATGGTATGCATCAAATAATTTACAGTTGCCACATTACATTTTGCCCAAGTCTTTATGAGATGTAATTCGGTTTCAGTCATAACTATGTCAAGTGTTCATTAATATAACCAGTTTATTTTTTAGAGTAATAATAATTGAGATACAAATGGTTTATTTGGTATGATAAATTTTATGCAAAAAGACCAGTCTGAATCGGTTTGAACACAGTCCATGGACTGCAAAAGACCGCTCCTAGGTGGTTCGGTTCGGTTCCCTCAATATCTGAGTCGGTCCTAGACCGGTTGCGGTCCACGGTTGCCTGTTTTCGGGGCAAAAAACCGGACTGAACCGGACCTGCGAACACTAGGTATAGGTACACATACAATGGGATCTGCTTGTACCGTACCAAATTGAATGTTAAAAATGAATTTTCCTATCAACTGAACTATCATACCACAACTGATATCATCCAATCCAATGATTATCTACAGCACATTTAATCAGAGCTCAACCGATTTCAGCAGGTGAGTTTATGGAATGTTTGTGAACACAAATGATGCAAGCAGATTTGAACAGATTCTCATCTGCTATAGTCTGAACATCTGTTGAAATCGGCTTTTGCCTATTTGAGCAGATCTCAGCTGACCTCGACCACCGGGGTTTTGACTGGGAATGAACTGTTTCAATTTCTGTAGTGATCAGGCTTGAAATTTGAGTCATACGTGGGCTAGGAACTTGCTATATAAATATTGCATCTTATGGAAATTGAACTTAGAGCCTCATGGAACAGGTTACATACAACATAACAGTTAGTCTATTCAAGCATTTTTAAATGACATCTGTTTACACTATATGTACCACCAGTGCTGGCGAGCAACTTTTACAAAAACTGTTCACACCCATGGCACAGTATCACCACAGTGAGGAAATATCACTAATAAATTGTGGCCCTGGGCAACTTGTATCATGTATAATGTATCATGATCATAAGTTTCTTCACATGTTTGTTCATTGTGATATCATGTCATTATCATTCCAGATTTTTGATAAGGTGAGATTTATTTTGATAGTCTACTGTAGGCTTAGATTAGCTTTTGTACTTACCATGGTCTACAGAGGTAACTGTGAACCTATGTTGACCTACAGAGCCTACAAAGACTATGTAAATAACCACCGCAGCGTGCCTTCAGGCGCAAAGCCCGCTACCGCGATTAGGTACTTAAATTCCATTGACCAATCCAAATAATACTTGCCTTTGCGGGGGTTACAGAAAAAGTTCATTTATGTGACTGTCTGATGGCTACAAGGAGCGCTAGCATTTCACATTGGAGAAGGAAATGGATTTTTTTGTAAAGTGACCATCTACTTGTTTGGTATTGGCTGCTCGTCGCCGACCGCTCGAAACTATTGGTTTTGTTTTATGTTACATAAATTGAATAACGCTGCTCGTCGCTCGGCCTTCGGCCAGCTCCTCGCAGCGGTAGACACATAAATTAGAGGTTCTCCCAACCTCCGCCACATCATTGAATCTGTTTATAATTATAGTGATGTTATGATACATAAATCGAATAACGCTGCTCATCGCTCGGCAGGCAAGGAAAAGAAGAAAAGGGAAAGAGACCGACAACTTGAATCAAGCCTACCCAATGAGAAGCCGCAGAGGAACAGGCTTCCCCTCAGCTTGCCCTAAGCCCGTTGCTGTTTCTCAATGCTCTCACATCACGCCACTAATCGTTGATGTAACACTTCCCCTTCTCCTGAGTACCATTGTAAGCGTGTCACTGCACAGAGGTTGGCAGTCCGACAAACTCACTCAATATCACAAAAAAACCACTAGATTAGAATGCGAGGGGTTGGTTCAGAATGTTCAAGCTTTTGATTCACTCACTTTTTCCACTTTTGAACCCATTCAGCAAGTGATTCAAAATTCCCCCAGGTGAGCATACTTCCGCTTCTTGGAGGGCCAGCCACGTTCTAAATGAACGACCGATTGATGGGACCCTCGTCAAGTGCCAACATCGGCGGCTTTACACCTTTACGCGAAAGCTTGAGGGTGCTGGGGTGTCTGACTTTTCTGCTTAATCTTGATTTCGTGGCCTCCTAGTCATTGTGGCTTTGCTGTGTGCCTTGGATTTGCAAGAAAACCGAGCCCTAACGGTTCGAACAAGCGACAGACACATAGGATCGACCAGACGAAAGCTCAACAGAAACGGGAGAGCCGTCGAGCTGGAAACAAAAGGACATGGTGGAGGAACACGGGTTGAACCGGGGGGCAAACATGGCTAAACTTACCCACGCAAGAGCTTTGGTGGCTCGTAGGATAAGACCCGCTAACTACGTAGCGGGCATATGGCCAAACTACAGGCCAAATCCATTTTCCTGATGTGGACCCGGATCCCATCAACTTCCGGTGCAGTTCATCAACAGACTCGGATGAACGCTGATGAGCGCCCATCCGCAACAGACTAAAAAGCCTCGAGGAAGCCTAACTATTTATTACGACCGGACATCACGCGCCATTAGGAGATCTTCCAAGTTCAAATTCACCATGCTGTGTATCGTGCTCATGATGACTAGGAACACTGCCGCCAATCCTACGCTAACCCGAAAATTCTCCAATGGTCAACCAAGAGAATCGAGGACTGAACTAAAATTCGCCGTGAAACCCCGTTATTGTATGTACTTCCGCTTTTCCGACCCTTTTGAAACGCCTACTTACAGTCGGCCTTGTACAGATTCCGGAAGAAGGGATTCTATAGGCGTCATCTGACACATCCATACCGCCCAGTGTCCTTCTTGACGTTTTGCATCCCTAGCCTCGGTGTCTCCGTACGTTGAAAAATCATGAACAATATAATACCCCGTCCAAGACATGCTCTTATTCAAAAGTCTTCTGATTATTGTGTTCACTATGGAAGATAGGAATGATGCGGGGTTCACCCTAGAACACCCGCGAGCGCTGGTTCTTTGCAATTTCTTTGGGTGGCGATAAGTCGGTATGTCCACATGTTCCAATTACGCTGATCCTGCACTGAGTATTCAGGATCCTGTAGGTACTGAGCCAGCCGGCAACCGAGCTAATAATATTTATTACAAATGGGCCTCGTTTCCGGATTGATTCAGACGACGCACTGCTGCAGGCACAGCCCATATGAAAATCGAATATTTTTGAAAACAAGCTGGAAGAAAATGCCAATCGCTAAGCTCCTTTATGACTTCTTCCCAGTCTTTGAAGTCTTCTTATACTCATTGAAGGAATGGACGGACGCAGACCATCAAGAACGAAGTCAAGCTTGTGTGCTTGCGATCGATCCGACAAAACTGATGCCAAGGCTATGTAACCCCGGTTTGTTACTTTTGTAATTGGACCCTGTGCCTCGCTATGGCAACTTCCTTTGATCCCAGTATATATACCAGGTGGTGGGAAACGCTGTATCACCCACTCACCGTTCGTGTGGTACATCGCTGGTCGATCCCTTACGACTCTTACGACAGTGCGTCTTGCCCATTTCCTCCTTTTATTATGCCTACTAACCTCTACGATGGCCTATAGTTCCTCTGCTTTGCCTTGCTGGTCAAGACACGGCTAACTCCAACCTCCACCCCACACAACCTCTAGTACCAACTTGCCTTCAAACATCTACCTACCCACAACCATCATGTCCCAATCAATCCTAAGACTCGGAATGACATCACCCACCGCCGCCCGCGCCTTCATCATGAGCAGCAGCACCATCAAGCCGGGCAAGTCCATTCTCAGGCGCCCGACCGCCCTGCCCCTCTCGCCCTCAGCAGGCGCTCTCCCCTTCGCCGCGAGCTTCTCAGTACACCTGTCCCCCCTCGCCGCTTCCCCACACGTCCGCTTCCCACCGTCCCCATCACTCATCAATGGGACCATCACAGCGCACTCTGCCAACAGTTACGATCGTGCCCCCATCAACGTCTCGCCGAACCCCGTTGAGCTGCCCAAGAGGCACACGAGGATATACTCACCTTCGATGGAGGCGTTCAAGCTCAACTCTCCACCGAAAGCGACCATCGCTGCCCGTCGTGCGCGGAGGAGGGCGTCAAAGTCCATCTTGTTGAACCCCGCTCCTCAGTCACCTGCGATTGTGGGTTTTGAGGATCCTAGGTCTCCGAAACCGAGGGCTGAGGCGGGCCAGAGTATCCGCTTCGCACCGTTTGCAACGGTATCTTCCCGACAACCTAGGGATCTAGGGAAATCACTGTCTTCGTACCCGCGGTCTCCTTACCCCTCCGCACCGCTCTCACCGCAGGGCGTCCCCTGGCCATCGAAAGACGTCGATGTCATTGGTCAACGAACACGTGCCCAGTCCAACGAGGAAAGGAAGATGCCTAGCAAACAACGTCGTGCCGCGGCGCCGTTCACGCCCATTCCATCTCCTCTTAACCAATCCTTCGTCGTCCCCATACCGTCAGCTCGGAGACCTGCACCGCTGGATCTGGCGCCCACACAAGATTCGGAGGAGCTCAGTAACGCGTTCTGGCAGAGCATGACGCTAGAATCAGCAGACGAGGACGAAGTGATGGTGACAGCCCTGGAGTACCCTTCCTCCGCGTCTGCATTAGACGTCCCAATGAGTGCGTTATCCCATCTCCCAGCACGGGTGAGCTTGATGTTTGGTGGTAAAGACGGGGCTTTGTGGTCTCCCCAGCTGAGGCCTGAGGGGATGTTGAGTCCGGGAAGGAAGACGGCGTTCAATGGGACACAGATGAAGAGGAGTTACATTGCTTCGCCGTCTCCGCATGATCCGTTTGCTGCGTTTCCTTCATTTAGTGTTGCGTTGCAGAAGGGGGATAGCGTTGGTGCTGTTGCGTACCCGCCTAGAGCTGTATTGGAGGGGTTCTGAGGTGGTAGGGATATGAAGTAGGCTAGTCTGGTATTGAAGTGCTTGTTGAGAACGAGAATTGTGTGTACTTTTACGATGGACGGTTTGGAATTGATCCTTGTCGTGACGAACTTTTCTTTTCTTTTTTCATCATACTCTAGCAATCGCGAACCCCCTTCTTGAAGCGAACTGGCTCAGATTGTCGCTCAGCAGCTGTGTTGGACTGCTTTTCCCGAAACACTTTGGCTGTGCACACGTGCAGGTTTCTATGTGCCTTCTTCTGAAGTTGTGCTTTCTTCCTGAAAACAGTGCTGAACGTGCTCTTGCCAACCACTTCGAGGGATATGAACAATTTCAAAGCTTATGGGCTGGCACCCACAACATCCAAGACAGCATCAGTATCAACCTTGTACTATCAACCCTCGATGCGGATAAAAACAACCATTTTTTGAAAGTCCTTTCGGAGAGGAGCTCTCGCGAAGTCTCGCCCTCTAACTATTTTGAAGCTACTTCACCGCCCGCTCTCGAGTAGCTTTTTCAATTCACAGGCTGGCACCATCCTACATGGATGCCAATTGCAAAATCCCCGCACAATTTTTTCACCAGGTCAGATACCACTGCAGCAAAACCAGACTTCTGCGACGAGATCGAAGTTGTCGGACCAAAACTTCTGGAAGCTACGACGAGAAGTGACAAGCCCTCAGAGGAACCCTTGGCTTTCAGTCAATGATCATCGAATTTAATTTGAACGTACTTATTCAAGCGCGTCCTCACTAGCACTGAGGATTAGCGATCCGTCTGAACTTTGAAGATACATGTGTAAGTGTTGCGCGGTGGTATCTTGCATGGGTCCTTGAAGTCATCTGCGCCTTGCTTGTCCTTGGTCTCGCCGTGTGCACCTTTCGATCTCGTTGGGGACAGGTTTGGAGTATACTCTTTCCTTTTTGAAGAAGCCCGGCGTCAGCTGTACATCTCAGAGCTACACTGGCCTAGTCTCTCGTAGAGAGACATCGATATTATGTGAAGTCGTACCTTGGTTCACGTAACACTGGCCATTCAAGAATACTTCTCCATCATTATCACGGTGAGCATCGATGCAGCACTGGACACATGCACTCGGTTCTCCCTTACCTATCACAGATCTAGCCTGAGTCATTCCTGAATAAGCATACCCTTCCAGAGATGCAGCTGTTCAATTTTTACTCACAACCGTGGCTCTGATAAGTCATAACTAGCTGGCATCTTCGATTTTTTTTTTCCCGTTTCTAATCAGACAAATTAATTAAAGCGATTAGTACTGGTTTGCTAAGCCAGACTCAATGGAGGCAAGGATCCGAATTGAGTTGCAAACCAAACGCACAGTCTGCAGAGAAAGTGCCGGAGGAAAGGGGGCGGTGTATAGTGTATCGTAAATTTCAAGCTCTCAATACAAATGCGGGTGATTATGAGATGGATCGAAGTCAGTTCCAAGCCTGAGTTTGAAGGAGATAGAGGAGGTAGCAGGACGGACCCGAGGAAGATGATGAGCGGTTTCGGAGTGCACAGACCTGAAAATGACGGAGTCAGCTATTTTTATCTCCTTTATACGACAGTCAGCTCACCTAGTACCCTCGACATCGACGTCGACCCAGCGACAATGCGTCCCCCGTCCTCGCCAAACGCGCTCCGTGCAAGAAGTTCGCTGATAATTGTGTCCGGTAGGCTCAGAACGTTTGGTGCCGGATGATTCCAAAATCTTCCTGTCGCCGTAGATTGGAGCATGGGCAAGGGACGCCGGCGGACCAGGACCGCAAACAGAGCAGTGAGAACGCGGAAGAATAAGCCGCATGACTTGGCACGGGCGAATGCAGCGGGCATCGTGGTAGTACGCCACGGTCGAAATCAACTGTTTCCACCCCCGAAATTCAATTCGACCTCGCGCTTCCTGGTCGTTTCCTTGTAGTTTTCGTGACGCCGCATAGGCTTCAGACTGGTAGCCCACCGTGGGCTCGCACAGAGTGTTTACATCGTTGAGGGGGGAGGACGTCAATGGGCCCGTGCGCAAGAAAGATAGGGAGCGACCCTGAATTTGCAATCACGTACAATGGCCCAAAAGAACCACGCGTATCATAAACATTTATGAAGTGAGTTGATTTCGAGCGCTCTTCTTTGTTTCTTATCATCATCATCTTACTCTTTTCTCGCTACTAGCCTCGGGTAGCCACTCACTCACTCTCATTTTACATCTTTACATCCCACCCCATTCACCGACACAAGATGCCCCATCCCCACCCTGCAGGCCAGGCTCTCACCTCCCGCCGAAAACGCGCGTTGGACGAGACCAACATTATCGCACACGATGCTAATGCTGAGGAGCGCGATAGAACCACGGGGCGCGTACAAAGACAACGGACGAGTTCGACTACGTCCGTTGAGACTATTCGTGTGCGTCCTACTAGTACTATTAAGGGCATCGTCGGCCTTGGGGTGGGGAAGCCACTCGTTGCGCTCACTCTGCCCAAGCCACTTCCCCAGTCATCATCTGTGGGGAGCAAGATACCCATACCCATTCCCACATCTACGGCCAAATCGACCACAACTACCCCACCACAGCCGCGCAAGTCGATATTGAAGAAACCAAAGCTTGCCAACCTCGGCGCGGCGGCACAAACTGTCCCCATCGTCGCCCATCAGCCGGTGGTGGAACCCGTGGATGGCCCGCGCGGCGAGGAGGACATGGACATGGACGCGGAGTTGTTGAAGCTCCAGATGGACATGGATATGGATATGGACGCGATACCCTCTATACCTAGTCCGCCTGACAGTCCGCCTCTGCGCGCCGCTGATCCTCCTCCCCAATCGAGTGCTCGGGATGCTCTCACCAATAACGTTCGGAACGCCCCTGCGCCTCCTCCACCAACACCAACGTCGACTTCTACCTCCCTCTCAACAATAAAAGGAACAAAAAAACGCTCCAGCACCAACACCAAACCAAAAACACCCTCCATCTCCTTTCCCTCCATCGACGCAAAGACAAAAGGGAAACCGTTGGTCGCGTTATGTCCCAACACTTCCAGGTCTTCTCAAGCCCAGAAGCACATACGCACCAAGTCCACGAAAACCTCCAAAGACCAAGGAACCAACCCCCAAGCTCAAGACCAAACGAAACAGCCCCTTCAAAAATCAAGTGCCAAAATCGATAAATGGGGCTGCGTACACCTCGGAGCGGCGGATTGTGTCCTCAAGATGACGTTCCCGCAGCCGCATTGTGAGGTTTGGGATATGAGGGATGAGTGCGTGTTTTTTTTTTTTCTTTCTTGCTTTGTGAGGCTTCGAGGCTTTGGTTTCGACTTGTGACTGTTTTGACTCATTGCGAATAGCCTCTTGGTTATCGTTACTTTCGACCCAATTTACGTGTTTCCTGCGTCTTTTGCACTTTTCCTTTCCTTTGCGCCGTCTTTTCTGTTTCCTCCTTTTTTCACGCTTCCGAGGCGTCCTCTTTTCTTTCGCTCCCTTGATAAATTCTTTCCCTCCTCTCCCTTTCCCTCCGCTTGCGCTCTTTCCTGCGCTCCCACTCTTTCCTCCCCCCTCTGCTCTTGCGCGTCTTCATCCCTTCCTTTCGCCTACTCTTTCCTTCTGTTCTCTTGCGCTTCCACATCTTTCCTTCACCTCTCTCATCACAAATTTACCCTTCTTCGCGCATATTCCTCTGGCTTTTAGCTCTTTCCTTCGCTTCCCCCTTCCACCTTTTCTTTCTCTTCCTCCTTCTTTTCCCTTGTCGGCTTATCTCCTCCTCTCCCCTCGCTGTTCGTTGTCCCCTACCATTTCTTTCTCAATCTCTTCATCCCTCCTCTTCTCTTCCTTACCGTCATCTTTCCTACTTGGCTCCTTTGCTTCTTTCTTATGCTCCTTCTTCCCCCCACACGCTCCCCTCCACCTTTTTCACCTTTGCCTCTCTACCGAGGAAGATGGAGGACGCAGCACCCTCTTCCTTTTGCTTCTTTCATTTTCTGACTCTCCTCCGCTCCCTCGTCTTTCGTTTTCCTCGCTTTCTTCTTACGCCTCTCTTCAGCTTTACCTTTCACGTTTCTTCAGTCTGTTCCTTCCCATCTTTCCCTCTTTCTTCACTTATTTCTCCGACCAATGACTTACCCTTGAGCCAAACAGCGTATGCATCGCCTGCCCGGCCATCTTACACCTCACCCCAAAGGACCCTGCTCGCTGGGATGCCACTCCTCTATCGATGCCGGACGTCAGCCTCATGGACATCCAATGCAACGTCATCGTTCCCACCTCCAGCAGCGCGCACGACCCCAACGCGTCATATCACACCCAATTCATGGGCGCGGAGATTGGTCCGACCAGTAAGGATTGTCCGCCCAAGGTTCCGGAGGACAGCATCACAGTTGAGGGGAGGTGGGTTCGGGCGTCTAGTTACCCGCCTACGGACGCGAAGAAGAAAGACGACCTGAAGACCAACAACAAGACCAAGCATAAAACCAGGAACTCACTAGCCCAAGCACTAGGGATCGACCTTGACCTTGACATCATCCCCGAACCCACATCCACCTCGTCGAAAGAACACCCAGAACGTAGTAGCCGTGGGTGGTTCCTCAAAATATGGATCCCTATCCCCACGCGTCTGTTCGTCAAGAAGGAGACGAGGATTTTCAAGGTGGTCGCCAAGGTGTGGATGATGGGTGATGAAGATCGGGATTTTACGTATTTGGATGGAGAGGAGGAGGGGGGAATGAGTGCGGATGGGCTGGTGGATAAGGGTACGTTGCCGTTGGTTGGGGTTGGGGAGATCACGGTGTCGCATTTGAGGGGGGAGAGGATGTTTGGTTGATCTTAATTTTGACGTGGTTGGATAAGAGAGGGTAAGGATGGATGGATTTGATGTGGGGGGTGGATGTCGTTTTGGTCGTGTATGTGACCTCATTCATTATTCATACTTACTTGTATTGCTCGTTTGTTCCTTATCGGTTAACCATAGTCATTCCTTTATTATATTGATAAGTTTATATTTAATTTGGGTGGATCGTGAACCTTGGTTTGTATGATTCGCAACTGGTGGGTTGTTACCTTCAGCTGATTTTGAAATTAGCTGATTTCGGCTTGTATCACAGCTGGAATTCTTGCAGGACCATGTGGGATTGCCATTCAAGTTATCCATAATATTCCTGAAAATTGAGACACTCTCAGAGCCGAAGCATAACCTTCTAGGGTATGTGGCATGTGCATAGTCATTGTTACATTTCACCAGTGCCATATGTAAGAGGTCTCGTGTAGATTCATTCAAAGGGTCAAAGGGTCCAAGGGATACGCACTGACAACTCAATTCGAGATCTGTGTCAGGCTACTCAACATCCACCACCAGTCCTTGTGCCCGCAACATCCGCACATGGGGTAAGTCCGAAATTTTCTTGACAACTTGATCGTAGCTGTGGATTGAGACCGCTTCGAGTTTAGCAACTTTACTGGCATTGGTATATCTTGCATCGAGCATAGCCAATAATTTATCACTATCGAGCGTGATTGGGCCGGTGTAGTGGATGCGCTTGAGGTTTGGCAGAAGGAAACTCTCCGAGTCGCGTGAATGTAGCGCATCAATGAATGTTGTGGAGAACGGAGGGGCGTGCTTGGAGTTGTACAGAACCAGCTCGGAAAGACATGGTAATCCCAAAAGAAACGACACCATTTCTTCCTCCGAGAATATGTAGCCGATGAAGGAGAAGCGCGTTATAGTTTCCGCACAGCTCGAGCGGAAGACGAGGGTACGGAAGGACTTGAAAGAACCTTGGCTGATCTCAGGGAAAAACACGTCCAAGTCCTCGAGGTGGGGTGTAGATAGCCTGTCCAACATCAAACAGTTTTCGTCGAGAGCATTGACATGAAGCGATTTAAGGCTGTCGAGCTTGACGACCGTAAGCGGTGTAGTAGTAGGCTCGTGTTCTATACAGTCTTGCTCGTTCAGCACGAGATTCACAAGGCTTGAGCATCGCTTGAGAGTGTCCAGGAAGTCCTGCATGCCATATCCTTCGATATGAAGGGTTCTCACCTGGTCCCAGGGAAGCGTCGCTGGCTGCATTTGATATAAACCAACCAGAATGAGCGAATGAAGCCGAGGTGCATGCACAATTACTGGAGAGTCTGAGTAACTTTCGAGATCGCATCTAAGCGTGAGACGTGCAAGAATAGGCGCGTTAAGCCAGTCGGGCAGAAGGTGCAACAATGTGCTTGGAATGTCGATATCAGCAGAGCGCCATTGTCCGGAGTGCGCAAGCAACAAAGAGAGGACCGAGTTATCAGCTGGGGGATCATCCCACCGCGGGTCGTGTTCTTCGCGAATTGCGATAGTGATGGACAATGGTCGTTTCCTTGCCCGCAATAGCCAACCACTGAGGAGGTCTTCCTGCTTTTTCGTAGCCTCCCTTGAGACTTCCAAGCCCACCGTAACGGAGCTCCAGAGTTCAGATGCAGACCAAGCTATGGTGCGCCAGTGGTGACAGATGCTCCCAATGCGCAGCGGAGAAAAAGGCTCATAATCCGCGCTGCAAGCGAGGTGGAAGATGATTGTTACGACCTCGATTGGAAGACGGGCGAACGCTACTTGGGCATTCAACTGGCGCTTGACCAACACGCTTCGGTTCGTTAGGTCAGCCATACAGTCAAGGTGTGCCTTGATAAGATCGTCGAGCTCTATGACTTTCGCTTCTAGTTTTACCCGTTCTTCTTCCAGAGGCGTTTCTGAGTTTTTGAACCTGCGTGCTGTCAGCGCGTGCCCAACAACTTGGTTGATCATAAACAACTCACTTCTTTACGGGTCTAGTATCGTCCATACCCATGATAGCTATGGGGAATACCAGCGCGGTCGAATGGGTAGCTGAGATGCAGGGAAGCTTGATGTGAAAAGGCCTGAACAGCGTTTCGGTTTTAAACTCGAGAACAACAACGTGGTGGACTCTAGCCCCTGAAAATCTGTGTCCACCGAAGTAGAAACCAACGACAAGGACCAAGCAAAGCGGCGTGGAGATTTAGAATGTACGCCGTTTTCTGACCACATGCTTTGACCTTGCTTTGACCTTGCTTTGACCTTGACTTCCCTCTGCGGAGACTCTCCGTAGTACTGCCACAAGTGGCGGTGACTCGAGTATAAGCAACGGCCACCGTCGCGTCAACCGTGCCTAAACGAATGCCTTGTGGCAGCGCGGTGGCCTCCTTTGGAGAATGGGGATCTGGAGGCGACTCTTGGCTCCTAAGGTATTGGGGAAGCCGTGTCTTACGCTGCGGAGGGGCCGTGGTGGGTCCGGGTATGACAGAGGCCATGTAGGAGGATCTGGCTCCAACGGAGGTTATGAAGGAGAAAACTTTCGACAGAGACTGTGGCCATGGTTGGTACCTGTGTTGATTGATAGCATGTGGCCTTGAATAGCATAAGAACTTCGTTTCCTGTACAAAGCAGGTCAATGACGCCGTGAATTTCAGTATTGTGATGCCTACGGTGGAGGATCTTGAGGGGAGCGAAGGAGGAGCAGCGGTTTGATGTCGGTCGCAAAGTTTCAACAAATAGGGCGGCCTGTATAATTGTTTCGTCTACACAATATATCCTTTAGTTCCGCATGTATCGAGAAGGTTGTACAAGCCTCTTACTTTTGTGATTTGCCCAAGGATGGCCATCATATTTCTTGAAGAGTTTCGGAATGGCCCGTGCGCTTTCCTGGCCATCATTCCGCTCCGAGTCTACTCATAACTTGCTCATAAGTTTACATAACCATCAACACCAAACCAACAGCAACGTCAAATCTATTGTGCGTAGTGCTTGCGTCGTGACTCTAAGAATCAAGAACTGGGCGACAACAATTCCTATTTAGTACGGAACAACGGATCCGTTTGCTGGCGGTACCAGTGTCAACGGTGCAAGAGAGGTTGGATTATGGAGACTAGAAACCTGGTGCGTTTCTTTTTCTATCTCTTTCAGTTTTTCAACCAACGCTCCGTGGTTCCTCATTCTTCCACTTCTTTCCACATTCACCTCGTAAAACGCTGACGATGCCACACACACAGAAATTGATTGACCTAAATGTCAATACAGCGTACCACTATGGAACAAGCCTATCTTTCGGCCTATCCACCAACGCGTTAGGACCAACCACGTACAGCTGGCAGTGGGTTTTCTGGTGTCTGCCTAGGACTAAGTAGTAACACTACACACCCACGCGCCCCCCTGCCGGCACCCCATTCCGCTGAATGGGCTCTTGCCTCTCGGTGTAAACACGCCCTCGGCAGGGCCTCTACAACGTAGAGAAGCGATTCTGTAGTTGAGGAATGACCCCTACCAAATACACCCGAAAGCAAGAAGCCAATGCGTGAACTGCAGTGCCACGTTTCGCCCTGCCTCCTCGTAGAGCAGCGCGAATGAGTCCCTCGTGTACGATATGCAGAACCATTCGGGCAGGATATGGATGTGGACGCAGTGCGCTGAAGTTTCAGGTGGACAGGGAGAAGACACCCCAAGTCCACTTGAGAGTTCACCCTCTCCGCACACAGTCGTTACTGGATACAAGACGCGTCCGGAGAGGCATGGCCACTTCTCCCTCCCATGTTGACCCCATCTCTTCCAGGCCCCCTCCTTTTGAACCTTTGCGTGCCGAAATAATTCAAACTCCCACACACACTGAACTTAAGACTCCCATTCCCACCGAAGTTCAGCCTGGACGCTTTCCCTTCGCCTTCCCTTCTTTCTCCTCCACCTTCCCCTTCCCTCGCCCTCCCACTCTCCCCCCAATTTCCTCCTGCATACGCCTCCCCAACCTCTGCACTTCTCCCTTTCATCTGTCCTATGCCCCCTTCCTCATCTTCCATCTCTCCCTTCTCCTTTTGACGCCCACACTCCCCCTTTTTTCATCGCCCTCTTTCTCTCCCCAACCTCTTCCCTTTCTTCTCACCCTCTTCCTCTTTTGTCCCTTCCTCCCTTCACGCCAGGTACTTACCCCAAAATCAATCAAACCTGCCCTCTTACACCTTATGCGTCCGCGGGGTGGGATGCTACATACGATTGATGTCGAATGCTCGCCTTGAGGAAATGCACCTCAGCGTCATCATTCCCTAGTCAACTAACGTGGCTAATTACAGCTCACGCACCTCCGCCCTTCTCGCAGGACTGTACTACGTTGAGGCTCTGGGTTTGGGTGCCTCGTTATCTTCAGACAGTGGACGCGAAAACAAAACGATCTCACAACCTTAGAAACACGAAGACTAAATCCCGCAGTGCCCAAACCCAAGAACACACTATCCCGCCCCTTATCTCGCCTCCTCGACCTTGACATCATCTTCTTCGACACCGTCTCAACGCCCAAAGAATACCAAGGACGCAAGCTGCGGTGATTGCTCAACTATAGTTCCCCATGCAGGACTCTAATGTTTCTTCTGGTCAAGAAGGTACGGGTGTTCAAGGCAGTCGCGGAGGGTGACGGATCTTGGGAGCGTATACGATGTGGAGGCGGGGGTTGAGTACCTTGGACACGGGAGCTGGGTATCCGCATGTGGGGACTGGGTTTTCGGACGCGGGGGAGGTGGAGTGAGGACGTGGCGGTTGGGCATGATTCCGTTGGTTGGTGTAGGTGATATGACAGCGTCGCGTTTGATGGGGAGGGGATGTTGCTTTGAGTGGGTTGGGGATGGGATTAAGCTCAAGCTAATTGGGATGTCGTCGTGGTTGGTCATGTACGCGATTCGTCTTTTCTTATTGAGGTGCGATTGAGCTTCATCAGGTGTAGATAGAGCTGCTTTTAAAATGCAATCGACGATATTGAATTGAGGGTGGAAGTTCATGTGAGATCATGACCAGCGACGTCGGTAGAAGCAACAATGCGCACGTTGTCCAGCTCGCAACTATTGTATCCGTACCAAGCCTTTCTCGCTCCGTCAAGTTGCCGTCAAGACTTTATGCATATACTTCTAGTTGTATCTTGGTAAGTCTGCCTTTACATGGCTAACACGAACTGGGACTCAACCGCCTTCATACCCTCAGCTCATCTACTTAGTAACATCGTCATGCTCAGGTATATTATTCACTCTCTTGAATTCCTCCCACTCAAACCACTTCTCCGTCATGTACTCATATGCAGGCACCCAATCAATGCACGTGTGCGTCGCCCCCCTTCTCTCCGTTGTAAAATTCCTCTTCGCAAAGTCTCCCTTCTCCAAGGTCACATCTGCATTGCATAGTGTCCACTGCCTCAAGTAGTTGAAGAAGTGGAGTATATGCCTCTTCCGTCCCTCCGGGATGTTGCCCCACCCTTCGACAAGGGTACTCCGAATTCGGCGTAGACAATGAAGCTGGTGAAACATCGCCACCGCGAACATGCGCTTCTCCTCTCCGATGCGAACATGGCCATCCCCAGTGGTACCAGTCCAGAGCCACTCCTCTTCAGCTTCGGGATCGGTGATGCCGTAGTGTGCGCTTTCTTCCACTGTCATTTTCACGAGCTTTTCGGATACGGGCAGGCGCTTGGGGTGGTCTGTGCCAACGAAAGCTGCGGCACGGCGTAAAGCAGATTCAATACCGGCTGGACAGAAGAGATTAGGGCGCACAATATGTTTCAAGGGGCTTGCTGATATACTTCTTTCTGTCTTGCATGTCAAGAAGTGCTTTGACATCTTGTGCGAGTTCGATGAGGGTCCGGGTCAGGTACAAGCAAGCTACAGTCAGTAATGCGAGGGCGATGAGGCGGATGTGAATGGCGCTCAACGCCCGTTTCTTTCTGGCGGGCATCGCGATGGATTACTTGTTTCTTTGCCGCTCTGTCTTAATGCGACCGATTGCCAGAGCTAATGCTCGATTTCAGGAATTACGGAGAATTGATCCAAACAATTAGAAGTCACAAACTAGTTCGTCGGGTTACCTTTGGCCGATGGAGATCCATTCTATCAGAACTTTCCGATGCTTACATGGATTCTGATTGTATCACTGGAGCATCGTGACCAAGGTGCTTTTACCTTCGTGTGGGGTGGTTGCTCACAATAGTAGTTAGCCATCATTCAGTCGTCTCGAACGTGCACCACGTCATGTCATCCCCGGTCTCCGTGCAGCGCGTCGAGAAACCTACGGGTGAGCCCCTACTCATATACATCTTGTCGAGTTGACGAGTGGCGGTTGTGCAGAGGATGAGGTAAATGCATCCGTCGCCATTTGTGTGGCACTCATGGAGACAAGTACGTTTTAAGACATGGTCCACCCGGATGGACCTTCACCGACGTCTGCACCATTTGTTACCTTAGACGTGGCCGCTATTAGCCTTTCAGGGGCAGACCCAGCATTGATGGACCCAATGGTGCGCTGCACGCTCCGCGCTTGTGTTCATTCAGGGGAGTTCTATACGGCAACCGACAAGACGGGAGAGGTGATTGGGTTTTCTTTATGGATGCCGCCCGGCCAGGAGCTCTTCAGCACGTACGTTATCAACTGATTTTGACCGATTCATCCGATTCACATACCCGTAGCCCTGAGCAACGCAGCTTGGGCTTTACTGATTTCATGAACTCACTCCCCGAGATTGGGAAACAGTATTATGCGACGACTGTGAGCATCAGTCAGCTGATTTGATAGCGCAATTGGCTCATTACTCTGTTCCAGTATTTGGCCGAGTTTCCAGGATTTGTAACGAGTGCTCTAAGCCCAACGGTATTGACGATGGCCGCTTTTGAACCGCTTGACTCGTGTCTGATGCTATCGCTTAGACGAAACTTGATTCTTGGTGGTGCCATCAGCTCATGGTCAGAACCGAATACCAACGCAAAGGTGTGGCAAGGGCCCTTTTGGCTCCGGTCATAGACAAGGCATGCTTCTATCTATCAGGCATCTGATGCGTCTGATTGTGGTGTTTTCAACGCGGCAGGCAAAGAGAAATGGCGACACGCTTGCTCTGTCTACAACAAATGATGATAACGTACGTTGTCATCTTTCCTTGTCAAAATCAAGTTGCTACATTCTGCGACCCTCTAGATTCCTGTCTATACCCGGCTTGGGTTTATACTAAAAGGATCCAAGACCATACCCTCGCCGTGGGGCGACTGGCCGCTGCATGTCTTCGAGTTAAAGACCAAGTAGTGCAATTTTGACGTCAGAGGTGGTTGTGGGTCTCCCTAATTGTAATCACAAGGTCAATCATATCTCGCCAACGAACCTTTAGGCTCTCATGAAAGCACTTCAACTACAAAATTGGGTAGCACAATCTTGAACACCTCACCAACCACGCAGATGCGTCTGCCAGTGAGGTGATTCGTTGTAATCACAGGTCGAACATTTCTTTTACATCGATCAACCTTCTTCAACTTCTACCACCGCCTGAACTCCTTGGACCCTTCTGTGTCGACGTGATGCTGACCCCGACATCATCGTATCTTCCCTCTTGTGATGCGAAGATGAGCATCACGCAACCTCAATCTAGAATTCTTCTCACCAATGTAATGATTCGCCTAATTCGCTCAACTGTGGAGCATGAGGCTTCAAGACCCAACGTGAAGTTCTCAAGACCCGTCGTTCAACCCATTCCGCCGTTGAAAGTCGGTTGCTTTTCAATCGTCATTTGCAATGGTTGCAATTGTTGCGTGGCCTTCATACCGCCAAAAAGAATCTCTTTCATACCGCCGAGAAGAATCTCAAGTTACGCTTCTAGACGGTGAGTATGATGAGGACCCATTCGGTAAGTGGCCCAGGTCAAATTATCCAGTATCAGAGGGCTCATTCCTCTGCTATCAAGTTGAGAAACAGCCAGGACGTCAGCCCCGTAAAGTCTCGCTGGCTATCGTCGCAGGCCTGATCACATTTTTCTTTCTGGATTTTGTGGCCTATCTTTATATCGCCCGCATGCTCCTTTTTCATAGGCCGTCGGAAGATGAGCTGGAATTCCGAAATCCTTACATCGGCCTCAATGAGCTTTCCTCATCCGAGGAAGCACGGCCCTCGAAATACGACAGGATCGTTAACCTCCCTCGTCTTGCAGCACACGTCAGCTGGGTAGAACCAGACCTGGTGATGCCTTTCGACGTTCATCGATGGCTGACGGACTTTGGATATGTTTCTCCACCCGATCGTCAACTTCAGGTCTCGAGTGCGGTATGCATTTTCTTAACGGCAGTAAATAGGACATTTGATGATTCCACGCCAGGTACACAGCATATTGCAATTCGGTGTGATGGATTATGGCATGGAGCGCTGCAGTCTCGCCATCCGCTTACCTTCCCGTGGAGATGCGCTTCCACATCCTTACTCCCTCAAGGACGTTGCGGACACCGTACGCCTTGATGTGTGCGAACTGGACGCTAAACGTCCCCTGGATGAACGGACTCTTACATGGAATAATCGGCCCACTTGCATACGCGACTTGGGGATTCTTGACGCCAAGGTTGGAGGAGAGGTGCAGATGGATTCTTTCCCTTGCAAATCAGGCGATTTTCTAGCATACGAAATGTCCTGTGCTCCTGAAACCCCCGATTGTGGAATTGAAGTATGGTCTAATCAGAACGAGACTTGGGGTCAGTTATTATTTCCCGATTTACGGGGGCTGAAACGCTGATTCTCTGTAGGAGCATTCCTTTACCAGTATCAAACGATTTAAATGACTATTGATTATTGTTCACGTTGCCCCATCGATTGCGTAAAATAAAAGTCATGACAACAAAACGCCTCTCATTTATCTCAGTTTATGCCGAGAACGTAATAGCGTCTTTGCGGAATTTTTTGGAGTTGAAATTCCGCCACACAGTCGCGCCTCACTTCTGGGCATAACTCCTTTTATGAAGATAAGGCTCTTCAAGGCACGTTTAAATATTTCTCACATTCAAGTTACGATCCTTTCATGTTTCGCCGAGTTTCTTTGACTGAACGTCGGGGAACGAGATATTCTCAGGCCAAAGATCGAGAAAAAAATGATAACACGAGATGCCCCTAGAACTGGACATACGATGGATGCTGTTACACGAGTCCTTTCAAATTTCAATACACGTGAACCGTACAAATCCACAAAATTCACTTGTATCGTGGTCTGTCTACGAGAGACTAAGTCCTTTGTCTGTATCAGGGCGTTATAAAATCTGACGCGAAGGAAAAAAAATTAGCGTCCGCAGAAAGAACCGCTACCACGGTTACAAAAATACCTTGAGAAGTTAGCTTCAATGAAAGTCACAAAAACTTTACATTCTTGATCGGAGAGCTCTCCGAATTTGCACGTAAGAACATGGTGGCATTTCGTCCACTGAGAACTTCAATGGGCCGGTCTATGATGTATCAATGTGCGGTCAGGACAAATAGTTTTCTTAGCATAGAGGGACAAAGTGGCTAGACTTTCCTGGGGCTGAGAGTGGGCTTGCTACTGCAACTGCAGAAAGGGCCAAGAGAGCGATAATGCGGCTTATTCTCAACATGTTGTGCGACGTTTTGGAGCTTGGAATTTGGAATTTGGGGATTGCTTATGCCAAGCTTTATATACTCCCCCGTCTTCCCGCGCGGTGGGCGCTCTTTCCTTGACCTAATTAAGCGCCTTCTGGCTGATGCTTCCCGCAGTTCAGAAGCGTACCCATAAGGTGAGTGAATTAATCATAATATAACCTGGTAGGAGACTGTCATCTACCTCCGGTATGTGTGGACCTTCACGTCGAGATCCGAGGTGTACCCATATGGCGAACTTGGGCATCATGATGATAGCCTCGAAGAGTCCCAAATACCGTTTGGGTTTTGGAGCAGGCTGTTGATGCTTTGAGGCTACAGAGTCGCCGACTCTTTTTCGCCGGCCTCACGTCAAGATTAGGATCGAGATATTAGATGAATTGAAATTCCGCGGGAAGACCTTGAGGTCTGCTGCGTATCTAATGCAATCTCACTCTTAGAAGCGTCGATTGACCAATTCTAAAAATTCACAGGACCAGAAGGTGGCTTTTGAGCGGAGGTCATGTTTTATCATAGCCATGATAGGACATTACCGAAAGACTAGCATAACACATATCTGGCGTAGCCCCTGACGAGGCACCGTATACAAGAAGAGTAAATAGATAGCTAACGATTTGAAGATCTCCAGAATGTATATTTCCCCTTTGCGATATTAAACGGTGCTGCTTTGAAGACTCTTAGCGCTTTGCTTATCCGCATTCCATTTCTCGCTAGGAGTGAGCGTCGTGACGTTGCTTGAGAAGCCTATAGTGGAAGACACTTCGATGCCGGACGTAAGGTTGTGAGTTGGTTTCGTCCGGAATACAGCGTCGCTTCGCGCTTGAGTGACTACCTCCTTGCTCCACGCTCTACCAGTCACGACGCGGAGGATAATCAGTTGTGGGGAAATACACTATATGCAATGCCGAATAGAAAAGAGTCAGGAATCATTTATCAATTGGAGGAGAATTTACCGTCAATTTCGCCCATACTTGGCCGAAGGCAATGGCGACCCCATCGCCGCGGGCGTAAGGAACGAGGAACATGATACCGAGGAGGCTACAGGGCGCGGCCGACTCAATCAGCATCGATGCAACACTTGTGTACATTTTTGCTTGTTCCTTTCCAAGCGCGCCGCCGAGTGTCTTCTTATGTTGGAATAGCCGAAGACAGATAAGGAGCGTAACGATCATATTGAGGGATATCATGATGGCGTAGTAGGGTGTACCGAAATTGAGTGTCCTGCCGCCAAAAAAGTTGCCACCCGGTCTACCAGCGAGGACGAGCTCGATGATGGCAAGCGCTGCGTGATAATCAGAGAGGCCAATTGCCGATATATTATCGCACTCACAAAATGCAGCCAGGTAGGCGATTGATGGGAGCAGAATGACGATATACTTCGATCCATAAATGATGAACAACCGGTAGAGCTATGGGATAACATCAATTTAAAATGTCCAGTACGCGAGGAAACGAAACACGAGACTCACAAGGAGGGCATCTCCCATAAAAATTATAGCAACACCTGACGCTGAGCCAAGGGTCTCATACCATACCGAAGTCTGAGCAACGATGAAGCCGGGAACTCCGCCAGGACCGTTGCGGAATGTGATCCACATTTGTTCTCCCCAGATAGCGTTGCACGATATGTCGATCGTTAAAAGCAGGATCAATACTGTACTGTAGACAGCAAAGAAACGGTTAACTCTGGGAAAGTTGGCGTTCTTTCCACCGAGGAGAGATCTCATGATCATGATATACATGACAAGAGCGACGCCTGTCAAATTTCAATAAAATCAGGTGTTCGCTCATTGGCAAGCGACGATACTGAGATTTTCTTACCGTATAGGATTCCACTGAGATAATTTCCTATGTAGTAGGCGTGCTCGAACTCTGATAATGCCGACGTCCCCATGTTGAAAAGTTTTGCTGGAAAGGGAAGCTGTTCGTTGTTACAGATCGTGCGGACTGTGCTAAGGGCTTCTGGTAACTGAAGGATCACCTTGGGGAAGCGAAGCCAGATCTTAAACCTTCGTGCGTGAAGGGCTGCAAGGGGAGGATGCGAAGGAGGAATTATAGAAAATAGAGATTCCCTCGTCGATTTATACTTGGGTGCTCCAGCAGAGTGACACCGAACCGTTTGCCTCCCAATAGGAGCGTTGTGGGAAGAAGTTTGGCTGACTGGACTTGTTAGATAGCCGGCATCTGCAAAATCCCGGTCGGTGGTTACAGTCCACATCGAAATCCTGATTTAGACGGATTGATTCAATGCGGTATTTTAGCCATCTCACGTATGAATCAGGACTTGGACTTACTTACCGGTCCTGCATCCCCACAACTTAATCATTTGGTGTTTCATGAGTCCACCTAGCGCAGAACGAAGGCGACAAGCCTCTTTGTTATACCTCAGTATCGCCCTTGTTGCCCTGACTTTGCTGGCCAAAATCGGTGGAACTATCTGGATCAACGGACGATTTGAAGAGCTGAAGACAGAACATGGTGAATTTCGAGCTTTGAGGCGAAAGTTAAAGAGGATCACTGACGCTAATCGAAGGTTATGTGGGAAATGACCATCCTGAAACTTGGCCGATTCCCCGCAAGACGGTCTTGATGGGATTCCAAAACCCCAACCATTTCCGACTGGACGCGGAAGACGGAATTTTGGAGTGGAAGGCGATGATACCTGGTGGGGACGGAATCATCCACCTGGGGGCACACCACCAGCCCTACGGGATATCCATGTTCCATCAACTGCGATGCCTGGACGTCATTCGCGGCGAGACAGTGCGAGACCGTAGCGATGGAGACAACATTTCAGAACTTGGACGACATTGCTTGAACTATATCCGCCAGATGGTGATGTGTCGCGGGGATCTAGAACTCGAGTCTTTCCAGTTCGCGTCACACAAGAATCCGATTGACTTGTTCGGAGTGTACGAGTGTAAGGATTGGGAGGGGGTTTATACTCTTGTGAAGAAGAATCAGGAGATACAGAAAAATCGGTTGAGGGCGAGGGGTTGAATCAGGGTTAAATCCCACCAACGCACAAATTTGACAAGATAATTCCTTTTTCCCCGACTCGGAAGAAGATCACGTATGTGTAGTAGCTGATTTAGGAATTGCACACCTTTATTCCGTAACCTGGTCTGCTGATCAGGCGGCAGCACCCTATATCAAATACCACAATCAAAATATAGTCTACTGACGAGTGATGATTGGATTCACATACCACCAGTCGTTTGTCAAATTCGTAAGATCTGGCGTTCGACGAGGCAGGTCGGTCAAGTCTGACCATTCAGATGGAATGCTGCACTGGATCTTTTGCCAAATCCGCCAGACCAACGCATCGGTGATTAGTAGTTCTAAGATATCAAGTTGACGTTGATGCCAGATTTTGACAGTTCCGCAAGATGAACAGAATGAAATATTGATGTTTGGATGTTATAAACCCTACCTACGCCTCAGGAGCAGTTCTGAGCGTAGCCTGCGTAGGTAGGCTGCGACAAACTCACGTGTTTAACCTCCTTCAAAAAAAAGCATATGTTAATTCTTCGGCTTAGGAGGAAGCGACAGATTCAGGTGATGAGGCGGTGGCTCAGTCGAGATGGGAACAGGTGTCAGGAGTGATTGGAACGTTTGATCAATCAAACATGTTTGGCATCAACGGCACACATAAACATTGTAGTAGCAAAAACGGCGCAGCGTCGTCCTTGTTCTCTTCTCGTCGTCCTCATCTCCGAGCTGGCTCGTACGACGTGCGCTCCTTCCGTCGCCTGGTGCGCTTAAGGTTTTCAATTCACCTTTCAATCCACGCCACCTTCAAGTCACGACACAGTCTCGCCTGGTGCAGACTCGGACACGATGAATTCTGCTTTTTTCATTCAAGTTTTCTTCCTGTGAGTATCTCTTGTGTCTTTTTATCCCATTTTACATTGGTTGACGACGACTGTAGCGCCTTTACTTTGTTTTCATACACCACCGCGCTCGACATCTCTGTCCTATCATCCCCAATCTCTGGCGTACCGACCACCGTTACCTGGACGAGCGTTGATGACAATGATCCCGCAAAGTTCGACTTGCGATTCGTTGTGAACAACACGGATGTGGGGCTGGCCATTGCTAATGTAGCCGTAGGGGATAACACCTCTGGGGCGGTCAACGTTACTTTTCCTGAGGCCAGGTAAGTTGGCTACGTCAAGAGGATGGGCGCTTCAACTGATCGACGGTTATCTAGGCCCTACGTCCTGATAGCCGTTACTGGGTAAGTCTTCGTCGTAAACTTCTCATCCATATTCAACTTTTGTGCAGAAGTTGGCCAAATTACATTCAAGTGGGAAAGAGCAATCAGGTGACGGTAGTTCAACCGCCTACCAACTCGTGCGTATCATCTCCTCCCCTTCAAACGCTGTTCTCATTAAATCTATACAGCGCGACCACGTCTACCCCAACCCCCACTGCATCGTAAGTCCCCACTACAGACATTTTCCACTCTCTCAACCCTATGACAGCACCGGCCAACCCAGGGGTACAGCTTCAGCCACCTCAACATCCTCGCCCATATCCGAGTCTGAATCCCGCTCCGGATCTATCCTCGACAACCCGATCAAACGCGCCGTCATCATCGCAGTCTCCACCCTTGCCGTTCTCTTCTTCCTCCTCATCATAGCCATCATCGGATTCGTACTCCACCGACGTAAGCTCAAGGAGGCGGAAGAACGTAAGAGATGGACGTTCCACCAGGATCTGATGGTTCAGCAACGGGATAACTCCGTCACTCCAGGAGGCTCTGTGATCAACATCTCCCGCGGAGAAAATCCCCCAAGGGTGGAGTTGGACTTGGATCTGGAGCGCGGTGTAGATGCTGGGCAGGAGCAAAGGCGGGGGTTGCCTGCCGTGCCGTTTGTTATGCGCTCGCCTAAAGGACCGAGGCCGAAGCCGACTATGCAATATCCCTTTGTGTCCGCTGGGAATGCGGGGTCAGATGTAGAGAGGGGTGGATAATTTTGCTCGTTGATTTGCGTGCTTTTATAAATTGATTTCCGTGTTTTGTTGAGATTAATGCTTCCAGTGAGACGATGGTGCTTTTGGCAAACTGAGTTTCAGCAGTTCATCTAACCCAAACTGTTCTGTCACCCTAATATCACGTGGCGGGTGCTGAAGGGGCAACGAGAGGCTTAGCGAGCGCTAGACAGATCAGTCGATAAGGATGACCACCAGCGAAGGAAGACAAAACCTTGGCCGATTGATTGACGGAAGAAACCCTGGTCAGGATGCATCAGATGGTCGTGGAGGAACCGAGCCCGTGAGTGTCTACCTACTTCTGCGACTCCTATCTGATTTCGAATGAGTAGAACCCTGGGCCTGGTCCTCGCTACGGTACGATACCCTCTTGCTTCTCCCGTCGTTTATCTAACATTGCACAGTATACTATCGGCTATACGCCCAAGATGGACCAATCAAATCAAACAACGCTATCTATTCCGACAATCCTTTCATCGGTCGCATAATTCCTCGATCGGTGCCACCACCCCGTACCGCCGCATCGCTGAAGAGACATCTCTGCAAGATCGAAGGCTTCTCAGCGCCCGAAAACTGCACCTTGTTTCTATCTCTGTCGGAAAACGTGCCCGTGGACGGTGGTAGTCGTCTTTCCTTCCAAGCGGACTTTGGGCCAGGCTTATCGTCCTCTGATCCGGTGGCTCTTGTTGTTAGTCCCCAGGAAAGTGGAAAGTGGTCCCCAGCGTCAGTCTGGACAAGGGCATCAAATGAAGTTGGGGAACAGGTTCAAACACGTTATAGTGCGTGTTCATCTTTCGAACTAAAAGCGGCGCTCATTGGGTCATTCAGTTTATTACCGCGTTTACGACGAGAACGGTGAAGTCACCTCGAAAATGTCTTTCAATAAAGATGATACCTCGCTGGGACGCATCGAGACCCTATTTGTTCCACCCCCTCACACTGTCGCTTCTTTAAAGTCTTGCATATCTAAATCTGAAGGGGTTTCGGCTCATGGCCTTCAAGTCTTCGAGGATGACACCGGAGAAATTACCATGAAGGATGACGATGTAATTGCCCTTCTTGCTGACGCCTATCCAGGTAATGTGGAAGAGCAACCCATAGCAATGGTGTACAAGGAAACTCTAAAGAAGTTTAAATGCAAGTTCTCTCAGTGTGTGTGATTATGATACGTTTCTCTTCGACATTTTTCTCATTATTATGACCTTTTAGGGTGGACTAGTGATGATTCCAACTGGCTCTCACTGAGCCCTGGGGAGATTTTCCATACAGATGGAATATTGACAAAGAAGTGTTATAAGACGATAGGTGACTTTCGCATTTAAATTGAACTCAGGGTATCACACTGATAGGCTTGCACACTGTAGAACAACCATGCTATATAGCAATCAACTCTGGAGGGAAAAAAGGCTGTAAGTCTTTTCTCTGTCTCTCAACCGACAGTCTTCTCGTTGGCTCGAGGTGTTCTTACACCACTCCTCTTCACAGGTGTCTCCAATGGTGAGCTTCTATTCACTAACTAGATTAATATTCAACTTTAAGGTTTTCTACCTCATAGTGCATGCGGAGTTCTGTTGATCCACACCATATTCTCTCACGTAGACTAGGAAACGACAAATTTCTCTTGCTCTCTAATGTGTACACAATCGACACTGTCTATGACAACCTTGTACTATTTTAAAATTTCCTCTGGTTGGCAGCTGCAGGTCTGCTGTATACTTTATGACACACATGCACGAACTTAGTTTTATGATATAATTTCAGGTCTTCTATCTTCATGGGAAGTAATAAATATGTCAACACGTATAGAAATTAGGCTCACATACTGCAATCTGGCGTCCTCTTCCCGTTCCGTAAAATTAACAATATGTAATACATGTCCGAAAGTTATGAGTATGGCTATCACATCCCTGAAATTTTATATCAAAATAGACCAAAAATAGACCGCACAACATTTGGACGTTTCTTTTTGTTGGAATAGAACCCTAATCCTGTCTGTGCCGTTTGTTATGCGCTCGCCTAAAAGATGCGACTATGCAATATCCCTTTGTGTCCGCTGGGAATGCGGATCCACATACTCCTATCTACCCGAGCAATATGATACCAGCAAATTAATGAAGCTGCGCAAAATGTTGTGCATAACTGGGTTTCAGCTAACCCCACCTGTTCTCTCAGAGTTTTGAAAGTCAAAACGGGTAAACCGACATTGCCGGTCCGTTCCGGCCCAAGTAATAATATCACGTGGAGCTCGTTGCAGCAAGCGCTACAAAATCAGTGAATCAAGAATGACCACCAGTGAAGGAAGACAAAACCTTGGCCAGTCGATCGACGGAAGAAACCCTGTGCAGGACGCATCAGATGGTCGTGGAGGAACCGAACCCGTGAGTTTCCACCCACTTTTGCGACCTACCTGATTTCGAACGCAGCACCCTCAGGCTGGGCCCAGCTCTCGCTACGGTATCATCCGCTTGCTTTTTCTAACTTCGTTCATCTTACATAGCGCAGTATACTACCGCCTGTATACCCAAGAGGAACCAATCAAATCAAACAATCCTATCTATTCCAACAATCCTTTCATCAGCCGCATAATTCCTAGATCGGTGCCACCACCGCGTACCGCCGCATCGCTGAAGAGACATCTCTGCAAGATCGAAGGCTTTTCAGCGCCCGAAAGCTGCACCTTGTATTTATCTCTCTCGGAAAACGTACCCGTGGATGGTGGTACTCGTCTTTCTCTTCAAGGGGAATTGGGGCCAGGTTTGTCGACATCTGATCCGGTGGCTCTTGTTGTTAGTCCCCAGGAAAGTGGGAAGCGGTGTCCGGCGTCAATCGAGACAAGGGCATTGGGCGAGGTTGGGGAACAGGCCAAACACGTTATGGTGCGTGTTCATCTTTTGAACTAAAAGCGGCGCTCATCGAGGTCATTCAGTTTATTACCGCATTTACGACGAGAACGGTGAAGTCACCTCGAAAATGTCCTTCAATGAAGATGATACCTCACTGGGCCGCATCGAGATCCTATCCATTCCACCCCCTCACACCGTCGCTTCTTTAAAGTCTTGCATAACTAAATCTGAAGGGGTTTCGGCTCATGATCTTCAAGTGTTTGAGGATGACACCAGAGAAATTACCATGAAGGATGAGGGTATAATTGCCCTTTTTGCTGACGCCTATCCAGGTAATGCGGAAGAGCAACCCATCGCCATTGTGTACAAGGAAACTCAAACATCGAATCCTGGGACTTTTGCAAAGAAGTTTAGATGCAAGTGCCCTCAGAGTGTGTGATTATGATATACAGTCGACATCCTCACAATGCATATAGTAATAATGCATAAATATCACAATGCATGAGATTTTCTGGGGACCGACTCGGTACGCAGGGATTTATGCATGAAATATCGTATTGAATAATGCATACTGGATCTTGTGATTATGCACAACCAAATCTACAGATTCACCAGGTATTTTCTTGTGCATGTCATGGTATCTGATTTTTTTTTGAGGCCAAAATCTACCCTGATCTGCCTATGTGCCACGAATACTGTTTGGAGAAGCTGTGTGTCACCTAGTGTTTGAAAGTCCGGTCCGGTCCGGTTATTGAGCCCTCAAGGGCTCTAACCGAGACCGAGACCGGTTACCTTGTGCCACGAAACCCAAAATAACCGAACCGGACTGCTACTAACCGATATAATCGGTTAGTAACGGTTAGCGGTCGGTTACATGACCGGTCCTAACCGGTTATTTCTCTGTACTAACATAATTACAAACCTATATTATATTTCTAATACAAGCATTATGCTGCATGCACCAGCGAGGCGTGTGTAGGTGAAACACCGCCTCGCACGATTTTCATAAACAACCTCGCAGGTCGAGTACACCCGACCTGCGAGCGTTTCTCATGGATCGCCATTGTTGTATCAATGTCACATTATCACACATGTGACGACAGGAAAATAGTCACTTAAATTTCAATTCACCGTAAATATGTCAATTCTCCACTAAAAAATATGATTTTTGGATCGTTAGAAAGCGTTTAAACAGGGGAATATTTGTGTGTAACGTTAGGACACAAAGACCGGTTATAACCGGTCCTAACCGGTTTTTGTTTGGTCTTGAATATTTTGGGATGACACCTAACCACTAACCGGACCGCGGTTACGGTTAGGATTGGTTAGGTAATTTTTGCGGTCCTGATCGGTTACGGTTCGGTCCAGTCTCGGTTATTTTCCGGTTAACTAACCTAACTTCCAAACACTAGTGTCACCCACTCCGAGGCTCGTGGCGTGTCAACACTGCTTTTGCCAAGCTCTTGCAACAACAGTTGCGCAAGTTGAGGGCTCATCTTCGCGGCGTTCAAGCAAATTCATTCCAACAAACATCTCTCGACTCTTTTTTCAATAATAGTTGCTCTCCCATGGATGTCGATACCATGTAAATACTCTAGTTTTCGCCTTGCTACACATAATGATTTTGGAAGCGTGACATTTTTAGCAGAGGTCACGAATAGTCACACTTTGTGACACGCTTCACCTTGCATACAACCTCACAATGCATAGAAAAAGCTGGGGACCGGCGTTATGCATTGTGAGAATGTCGACTGTACGTTGTTCGCTCAAATTTTCCTCATTATTATGACCTTTTAGGGTGGACTAGTGATGATCCTAACTGGCTCTCACTGACGCCTGGGGAGATTTTTCACACAGATGGAATATTGGCAAAGACACGTTATAACACGACAGGTGGCTTTCGCATTTTAATTGAGCCTCTCGGGGTATCACACTGATAGACCTGCACACTGTAGAACAACCATGCTATGTAGCAATCAACTCTGGAGGGAAAAAAGGCTGTAAGTCTTTTCTCTGTCTCCCAACCAACAGTCTTCTCGTTGGCTCAGGGTGTTCTTACACCACTCCTCTTCACAGGTGTCTCCAATCGTGAGCTTCTATCGAGTCACTATCTAGATTAATATTCAACTTTAGGGTTTTCTACGTCATAGAGTGGGCGGAGTTCTGTTGACCCCCCCCCCTATCCTCTCGCGTAACTAGGAAACGTCTCTGACGATAAATTTCTCCTGCTCTCTACTCTCTAATGTGTACACAATCCAGTGTCTATGACAAGGTGTTTTCCGAAATTTTCCTCTGAATGGTGTATGCATTGCGACTCACATGTGCGAAGTTCAGAATCCTTCAATCATCATTTATTACAGGAGATTTGTAGGCTTCGCCCCGTAGGCTTCTCCATCATACCTGGATTATCACCTGTGACTCTACATAAAACGAAACATTCTAACCTCCGCAAGCAGTGCTCTTTTGGCAACTTCGCGTCAATAAAGTTGTACCTGCATCATCATGAGTCATATATCATAGCCGCCAAGTCCGCACTGGATTATGTATGTTTGATACGTTGACCGTTGCACCATCACGACTCGGATGACCACCCCGAACCACATCGATGACTCTACTCTACTGAAATCCACGCCAACCTGGCTCGACAAGATCAAAACAGCTTACTCCCAACCTACGAGACATTATCATACCCTCACGCACATCAACGATCTCCTACAGCTACTATCCGAACACAGAGATGAACTGGATAACCCTAGATGCGTAGAGTTGGCTATATTGTTCCATGAGTGCGTTTTTGTTCTTTTTTTCGTTTTTTTGCCTCTGATTTTGTGACTCTTTTCTTTTTGAATAGCATCGTATATGATCCAACAACAACAGAAGTTGGCTTTAACGAACGAAAGTCCAACGATGTTTTCTTGGAGTATGCCTCTGACCCAGCGGTATCCGAGACCCTCACTGGACTCGACAAGAGGGATATATCCCCCGTATCGTCCATGATCCTCGCTACTATCCACCATCAACCTACTTCGTCGCTTCTCCATGACACGGGTGCACTGGAAGACCTCAAGTTTTTCTTGGATATCGATATGTCCATCTTAGCCGCGGAAGAAACTCAATACGATGCGTATGCAGCAGCCATCCGGAACGAGTATGCCCACTACTCCGAGTTGGCGTATTGTTTCGGGAGAAGGAAGGTGTTGCGCGACTTTTTGCAGAGGGAGAGGATATACTTCAGTGATGCGTTTGAGGGGAGTGGGATGGAGGAACGGGCAAGGTCGAATATCTGTCGAGAGATTGAAAGGCTGCAGGCATCAGATGGATCTTCGTGATAAAATGACAGTTTACTATGTGTACAGACATACAATTTACGTTGCATATCCCTTTGAAGCCGCGCGAATCTCAGGCTCCACAGGGAATCGGTGCTCGTCAGGGGAAGTTGCGGAGTAATACAACCTCTTCCAAATCGGCTCGAGCTTCTCAGGGAGCTTCCATGCCAATTCCTCGTTCCGCAGCCACAGGCGCAAGAGATGGCGTCTACGAAAATGACTAGTACACGAAATGAGAGAATGAAAGAAAAAGTCCCCACGTCTTCTCAGGAGTATCGACAAACCCATCCCTCGCGTGAAAAACACTCAAATTATTGATGTACTGAATATCGCTGGAAATTGAGCCCCAGTTTGTATTTCTCCGCGAGGAAATGGAGAGTATCGAGAACTTCGGCCAAGCTTCGGCTTGGTCTTCGCTTAAAGGGGGGATCGAGGTCGATCGAGGGAGGCCGAGGAAGCCGGTGAAGCTTCTTCGTGCGTATTGGATTATTATTTTGGAGTCGTGGTGGAATAGGAGGGGGCGGAGCGTGTATGGAGGGTCGCCGCTGAATCTGTATATGTTTGAAGACGATATTAGAGGGAGGAGGGGGGTAAAGGGGCGCGTACCCATCAAAAGGCCAGTCCTCTGACAAAGTCTAGGCTCGAGACCAGCCGTTCTGGCGGCGGAAAAAAAAATGTGTATGGGATTAGCCACCAATCCACACTCATTTTTCCCCCTCTTTTTCGCACCAAGGAGACTGTCAACGAGTCTAGACAAAGTCTTGATTAAATCCGGTCTTGTCTCTGCTAAATCGTTGTATAACCGCCAACTGCTACTGATCCTCGATACACCGCCTTCATGGGCGGCCTCCAATGCGAAGAGGGCGACGATATCGCCAACGTCGGTATGGAGGTCATCAGAGTGCAGGAAATGGCCTTTGTCGCCGGTGGTGAAGGTGGCGGCTGGAGCGCCGTGTGAGGGATGCTTATCGAAGCAGTTGCCCCCTTGGCATCACACATCCAGAGAAGTGTCGGTGGATACTCGACTCCGAGTCGGACCCCTTTATATTTATTCATAACACTTTTTTATTCAGAACTCTATAAATTCATTGACACGCTAGACACCCTGGACTTCCTCTGCTTTATATAAGCCTTCCGTTTGGATTGATAACCTCTCAGGACCATATTACCTTCAAGCTCCCAGTGATGGGCATGACGGGGTCAGACTCCGTCAGACGTTTTCGTCAGACCCCGTCAGACCCTTCTGACCCTTTTTCGTCAGAGTCAGTGCGTGACCGGGAGATTAGGCCCGGTTGAATTAATTTAACATATGTATGTACAAAAAAAGTTATTTAAGGGTTATCGTGCAAGATGTCGTGGAACTCGACTTCGACTTGTAAACTAGTTTCGGCGTGTGTCCAGTACTCCCGAAAGAAAGCTAAAGAGGCAGGAGACTGGTTAGAATGAGTTGGGTAGTGAAAAAGATGCTTGAGCATGAGAGATTCTGCTCTGGTGAGAGGCTCATCAACTGGGACTGGATCGGGCTCCTCATCCGCGTCGTCACCGTGTGCTTCCACCTCGTCAACCTCTTGGACAAGACCTTGAATAAGGTCGACGAACTCAGGAATCGGCTCCTCGTCGATACCTTCTTCCGTCGACTGGTCAGGTTCACCAGTGGTGGTGGAGTCGGAGTGGGTGGTGACAGAATTTGAGGTCAATGATGAAAATGGATCCGGATCGTCGTGAGGTGACGTGGACTCGTCGTCTTGGAATTTGCGTTTGTTTCGTGTTTGCGCTGGGCGGCCGTGGCGTTCTTCAACATCCGATTTCACGAGCACAATTTTGCGTGTCTGCTCATGGTGCATGCGATTCCGATGTTTGGTGTGAACAATGCCGAATTTGCTGAAGAGCCGTTCCGTGCCAGCCGAGTTTGCAACGATGCTCAGAATCCGCATCGCGAGCTTGACGATGCCATTTGGGCCGTTGTCGAGTCCCGTGTCGTGTTCTCGCCAAAGGCTCACGAGGTTCACATGTGATTTCTGTAGATACGGACATGAGAACCTTTCGCATGCCAACAATGGATCACTCACCTCAGCTGTTGCCAGCTCTTTGAGCTCCCTCAGACTCATGGCTTCGTCCGACCAGCTTCCCACTCCGGCGATGTAATTTGCAAACGACTGCCTGAATGCGCTATCAGGATCTTGATCGAAGAACCGCCGGAAAGTCTTCTTGACAAGTGGCCAAAGCCCTCGCATGAGCTTGAAGGGACTGTTGGGGTGGAAGCAACGTGTCCGTATGTATGGGTTGAAAATGACTGCAAGCAGGAAGACGGGTTGATCAGCCTTTTTCCAGCGCTTCTCCAGGCTCTCGTGAATGCCGATGCGAACTGTTGCCTCGATTTCAGGATTTGAGAAGGTGAAGAACAAGTTTGCAAGGGTTAAGAGAACAACGTCAAGGCGTGCGAAATCGCTTTGCGTGACGTTGGCGGCTATGGCAAGAGGTTCAAGGTGATTTCGGATGCTGAGATCTATTGTAAGTTTCACGCAAGCATTCTCATTGAACAAATTGGACTCACATCTTCAAATCACTCCAGAAACCGCTATCTTCGATGATTTTCATGATCTCCTCTGCCTTTCTCTTCTGTTCGGCTTTGGCCCCCGCACACAGAATGAGGACGGCACGCGATTCCTGGTCCAGGACTAATAAGCGGAAGAAGTATTCGAGCTCCAGGAGGCGGCGAACGGACAGATAATGGGAGGTCCAGCGCGTGAGCACAGGAAGAATGAGGGCCAGGACCTTGGGAAGTTTGGTGCGTTGTTTGTCTTTCAGTATTCCGAGTGCACGGCTGTGACTGTTGAACCACTTGACGACCTCGAGCGCATTGTTGACAACGTTGATGAACCGTGTCTTGAGTTTGAAGTAATCACCGACAACGAGATTGATCTGTTTGTATTTGCAGGTCAGTCTTTCATTTCACGCAGCACAGAAAGCCATTCACCTGATGAGCCCAACAGTCTAACGTTACAATCCAAGGATACTTCGCGCGCAAAAGCCTTCTCATCTTCAAGGATTCACCGCTCGCATCCGTACACCAGGCCACGAGAATGATACCAAGCACGGTGAGACAGTACTGGATCTCTATCAACACGATATCCAGTAGTGTTTCTGCATTTTTGGGTTTAGATGAGATGTCGGCAAGCCCGAGCATGTACGGCTAGGAAATTGTGTAAGTCGAGAGCCTTCTCTGCTCATACTTGACGAATGACGAGACACACCTTGTATTCCACATTGACCATGGATGCAATCAACGACGTTTTAGCGATATTTTTCCAGCCATCACACTGCCCTGTTCCATGTTGCCCTTTCACCGTCGTTTTGATCTTCTCCACAATCTTCTCGCTCTCTTCGTCAAGAATCCGACCGGACAACTGCTTACGACCTGGCATCAAACTGCCCGGTACCCATTTCTGGAAGAAGTAGCGCCAGTACGGATGCTCTGCGACCCACCATGCGATATTGCACGTTACCATCAGAAAGCAAAGGTCTGCCATCCATTCTGCCTGTTGAGCACTTGGCCAGACTGGTGGCGCTGACGTCTCTTCGTAGAACACGTCTCCCTCCGCTGGCGAGTGCAAAGCAGTCCTTCGCCGCTGAGATGGCCTCTCACTTGTGAGGCTCAATGCACCATGAGGAGATGGCATCGCGGGGAGGCTTGCCGGCAAGGTTTGCATGGGTGATGTCAGGCCAATCGAGGCCAGACTCGAGGTTCTCGAGCTGCTTATTGGCTGTGCCGGTGTAGGTGCCGTGGGGCGCTCATTTTCCTTGTTGCCTGCCTTCGTTGCTCGGTTCTGCGCATAACTGGCCAAGGTTTGCGTAGCCTTCTGCTTGACTGCAGCACTGACATGCTCGCAGTCCTTTGCAAGATGCTTCCACATGTCCTCAACCTTTCCGCATGCGGCACGTTCAGAGGTTTTGACTATTAACGTGAATGTGAGTGACTTCTGGAATACTTGATTGGCTTCCTGCTCACATACCTGTCTCTTCTATCTCCCCTTCAGTCCGCGCGCTAAAACGTCGTCCATTTGCGACATCGTCCAATTCCGCGTGAAGAATCCGTTGCACTCTGTTCCGAATGCAAAACTTGCACCACACCTCGTAGTTGGACTTGTTAGTTTTGTACTTTTCTACACCTTTATGATAGTGTTCCCATACAGGATTTTGACGAGACATGGGGGGAAAGTAAGAAGAATACTAAAGCTCATCCCCTTGCCCTCAACCCGGAGCTACAACTTAGTGCTCCACTGCAGTACCCCACTATAATATGATTTTTCGGAGATATCACAATTTAATACAATTTACGCTCTTCACGTGAGCGAGGTAGTCACGGACTGACCCTTTGACGAAACCTGACCCAGGGTCTGACCCCGTCTAGACTCTTGACCCCGTCAATCCGTCAAGGGGTCAGTAGTGACCTCGCCATCACTGAGATTCAAGGAGGGGAAGTGTGTCTCAAGGAGATTCGTGGAGCTGGGTATAATGGGGTATTTGCAAAGTTGGTGGACGCATGAATGGGCTGAGGAGTCAGGGGACATTGGTCGATTCGGTGTTGCAACCACTCCGGAAATCCCTGGCATGCTAGGACACGTTAGTCTCACAAAAGATGTCGCATGCATCGGCTTCAGACACGAGCGTCAGGCGGGAGCGCTATGTAACGAGCGGAATGCCATGGTGAGTAGGCGAAGTGATCCTCTCGTGGGGTATTATTGACGCAGTTGCAGCAGTTCTGCGCAAGTCGCCTCCAACTTGCCAAGGTTCGGGAGTTGACGGAGTGCGAGTGGCATAACTCCATTCTTCACTGAAAGCCAACGCCGCATACATCGTGGTTTTGAACCCACCACTGACGTCGGTATTGGCAATACGCCACTTGTTTCATCAGCCACTATCGAGCTCAAAGTTCAAACGTCTATCCGGTGGCTTGTTCGATGCCTTCGCCCTTTTAGCGAAGTTGGGATAATGTAAAGTTACGCTTGCGTTTCCACTCCCCTGCCCTAGTTCTCTACACCACCCTCCATGTTTCTACCATTTGGAAGTTGTCCTTACCGTGCCCCGTCGTGTTGATAGTATGCCATTATGCCATTTACCATCATCCATCAGAACAATCCCAATTACCGATCGTATTCTTGTGTCAATACATTAGGGCCTCTGTTTCGCAATACCTTCATGTTCATCCTGAAAGCTGATAATCCAAGTAACCCTTTGAATTTGTTCTTCCCTCTATCTGATGCAATGGGGTAAAAGACGTATAACAATCCTCCATCCCACGCCGAATCTCTGACTCAGGCATATGCATATACGCGTCTAAACCCCATACATCTTCCGCGCATTATCCCTCCCCTCCCTCATAACTTTGTCAACATCCCATCCCTCCCCCGCAACACCCGCCACGAACTCTGCCGTCCACGGTATCATCGCCGTATGTGATAACGGCAATTTCTTCCCTTTCAAGGAAGCCGGGAGGGAGGCGTAGAGGTTGCCGGGAGTCATGAAGGGTGCGTCCGTTTCTAGGAGAATTCGGAGAGGCTCTGAGGGGGAGGCGGAGGACATTTGGGAGATGACGGCGGAGGTGTTGGTGTTTGAGCTGTATGTTATTACACCTGTGAACAGAGAGAGGGGTTAGGAGGAGGAGGGAGAGGTGAAGAAGGAAAGGCTACATTACCTGTTATACCGATGTAGAGATTGGGGAAGTGGGCGAGGAGACGGGCCGCAAATTCCGGGGAGTCGGAGAAGCAGTGGACGTGGATCTGCGTGTTTTGTAAGCGAGGGACAAGGGATGGGGTAAGGAATGGTAACGAACTTTGTAATCTTTCGGCACTTCCTCCTTCAATATTTTCTCCGTATCTTCCTCAGCTTCCCGGGTATGTATAACCAGCGGCTTCCCCAGCCTAACAGCGTGTTTCAGCTGCCGTCTGAATACGTTTCGTTGCACATCGCGGGGTGAGTTGTCGTAGTGATAATCGAGCCCTATTTCACCGAGGGCAACGCATCGAGGGTGAGTCATTGCTTCTAATCTGCGAGGGGAGGAAGTCAGGAATGGAGGAGCTACTAAGATGGGTAGGGTACATACATGTCTTTCTCTACGGCGTCGGTGTAGTGTTTGGCGTCATGACTGGTTTCGAAAGTTATCTTCTACGTCAGAATTGATAGGGAGATACGACTGACGGATGAACGCCTTGAACATACAGCATCAGCATCACAACAAGCGTAAAACGCAGCGAACTCACCCAAAGCAAACCAATATTCTATCCCTCCCCAACGAGACTGTCGATCTTCAGGCGTCAGCGCCGAATCTGCAAACGTCTTCCACGACTTTTGTACAGGCGCATCACACCACACGTCCACGATAGCCTCCACGTTCCGGCCTTCGTACATCGCCTTGATGAAATCAAACACATTGTCGTATTTCCCCTCCTTGTACCTTTGACGGTAGAAAGAATAGGTACTCGCGAGATGTGTGTGCGTGTCGACGATGCCTAAAGAAGACGGAGGCGTGGGCAGGAGGAGGTGTTCTTCCCCGGGTGTGTTTGACTTCTTCTTCCCCATTTTCGATTGGTTGTTGGAGGCGTTTTTGTTCGATGGTTTTTTAGAGGAGGGTTTGGTGTTGGTCGTGGTGTTTGGACGCGGTGCTGGGTTGCTGGATGACATTTGTGAGGTGGAGATGCAACGGAAAATGGTTCTGGAGATAGGAAGCTGGCGATGCACCTTTAAAAAGAGGGAAAGTGACATGTAACGAGGTGGGATGAGTCGAAATGTCACTATTGCGGAAGACGGGTCCGGATGGCATTTTGATGGCGGTTCCCGAGCGCTGAATTTTGATGAATTGTCTTGGCGTTGCTTTTTCAAGTTTGCCAGTTTCAGTCGAGGAATGTCCTTGCTTCACCTCCCAACAGAGCTACTAACCGACATTTTTGGACATCTTTGGGACGATCACCGAGCACTTAGCGCTTGTGCCCTCGCATGTCGCCGCCTGCAGCCTGTATGTCAAAAAGCCCTCTTCTTCCAGATCACCTGGGACATGGCAGCACACCGGGCAGAACCGCGCTTCGACCCCATCCCCCGACTCTACGAGATGCCTTTCACGGAGTCGCCGCGCCTCGCGTCGTATGTGGTTCGCCTCAACATCAAGATCGTAGGCGCGCCGTATTACTTGCCTCAGCCATTCGTGTCCTTGATGGCTTGCGCGGCTGCACTTCGAAACTTTACGTGTCTACGTGACCTGCGTATACTCGGATCTCCAAGGGCACAGATATCTTGGAAAAGTCTGCTTAACGAATTGCGAATCTCGATTATGAAAGTAATTCGAGAGCAACCCCTTACAAGGGTCTGCCTCACATACATCACGGATATGCCAACGGCGCCTTTTCTCGACTCATCTATTCGCCACCTTTCCCTCTCATCTGTATCGTGGAACGACGCACAGGCTTCTGAAACTGCCCCCGTCAAGACACCAACCCTTCAGTCACTCAATATCACACTTCAACTTACCAAAGATTCACTCTCCACAATCGACCACCTTGTGTCTGACAATCCACCCTTCGACCTGAGCGAGCTTCAGTCTCTGCGTATCTCAGTCCGATTCAACATCCGAAGCGAGGTTCACCTCACAAAAATCCGAAGACTATTGAGCCAGGTTGCTGGGACACTCAAATATCTATGGATCCACTGTAACCTGGAAGGTTAGTTCCACATGCCAATCAAAGTCGTACTCCCTTCTGATTGGTTCCGACTAAGTAGCCGACTTTCCCAACTTTGAATCACAACGTTATCCCATGTTACGAACCGTCAGTAGACGGTTCACCATTTGGTTTAACAGCGACGGCTTTATCGAACCAGACCCACTTCCCTTCCTTTTGAAAATGATACCAAACGCAGGATCATACCCCACCAGTCTCGAATTTCATTTGATTCTCCAGCTCGTCGTTTTCATGCATCATCCGCGCTGCTCACTTGACGGGCTAGGAGCGTGGACCCAGCTAGCTCAGGCGTTGGCGCCGATGTCCTGTCGATTAACGATATCGATTTGGTCGCATTACGAATCCCGCATTCCGGAGCTTGTGTCTTTGTTTGAAGGTCAATTTTCGGAGATGCACGCTCAGCGTCGTTTGTTGGTGGTGAACATGGGTTTCTGCTGCAGCTAAAAATTTTATATGCCTGATGAGTGGAGAGGAATTTATCTATACGGTCTAGATGTGATGTGGGTACTTGATATATCTCTGTGTATATGTGGAAAGCGACTCAATGCATGACAAAAATTGGGAAACCCCTCGAAACATCTCAGCGGGGTTTCTCCTCTACCTCCGCTCAAAGAGCTGTCCATTTGGCAGTGGGCGTCTCCTCCCTCTTTTTCCACTGCCTTTCCCCTTGTAATTGTCCATTTCCCTTTCCATCACCATCAATCATTTCACAGCCAGTTTCCCGGTCTCAATTTCTCCTTTATTCTTCACGGATCTTGGCAATCATCGAGCTCAAATTTGAACTTCAGCATTAAGCTTGGGGCCGAGGGCGAGAAATCAGGTACTAATCGTCTTGCAATGCTTTGATCCTTGGGAGCTTCATTACATGCCGTGTCCCGCGCAGGGGCGACGATATCATGGCTCAATCCGTCCTTTGCTGAAGTCGTGGTGGATGCAGGGGCCTCGGTTGTGGATACGGAAACGTTCCGATTGAGAGTCGCCTTAGAGCTTTGTCAATATTATTGTTGCTTGGTGTAAATGATCATCCATGTGCGTCACGCATCATGTCTGTTTTTAGCCCTGCCCGACGAGGGGTCTCATCAGGTCTCAAAGATTTCATCTGCTACCAATTCACAACATGAGCTACAACCTCGCTGCACCCTCTACGTTCTCTAGTGAAACTGGTTCCTTTTCAGGAGCAGGCGACTCTGGAAGAAAGGACCATCGCACCATTGCCGCACTACCCGAAATGCCAGAGGTTCGCTATATCCAAATCCCCAATCCCGCATATGTCCCGGCTTCCAAGAGAGATTCATCCCATCCTGGAAAGCGCAAGTCTCGAAAAAAAATCCCTCACACTATTACTACTGCAATTTATGAGCCACGGCCGTCTACTGATCTTCCCCCAGTTCCAAAAGTAGACGACGGCCAGGTAGTGTCGTACGTGCGCCAGCTAATGAAGGGCTATGATATGACGTGGGATGAGGTTGTGGAAATGCTTGTCGCACTGCATGGTAGTCTCGAGCGTGCCGTGTGGTCAAATGAGATGGGTGAGGCTGAAGCCAAAGAGAGGCTCAATCGGTTGAACGCGCCTCCAGATGGAGTGGAATTTGGTGCCATCGGTGTGAGTCACTTCAGTGATCTAGAAATCAATAATATTTTCTCATAAGAAATTCCTCTAGCGTAAACCCAAGCCCGGAGAAGAGGTGACTGCCACGTGACTAGGGCCCAACCTCTCGATCCGGGTTTGGCCTGGTGATCATAACGATTGCTATGCTTTTGATTTTGTGAATGGTCAAGGCCAATACATTTGCACACCCGAGGACATCGAGATCTGGTCTATGCCCTCCGGACTGGGCATGCCTGCTCCCGTTCGGTCCATCGAGGTGTCGGTAGGGTTCCTAGCGACCCCCTTCTTCAATCTGGACATTAACAAGGGCAAGTTCAAACCTGATTTGAATTGGGAGACCTATATTATCCCGCAAGGCACCACCCTCCGTATCATGCAATGCGGACATGAAGATTGCTTTCTTGCAATACCTTCGCGGGAGATGAATCCCGCCAACGTCCTTGTTCTCCAGCCTTGGGCACCTATGCGAGACTGATCGGTCTGGTTTGCGCTTGCATGCGGACGCTGTCGTGAGCTTCTTCTTTTCTTCATATGTCTTGTTATTCCGGCATTGATGTCTTATACCTGCGGCGTGCTCAGTGTTCTTGACCTTCAATTATGTTGTTTTCTTATCCGTCGCAACACGTCGAACTTCAATTGTTATTGCCGGTGTACAATGCTCATATGCCTTGTTGTCCCTAGATGCTGGGTATATTTTGAGTCGTCATAATGTCGGAGCAGAAGTAGAAGACGTGACGTAAAATAGGGGTGCTCACAGTAGCCATTTTGATCCATCT